GACCGATCCTCCTCCCAGAGGACAGTGTCATGGATGCGAAGCAGGTTCGAAATATCCACGAAGAGGTATTTGGAACCAAGATATAACATAAAAAAAGTAGCAATAACTAATAATTACAGGCCTTGACTCCCACAACAACAACTTTGCCGGCCGAATCGGCCGGCCCAACCATCTACTCCGGCTTAATTGCCCAGGCCAGATTCCACCTTCTCACCAATAGCGTCTACCAACGCCTTATCTCCAGCCCCAGCCTCACCCCAGAAGACACACTAAACCTGCAAAAACCCATCGAAGAATGGTACAACGGTCTTCCGTCTTACCTCAAACACCCGCAGTTGCCTATCTCCATGCAGCCAGCGAATATAGACCCGGACTCCCTCGCACTCGTGCGCAACCGCCTGCTATGGCGAAACTGGAATCTCACGATTCTGATCTACAGACCAATCGTACTTCGCTGGGCCGCCAGACGCTGGGCCCCACATAGCGGCAGTCCAGGCACACCGGACGCAGGGTCCGAAGACCCCTTCGAAACAGAGTGTCGATTACGCTGTCTTCAAAATGCGCGTCTGACCATCTCCTCCATCTCGGAGTACATGGCGAACTATATGTGCACCAGACTTGGAGCTTGGTACATGCTGTATGTATTCCTCAAACTAATACCCCAGTCGAACGACATCTAACATAAAATAGCTACTTCCTCTTCCAAGCAGGCCTCATCCCCATAGTCTTCCTAATGACCGACCCTTCAAACCCAGAAGCCGCCACCTGGCTACAGGACATCGAAACCACAAAATCCCTCCTAACCCACCCCTCCCTCGGCACAAACCGCTTCGCAAGCCGCTGCTTCGAGGTCATCAACCGATTGCTCGGCCCACCAACGCACTCAGTGCCAAACGGACTCCCACCCGACGATGGCCAGCTCGACTCCCAGCTCCAGCACCAGCACATGTCTCCGCAGTTGCAGCCGAACATGATGCCATTCCCCGGGCAGCTCTTCAATGATCCTGAATTCGGCGGGAGCTTGTTTCCGGTCGAGCAGCATATGCAAATGCCTAATACGGGGGTCATGGATTTTTCGGAATGGGTGAATTTCCCCGCGACGGAATGAATGGCTGTGGTTTTGATATTGATTTCTTTTGTTTGTATGTATCTTGCATTGTAGGATGGGCATATGGAGAAATGGGAAAAGACTTGGAAATAGTTATATAGGTATCAGCGAATACTCCAATACATGACTCTGATAGTGTATCTAACGTGGCATCCTATGTCAAGAGTTTCATCTGTCAGATAATGGGAATGTGGTTTTTTAACATGATATGTATGTAAATAAGTGTTTATTTCTTTTCCCGGGTCGTTCAATAAACCGACGATCCTTGACAGGGATTCCCCGCAATATCAAACTCACCCACCTCGGGCCCACCAAACTCGGGGAAACGCTTTGTCCCAGGCTCGGCTTTCCCCCTTTCAGTTGGAGCGGAGTAGACCTCTCCGTTGATCTTCATTCTATCAGACCATGTGCCTCGATCTAAGCTTTCGGAGTACTGTATTCCTTCTTCATCTATACCCCAGACGGAGTCCTGTGTTCCTAAACAGCAGAGGGCAGTTCGGTTACTTGACTTGGAGTCATATACCACGATATAAAGCCCAGCGACAATTCTTTCTCATCTGTTCAGAAAATATTGACATATTATGGCTACTACTGCAGATAGCACCCCGAAGGGTGGCTTTGCGCTTGTCCTACAGAATCCCTTTCTCTGCGGTGTTGCATCGGTAAGTGTCTGCTCTTGACATATCGCTGTTCATTCATTGAACTTTGCACAGTTCTCGACCCTAGGTGGGCTGTTATTTGGCTATGACCAAGGTGTCATTAGTGGTGTTATCACCATGGAGTCCTTTGGAGCTCGATACCCCCGCGTCTTCGCAGAAAGCGGTTTCAAGGGTTGGTTCGTGTCAACCCTGTTGCTTGCAGCTTGGGCTGGTTCCTTGATCAACGGACCGATCGCCGATCGAGTTGGGCGGAAGATGTCTATTAATCTGGCAGTGGTGGTCTTTGTCGTTGGTTCCGTTATTCAATGCGCTGCTATGAGTGTCCCGATGCTATTCGCCGGTCGAGCTATTGCTGGCTTGGCTGTTGGTCAATTGACCATGGTTGTGCCGCTGTACATTTCTGAGGTTTCTATTCCAGAGATTCGCGGTGGACTTGTGGTTCTACAGCAATGTAGGTTGTTCTTGAGGTTGGGTATGGCTCGTCGACTAATTTGTGTTCAGTATCTGTCACTCTCGGAATCCTGTTTAGCTACTGGATCGACTATGGAACAAACTACATCGGTGGTGCTAGATGCGCTCCTGAAATCCCGTACTCCGGTGGTACAATTTCAAAGCCTACCTTCGACCCATATCATGATGTCCCTGCTGGTGGCTGCACTGGGCAGTCCGAGGCGTCGTGGCGTCTCCCCCTGGCCCTGCAGATTGTCCCAGCTGTCATCCTCGGTGTTGGGATGCTGTTCTTCCCAGACTCGCCCCGTTGGTTGTTGATGAAGGAGCGTGATGACGACTCGTTGCACGCACTCTCAAGGCTGCGCCGCATGGATCGCGATAGTCCTATTCTCCTTAACGAGTATCTTGAAATCAAGGCCTCTATCATGCTGGAAAATTCCTTTGCGAGGGACAATTTCCCTAATCTCTCCGGATACAAGTTGCACGTTGCTCAGGTTTGTTGCCAATTCACCATATGACCGGTTTCGCTGACACTTTCAAAAGTACATGTCCTTCTTCACAGCATGGTCCCGCTTCAGGCGGTTGGCTATTGGTTGTATCGTGATGTTCTTCCAGCAGTTCATGGGTTGCAATGGTATGCATGTCCCCTCATCAATCTATAGTAGTATCTAATTGATATAGCCATGATCTACTACGCACCTACGATCTTCGCCCAGCTTGGCCTGGATGGAAACACCACCTCCCTCCTTGCTACTGGTGTTTACGGCATCGTCAACTGTCTTAGTACCCTCCCCGCGCTCTTCTTCATCGACAAAGTCGGTCGTCGACCCCTGCTCATGGCAGGCGCTGCGGGAACTTGCATCTCGCTGGTCATTGTAGGCGGCATCCTGGGTGGCTTCGGTTCCTCACTCGTGAATAATAAATCTGCTGGTTGGGCTGGTATTGCCTTTATCTACATCTACGATATCAACTTCTCCTATTCCTTCGGTGAGATCATGCCTTGTACTTTTCCCCCGACAACCAACTGACAACATCTTCACATCAGCCCCTATCGGCTGGGTTCTTCCTTCGGAAATTTTCAACCTTTCAATTAGATCCAAGGCCATATCCATCACAACCTCGGCAACATGGATGTGCAACTTGTAAGTAGCGCGATCAATCAGGTATTCGATTCGAATCTAACAACTCTGTCTTGCAGCATCATTGGCCTTGTCACGCCTGATATGCTCGAGTCTATCACCTGGGGCACATACATCTTCTTTGCTGCCTTCTGTCTTCTTGCGCTTGCATTCACCTTCTTCTGCATCCCCGAGACCCGTGGAAAGGTATGTTCTGCAACCCTCTTTTCCAGAGCGGACCGCTTTGTCCATGGAAGATTGACGATGCTAACTATTTCCAACAGACACTCGAAGATATGGATCTCATTTTCGGTGACACGGCCGCTCACGAAGAAAAGAAGCGCATCAAGCGCATTGAAGCCGAGTTACGCGGGACACCGATTGAAGAAGATGATATCGTCAAGCCGGTTGGTTCCCATGTGGAACTGGCATGAACGCCAACGTCGACTCAAAGAGAAGGTTACCCGTACATAATGATTTATTCGAAGCAGGACGTCAATTGTAATACAAGGAATTGAGATAATGCGACATTGGCTTCATGGCTCCTTCCCAAACTGGAAGTTCCCCGTGTAAACAAAGAAGGCAAACAATATGAACTGGAAGGTGGCATGTGACATTGATATTGACAGGGCAGGTGTGAGGGACCTGTCGCACTTGAGGAAGGCACGTGGGTTTGGGGTATAAAAGGACCCTTCCCCCCATTTCTCTTCTTCTCTTCTTCTTCTCTCCTCCCCATCTCTCTGGCCACCATCTCTCCGTCCACCCCCCCTCCCCTCCCCCTCCCCTTCCCCTCCCTCCCCCCGAGACAGCGTTGACAGAGGGTACCGTAGCACATGCTGCTTCACCTACCACAGGGACCATAACATTACCATTGTTATGAGGTCCATGTAGGTCTGCATCAGATATCAAACCTAGAGTTCTCGTGGATGTTCCTGAAGTCGTGGCTCTCATTGCCATTTGACAAGTCCCACGGAATACATGTAGATAGCCATAGCCGAGTTGAACTCCTAGACTTAATCCTCCACGTATTCTAATGTCTCCTTTGTATCACAGAATCTTTTGTGATGAGGTCCTCGCAGATGGTTCTAACACGACGCCCTCCCAAACGCGTAAACAAAGGTCTCTGTAGCCTTGACTTGGTGCTGGCCTTCTGTTATGTCTCTACTATCTATCACATGCCAAAAACAACAATGTGAATAGACCTTCGATGTCAGCCCTGTGGAGAATGGCGTCAGTTTGGAATTTCTAGCCTATTCCGATCTATCACCAAGACCGGGACTTCTATTCCAATATTTGAAAAAAAGGAAATGTTGAGAATCGATCACAAGATGCCTCTGAGCGAGTACTGGATTGGGTCAATGACAACGGTGATATCGACTCTGTGCAGCCCATGTGAAACCCATCTTCACTGCCAAAACCAATACAACTTGCGTGATTATGCGCAGATTCTCCAGGGGACCACTCACATCCAGATACAGCCACCAAAGAACAGCTACCTATCCTCGAGACACATGTCAGCTGCTAGAAATGGTTTCTCAAGAGCCATCAGGTGCAAAAGGCAGCATCTGACCTGTCCAGCACAATGCAATAAATACTCGCCCTGCTGGCATCAAACCCCAGATCAATCTTCCATTCTTCCAGATATCCCAAATTCCAAGTCCAACCATGCCACCCTCACCCTCCACCCTCCTCCACATCGGCATCCTCCTCCTCGAAACAACCCAACTCCTCGACCTATCCGCCATAGACCTCCTCTACATGACAACCCCCGAATACCTAACCACCTGCACCCCCCCACTTCCTCAATCCCTAATATCAATGAGCCGACCCTGCAAAATGCACTACATAACCGCCAACGCCGCAAACCCAACGCACACAACCTCCCAACTCTCAATCCAACCAACCTCATCCCTAACCTCCCCCGCCGTGGCACCCGGAACCCTAGACCTAGTCCTCATCCCCGGCCCATCGCCGAAAACCATGCCGCCGGCAAATGAATACCTGGACTTTGTGCGCGCGCATTTCGAGGCCGGCGTGCTGGTGTTGGCGGTTTGTACGGCGGCGTTTGTGGTTGGGTATGCGGGTGTTGCGGATGGGCGTAGGGTTACGGCGCCGAGGTTGTTGGTTCCTGAGATGAGGAGGATGTTTCCTGGGGCGGACTGGGATGAGAGGGTTAGGGTTGTTAGGGATGGGAATTTATGGACTTGTGGTATGTTTTTTCTTTCTTTTTTCTTTCTTTCGGGTTCGGGTTCGGGTTTGAGTTAGATGTATATACATGTATGTGCATGCTAATACTACTAGGCGGAATCACCAACGGTCACGATCTAGTCATAGCCTACCTGCGAGACCATTACCCAGCCTTATTAGTGAATACGATCCTTGCCGCTGCGGATATCACTCCGCGTCCGGTGGCGTATGCTACTTCCGCGACGGAGGATACGGATACCGTCTACGTGGTGTGGCGGGTTATTAAGGCATTTTCGAAAGCAGTGGTTTGGTTCTTTAGTAAGAAGTGAGTGTTGACCTTCTAGAAGTGTGGTAGCATTCCACCGACGTCATCCCGAGTACCCCGAGGCTTAAAATGAGGATCGAGGATTAAGGTTTCTTGTTTCTTTTGGGATAAATTAAATAAAAACTAAAATGTGACATCTGGTAGTACGTAGTACTACTATTTTGTTGAAACGTTATTCTACGTGTCTAAAGCGAGGCACACAGATATGGTTCAATAGTAGTGCATTTCTTGCAGTTCCAAAGCCTAAAAAAATGGAGAGAAGAGGAGAACAAAAACAAACACAGACCCCAAGGTTTGCGAAAAACGAAGGAAGAAAAAAAAAACCAATCAATCTGGGCGAGAACGCTCGTACCATGCAACGCGCTGCACCACGCTAAAGAGGACAATCATAGAGAAGAGAAGTGAAGAGGGGAAGTGAAGAAGAGAAGCGAAGGGAAGTAAAGAAGAGGAGGAAAATATGAAGCGTGCCTACCCTAGACCCAGAAGGGAAAAAGGTAAGTTTCATCAGAATAACTTGAGAGCGATGTGCTGGCCTAGTCCCTGACAACCCAGAACTATAATACGAGTCGAGCCAATTAACCCAGATCATTAAGAAAAATGAGACAACGTGATCCACTGCTCTTATCATGCATGACAGCCCGGTTTTATCGTCGTTCATGCGGTTCCCAATGGATCGGTTCAAAGTCGGAATTCTGGAAATGGGCTTGGTTGTACGGGGAACTAAGAGAAAAGTTAGTATTAGTAATGAATGTGGACCTGAAAGTGAAACTTACTTTTTGAAAGGTGGCGTGACTGGCAACGATCGGCTGAGATTCGGCTTCATCACCAACGGGTTCAGGCGGATCTGCGGGCCGTCTGACGTTCGACTGGGCAATGAAGTCATCGGTGGCGGGGCGGAGGACGGTGGCGCCATATGTGGAGCAGGGGAGACAGGAACCGACGGGATGGGCGCGTGGGTTGGCATAGGCGATTGATACATGTCTTGTTGCGGGGACATGCGGAATGGACTGGCGGGAGTTGGCGAGACAGAAGGCATTGGAGACATGGGACCACCCATCCCGAAAGATGCGTCCTGCATCAGGTTGGGAATGGCCATTAAGCTGGGATTGACGTCGAATCCGAGAGCAGCCTGGTCCCAGGAGGAGTAGTCGGACGTCATCCCGTATTGGAGGTTGACTATGGGTGCCATATTCAAAGTTTCGACCGGGTAAAGGATATCATAATGGCCGCTGTGGATGTTAAACGTGGTCAACACATGCTGCCTAGAGAAACTCACGGTCGGTATAGGAGGCGGATTGTTGCACCACTGGGATTATGAGAGGACAGTTGGTGGGGTGTCACGACGTCGCCTTCACTTCGGTCGAGGTAAAGGATTTCGACTCCAAATCCGGAGCCTTCGATTACACCGTCGATCAGTGCCTGCAGGCCAACTTCGTCGATTTCGGTCTTAACCGGGTCTATCCGCGAGCTGCAGTACTGATTGAGTGACATGGGTAGGAAAGCCTGGTACCGGCTCGGGTTGAGCTTCATCCAGGCACTAGTCAAGATCTGAGAGAATCAGTTTACGTCGGAGGGAAGGGAATGACGCGCATCATCCGAGACATACTCGGAAGTGGGTAATGATAGCATCAGAGCAGTAGCCCTCGTTAAAAGCCTCGACGAGGAAAGACTCGTCCCGGGCGCCATTCTGGATAGCAGCATGGGTGCGGTTGAGGACGTCCTCCGTAGCATCGACAAAGATCTCGTAGATAGAATCCGACAGACCGACCCGTTCCAAAAGCGAAGTAAGAGCCTTCATTCTCTGGATCTCGGTTTCAATACGGAGCGTGTCTCTGAGGGTGAAGAGGGTCTCGAAATAACCAAATGCCACAGCTGTAAGGATTAGCGAAGATACACATGATATCGCATATAACCATACCTCTCCAACCACAATTCCCGTCGCCTTTCATGATCCGGCATTCGGGATGGGTGATAGAAAGCGCCTGGGCAAGTTAGACGAGACATGGTAACGGCTCAACTCAAGCTTACATTCGTCTTTGTAGCTAGAGTAGGATCCGCATTCGAGTAATCCAAGGCGATGCTGTGGCTAGACTGTTTTATTGAGACAAGGGGACCCTGTCGACACGGTATCAGCCAGGGCTGCAGAGGATAGTCGAAACCAATTACCTGGACTTCGGGCTGGTAGTTGTTGGACAGCTTCTGGAAGCGCTCCATCTCGTCGGCGGAGAGCGCATTCATATTGGCGGGGTGAGAGGAGACTGGATGGGAGAAAGCAGTTGACAGTGAAAGCGCTACAGGCGAGAGAAACGACGAGGGAAGGGCGTCCCGGTAAAAATTGACGGGATTCTGCTTTTCCGGGAACGGCTGGTGAATACCGAAATGATTCCAGGTAGGTTTTGATAACATCGCATACGGTGGAGTTGTGCTTATTCGAGTCGAAGAGTGCGCAGTTATGCCAATGTTGTCTGAGGGTGTTAGATGACAGAGAATAAAATAAGAGAGAAAAAAAAAAGTAAGAAAATAAGATGACATACAGCTCGAATGGACATTTCCTTTGGAAGATTCGGGCGAAATACGGCTTCACACTTTTGCCTCGTACGACAGTGTGTCCCAGAATAGCGGATCGGCTTTTACTATCAGAGTCTCAGCATGACGATCAGACGCAAAACATGCAGAGCAGTCATTGATGGGTCGAATGTAATCCACGAGCACCCGGGGGACGAATAGGAAGATACAAGAAGTAAGACGGGACGGGTCAAGGGAAGGTTGTACTACAAGCCGCTAGGACTCCTGTGATGCCAAAGAAGTTTTGTGATGAAGAGCCCAGAAGCGTCCGCTTGGAATATCAATCACATGGGAAATCAGAGTTCCATGATGTCAGGAGGATCATGGGCCAAGAGGCTATAAGCGACCCTCTTCAATGAGGGGGTGCACGAACCACACGAGTGAGTTTTGACAGGGATGGAGCTGAGTTGCCAGAGCGGATATGGATTCCGGGAAATTATAAATGGAGGAGATGGTCCCCAGAATGGAAATAAGGGCGTGTGTATGACACACAATGACAAAAGAAAGAGAGCGATCGGGGGAGTTGCCCACCTTTGAGGGTGCAGATGAGATAATCACGGGGGGGCCACGACCGAGTCCGAAAGATCGCTGGAAGAACGCTGAAAGACGGAAAGAGTAGAGAATCAACCTCTCCAGGCCGAGTTGGAGGAGTTGGAGGAAGAGGAGAGATTTAGGGGGAAGAAGGGAGTTTTTGCGGGGACAGAAGAGAGAGAGAGGAGGATAATTGGTGAATGGCAGTTGGCCAAAACCAAGTCGGCGTGGAATATAAAAAGAAGAAAAATAAAAAGAAGAAAAGAAGAAAAGAGAGAAAACGAAAAGAAAAAAGAAAAGAAAACAATGAAGTAACATGCACCGCCTACAGAAGAGCTGAACAGCTCGCGTAAACGCCCTGGATTTTGGATTTTAATTTATGAAGTTGTACACAAGTTGTACAGAGTTAGGTATACACAAACGTATAGATATAGATACTCGAATAGGAAGAAACACATATCCGTATATCGATATCTTCCCTATCTCAACTACTTCCTACCCTACGCCTCTGCACAACCCTTCTACTATTGAGTATCTTAACTATCAAATCCCTAGTATCACCCCCCACTTATTATCCACCCAATTGCCGCCGGCGTCGGACTAATCGGAGCTCTATCATTCTCCACGGACTCGCCCAACGCATACATAAAACAGATATCAAACATATAAAAGAAATAAAAAACCCAAGCGAAAGGGAAAAAAACGCCAACAAACCCGCCAGGGTAAAAGCAAAAGGCCCCAAAAGCGGGGTTTGCGAAAATCTCCAGGGCTGAGAGCGACGGGGATAATTCGTTGGGCTCGTGATTGGTGCAGCGCCCCGATTTGATGCAACGGCCTTTTGCTTTTCCTTTCTTTTTCTCGTCTCGTTATTTTCGGCGCTGATGGTGGCATTGGCTTTTGTGTTGTGTTGTTTTTCTTTTTTCTTTCTATGTCATCCTATCATTTTACCCGAGTCGGTAGTTGTGTTGGTTGTGCCTTGATTCTTGAACTGCCCATCACCCGACCTGCCCTCGGACATTCTATTCTATTCTATTCCTAAACCTATCCCTCACCCTATTCCTTGATAGGCTATTCGTATTTCTTTGATGTGATTTCAGTTCCTACCGGCCCAGGCGCAGATAGAGCTCATATGCCGGTAGAACCAAATTACATCCAACGTCGGACCCGATCTGGAGAATGAAAGAAATCGGGAACTGCCCGGGACAGAGGCCCCATAGCTGATGCGCATCTATCATGCAATCCTATAGGAGATAAGGAAATGTGTTCACATGTCTTTGGCCGTACGTCGCTTTGCATTTTACCTTTCTTTGTATCGGAGTGTTCTTTTTCCGATTGTAATCTCGCCGGTTTTATCTGATGTATATATATTTCGGGGCACATCCTAGGTTGAGTTAAAGCTTCCTACCTACGGTATACTACCAAGGGATTTAGACTTCAATATACAAGGCAGTATTCTACGGATACCTACTAGTACTACACCTAATACCGACCCTACATACACTATAAAACATACATAAACATAAACAGTTCATCTTATCGTCATTTTAGCGCTGTCAGACCAACTCTAAATAGCGGGGCTGATTCTCAGTCCTCAACCGAACAAAGAAACGGTGAGTTCTTCTCTTTCTGTTTTCCACGCGGCTCAGCCATATATGCACACGTGGAACCAAGGGCGCTTAGAGACCAACCGCTGGAAAAAGCCTAGAACAGCCATTTGGTAGGCATCTTGCCTCGCCCGTCCTTGCGTGCACGGGGCGCCGTGGGTCGCATACCCTCGTCTCCAAGACTCGATTGGAAAATCGACCCTTGGGAGGGTTCGTTCGCCCGCAGCCCCTCACCGTTGAGTGTTGTTTGCCAGAGGGTGCGCAGCGCGGAGCTCCACTCTCCCACAGCTCGCAGCCGCTCCACGTCACTCGCACTCTCCACTACCACCGTCCCATTATCCTGGTCAATCTTGGCGTTGAGCTTTTTGTCCAGGATGAGGAAACTGAGAATGTCCAGCACCTCGGGCACGGAGACCTTGATGTGTTTGGAGATAAATTGCAGCGAAAACCGCGTGTAAGGCGCAATCAATTTGAGGACCGCCTTGGTGCGCATGTTGCGGCTCACCTCGTCGATGTTCTCCGCAATGAAGGGATCGGCCAGGACGTCGGGATTCTTGCTCAGCACGTCCTCGTATGCATGGATGTCGTCTCTTTGGAAGGCGTCCACCAGGTCGGTCATCGCGGAAATCCGGGGGTCATTCTTGTATGGCTTGGTCTCCTGCGAATCGAACGGGTTGATGTCGGACTTCATCAGCATGGTCGTCAAGACAAGGTATTTGAGAACCTGGATTCGTTGCATAGAACCCGCCTCGTCGTAATTCCGGAACGACTCGAAAAAGTCACTTTGTGCCTCCTTCCAGTTCTCTTCGCTCATGTGCATCTTGCCTCCGCATTCACGGATAATGCCCATGATCTTGGGATGCGGCACGGCCGACCGCACTCGGAGAGCGCGCTCGTACAAGGCCTTTAGTCGTTTGTTATTCTTCGTCTCCGAGGACATCTGGATCTCTAGCGCGTAAAGCTCGAGTAGGTATGTTCCTTTGCTGGTGTCGTCCGACCCGTCCTCTCGTTGACACGCACGGTGTAATTCCCGCATCTTCTTAGCCAGCTGGCCGTATTGCTTGCGCTCCAGCCACAGGCGAGCTAGTTTAATATTTGTCTTCAGCCAAAGCCGCTCGTTGTTTGTGTTTTGGAACGATTCGAGGGTCAGCGAGTAGAACTCCTCCATGCATTGATACGCCTCTGCATTATCGGATCCTTTCTCGATAAAGTCGAGCATATTGTTGATCGATTTCTCCGAGTAGTTTCGTGTAACAGCGGATTTGACGTATGTGAGCAGTTCCCGGTAGTGTGCGACGGTCTAAAAGATGGAGTCAGTATCTGGGCAGCTAGATCAGCGAGATGAGCTTACATCGCTGTATCGCCCGAGCTTGAATTCCAGCTTGATAGCCTGCTTTAGACCTTTGAATCCCCTATATCCCATAGTTAGCATTGTTGCGATCAGCCTAGCAGCAGTAATTACCAGTCGCCTTTGTCTTGTTCCATGGGCGCTATGCCTAGGAACTCGTCGACTGCCTCTTCTGGATTGTCGACCTTGATTTGCTTGGCATTGTAGTATTTGTTCTCGATTCCGATATCACCGGAATCGTCGTCGTCGGCGTCTTCATATTCAAAGTCATAACTGTGATTCCGGTCAGCTAGTCTGGTAGGTGAAGTAAACAAGGGACCATACTCCTCATCCGCAGAGTCCTGCATAAAATCATCATCGTCAGACATCCTAGGCGTGTAATAGTTTGAAAACAGCAGAAGGTGGTTAGGATAGAGAGGACAAAGTGGTGGGGTTGGAGTGTTGGAGAAGCTCGGTCGGATAACAGCTGCGAGCTTCCGCCTTGACTATCGTGAGGAGAGCACTGACTTGGAATTGTATTCACGGTGCATTGACTGTATGCGAACAATGTCGATTCAGTGTTTGAATAAACATTGTCCAAAAGGTCTATGCTCATTCAAAGCTAATTTTGAATGGTTTGTTTCTTATTGTTCTACTCCATCGAATCAGCCTATCTACGGAGTACCTACTCCGTACTGATGGTTCAAGTGCCAAACATACATACGCGAGCTATTCTAAGCATACGAGGCGTGGCTGATAACTCAGGCTATTTACAGCAAAAAGGAAATTAAGAGTTCCACCTAGATAGTTGTACTTGTTACCGTCAGGGGCTTGGTATGTGATTTGTAGTCCTACTAGACTCTCTACATGTTGAAAACGAATTGAATGTGAGCTTTAACATAGTAGGAATAGGTCCAAGCCAGGAAAAAAGCAAGAGACCCTAAGCTGTATACAACTTGGTAGTCTTTTAGGTCGATCCCTTCTAGAAGGTAGGAGTATAACGCTCAAGATCTAAAACACTCAGGAACATGCGCAAAGAACCCATACAATGTAGTATGAAACAGTTATAAAAGATCTAGTTAACAGTTAAATCTCAAAATAAAAAATAAACCTCGGTGGACCAGAAGGGGGCTGATGCCATTCGCCGATCCTTCAGCCTTCAGCTCGATGTCATTGACTTAGCCAGTCCTGGAATCTTCCCCCGACAACAACCTCTCTCTTCTACTGTCACCTAATTCTTCCAACTCCTACGCGTACCACCTCACACACCAAACGCACAATACGCGGACGTACTGTCCCATTACCCCCTCATCTCCTTACTTGGAGTCTCCTGAATCGCTCGGCACCATGCAGCTGTGCGGCCGGCAGAAGGTGGTCCAGCGCAAGATGGTGCTGCTGTTAGTTTTGATCGGAATTTCCCCGCTAATTATTGGCGACTGGTCTGACATTATTCCAGAGGCGATGGTGCCTGCGGCAAGACATCGGCGCTGAATGTGTTCACTCGTGGGTGCGCAATCTCCCCCTCACCCGTCCCCGATGATGACAGCAATGCTAATGGACTTTGACAATTAGCTTCTTCCCGACGGTCTAGTAAGAAATCCTACTTCTTCGGAGCATACTTTAATGCAGGTTACTGATTCTGGTTATTGTCTGTGCTCAGCGAGCCTACAGTCTTCGGTATGCGCGCATTCCCCCGGAGTTGAATCTCCTGAACCTGCAGTGCTAACCTCGGAGGAATACAGAAAACTACGTCCATGGTACATAATAACCTCACTCTACTCCTCTGACCACGATCCCAGAAACTCACATGCCCTAGATATCTTCGTCGACAACATACATGTGGAGCTCTCGCTATGGGATACCGCCGGCCAAGAGGAGTTCGATCGACTGCGTGCGCTGTCCTACGAGGACACACACGTGCTCATGCTCTGCTTCAGCGTACGACAATTCCCCCTGTATATCCCCGCATATAACCTAACATGTTCCGATGACTAGGTCGACAGCCCTGACTCCTTCGAGAACGTGGCGTCGAAGTGGATCGCCGAGATCAACGAGAACTGCCCGGGCGTCCCCGTGGTCCTGACCGCACTCAAGTGCGATCTACGCAAGGACGAGGACATGAACGACAACCCCAATACCATCAGTTTCGACCAGGGCCTCGCGAAGGCAAAGGAGATCGGCGCTGTGAAATACCTGGGTGAGTGCTCTTCGATCCATGTATATTCGATCCCCGGCTCACATTCTTTCTAGAGTGCTCTGCGGTCCAGAATCGCGGTATCAGAGAGAGCTTCTACGAGGCTGCCAAGGTTGCTCTTGCTGTTAACGCAGGCAGTGGCTCGTCCTCTGGCTCGTCTTGTGTCATTCTGTGAGGTGATGCATTGCGGTCTGTTTTTGATACGCATGGTATTGCTCTATGTCTGCCATATTGGCCTTCGTTTATTCGCTGGATATCTATCCTGGGAAGGCCTATTTCTTCGCCATCTGTTTCTTTTTTTTCTCGTTTCTCACCACGTTTCTCCGTCTCTCCCGGTTGGGTTTGTTGATTCCCCCATGCATTAGGTGTTCTGAGCTTGCTTTCGACTTTTTTTTTTCTTCTCCGGGCAGACTATGTCTGCTCCATTCAGACCTCATAGATATCGGTCTATGTTGATTGCATGATTGCATAGCTCTGGATCTCCCTGTTCCGAGCATTTCAGCGAGGTGGTTTTTTGGCTCTCAATTACGATACACAAATGTAATTTTTCTTAGATTTTGCAGACTTGGTACTTTGTTTTCTACAGCCGAGCTATCAAACAGCATCGCACGCCCAAGCAACAGAAACATAACCCTACCAACCCAAGCCCGCATCATCCAAGCATAGGATCTTAGGATAAGCCCTATACTAGCCGGGTATCGTTCATCAAATCCTCCTCCGTAACCCTATAAACCTCATCAATCCCCTCCCCCAGCGAATTCCCAGCAAAATCCGCATTAACCCGCCCAACAAACTTCTCCACAAACGCATCAGCAACATCCCCGATCTCCAATCCCGAAACCCCCACCCCCTGCAGACTAGTCGCCTCCCTGCCCTCCAGGCCACAAGCGACAATCTGCTTAAAGAACCACATCGGCTCATCGGTAACATTCAGCCCGACGCCAAAGCTGCTAATATTGCGCCGCAGATGCACCCCCACAGCCGTGATCTTCCTCGGCTGCTCATCCGATCCTGACCCCGATCCCGGTCCAGGCTTCACCCACACGCCCGGGTCTTCCGTCGTAAACCCATCCACCCCGTAGCTCTTCAGTAGGTCGATGACGCTGTTCTCTAACACACGGATGTGGCACCGCGGCGTGAGGCCCAGTCGCTTGAGGTCCAGGATCGTGTATGCGACCATCTGGCCCGGCCCGTGGTAGGTTGTCTGTCCGCCGCGCAGGGTCGGGTGGTACTCTGCCTTTGCGGGATGCGTGCCGTGCGGGATGAAGAGGGAGCGGATGGGTTCTAGCGGTGCGGGGAGGGAGAAGTTGGGGTCTGTTGGGGAGGGCGGGCGTGTGTTTGAGGGTGGGAGGTCGCGGCGGCCGGTGGTGTAGACGGGGTTTGGGGTGAAGGTGATGATTGTTGGGTCTGGGGGCGGGGGTGGCGTTTTGGATAGGGTGGTGCTTGGGTTGCTCAGCTCTTGGGAGGATATTGAGCCTGGGGAGGTGAGCTTTTTGTGTGCGAGGAGCCGGGTTGTGAGGGCTTGTTGGAGGTGCGAGACGCGGCTGAAGGGCGTTGTGTGGGGGAGGTGGAGGTGTGCGAGTCTCATTTTGGTGGTTTTGGTGGTGAGATGTGGTGAGGTTTTCGGTATATAAGGATCGGGTTTCTCAGCGCATTGTAGGTTGGAGAAGAGTTTGCGTTTTCCACGGAGTACGAGGCCGGTTGTTGCGGAGAAGCTGTGAGCTCGCTCCGATAAGGTTTGATAAGTTCACATGCCAATGGCCTCTATATTCTCTACTATTTCGTATCGACAGCTATTTGTGTTGATACCACTTCTGTGTGCCTACTCTAACTGCAAGCCCAAGCCATTTGTTAAGCTAACAATTTTAGACCAATCAGCGCAAAGGTAATCATACATTGGCGTAGAATGGTCTAAATCTAACAGCCAAATGGTACCATGTACTCGAGTTTGGCAAGAGTAGTGCTAATGCGGTAGGATTCATAAGTCCATTGCTATACACTCATCATTCATCCAAACGGAAATTAGAGTCCAAACTATGAAGATGCCACGCCATTGACCAGCTCAGAGTTTTGCTCAGCAGGAAGCAGAGCCCAGTCGCGCACGCCACCCTTCCAATCCGCGATGCGACCCTCGGTAACTCTTACAGTAACGAGTCGCACATCAGTGTCAATGGAAACGCTAGGCCGTCTCGCGCTAGGATCCTGTTGCTGCTGCTGCTGGCCGAAGAGATTGATCTCCTCCTCCTCGAAAGTATTATTCTCCAAATGACGAGCCTTACACCACGCTTCCTCCTCCGAGCCGGGCTCCAAGAACCGCGCCTCGCCCGTAATGGTAGTCGAGATGCTGGACAGCGCGCTAGTGTTCAGGTTAAGCAGCAGGCTGGCAAGGGAGGAGCGGGTAGCGGCGGGTGGTGGAGAGCCGTCACGGTCACCTTGCGTCGGGGCCCGGGTAGGGGGGCGATGCGACACCCAGTCGTGGACCAGCAATGAGACTCGCGGATTGGACAGCAAGTGGTTTGTTTTCCGCGATGCGGGGTTTGTGGTCATGATGATGGTGGGGTGGGGGTCGTATGGGGTCGAGGGGAGATAGGTGTAGGACATCAGTGAGATGTGGGGTGTTTTATCATCGCATGTTGCCAGGTGCAGCTTGATTGGGCGATATGAGGTTAGCTTGAGGGGTTATATGTTGAACGGTGTTATACTTACGAAGCGGGAGTTCTTAAGGCACGAGACGACCTCGGATGGCAATGAGGTAGCGACATGGGGATGAGTGGTGGTGGCAGACGCCTCATAAGACAGCGGGGGGTTGAGTGATTCGGCCATGTTAAGAGATTTGAGAACCAAAAACGGTAATCGTGAAGTTAGAGCCTCGGGAGAAGATCGAGATCTGCCCACCGGGCGGTGTGCTTAGGCACTGTTTGGCCAACAACGTCATCACTTCACGCCTGTGGATTTCCAACTTCCAGGCAGCTTGCAGGTTACGCTCCGATTTACGGATATTGGTTATTCTGTGCTTATCATTGGGCACAGCAGAGAGCACTAGGCCAGTGTACACAGAGCAGTGTACAATCAGTGTACAACATACACTGATTAGGTGTGCAATAGCGTGGAGACACTAGACAACGTCATAGCGGCAGATATATTGGATCTTATTGTTGTATGATATTACGCTCGAGTACAAGAAAACGACTGTCCACAGCTCTGTAATACTCATAATAAGTGGCGATGTGCGGAGTACAGTATGAGTACGCTATCCATGTACAGATCCCTGCAGAAGTCCAATAGTATCGAGTACATCTCGCCAATGTCATCATTACCCACATTTAGCGCGAGATCAGCTGTAAACCGAGCCAAGTGGTACCAACGCCCCTCGTCACGATTACTCCCCTACCGAAAACTTGGGGAAGCTCCCTCCCCGCACATAAGCTGCAACCATTTGAAGTCAACGACTCAACAGCATTGCGATTGACTCGGTGATTCACATTGTAATCAATTCGCAGCAACTGGGACAGGTTAATTCTATAGATATTCAGCTAATATTCCCTGGCTCTCATTACTGGTACTGGACATTTCCATACTCTCCGATCCGAAAGGTACTCCGTACACATCCACCCGATCATCGCCCCCTTCTTCAACTCCTCTCCCTGCAACTCCAGCCTGATCCCTGCACTTACCTCTCCACTCTTCTATCCCCCCTCTTTACTTTGTTTCTCCATATCTCCCACCCTAAACCTCTTCTCCCAGCTCCCTCTATATTGTACCTAGCTTATTGCCAACGTCGGATTCATTGTCGAGCTCTCTTCTATTGTTCTTTCCACATACCATCATGTTGGCTCCACGCGCAGCCCGCTCAGCGCGATCCGTGACTTCCCTCTTGCGACCCTTCAGCTCATCAGCTGTGGCCTATCGTTCTCCCTCTATTCGAGATATTACAGCCCAGTCGACTGAGGAGTACCTCAGACGGCAGAAGGAGTTCCGCGAGAACTTAGAACAGGCTCGTTTGAGAAGAGAAAAGCAAGAGAGTCAGTCTGTCAATGCTTCTGCTTCTGCTTCTTCCCCCCTCCGTGAGTACGCTCCCACTGCTCCGCAAGTGAGCAATGCGAGCAGTCAAGATAGTGACCGCCCTACTTTCGATGCTGCCACGCCACTTGATCACAAAGGCCTAGGCTCACTCTCAACGCACCGCTATCTAGGGGATGACCAGCACCACGAAGGTCTGGCTAAACGTGGCCCTTTGTCCTCGCTCATCTACGGCACCAAAGAGGGCCAGCATTTTGACAAGGATATGGAACGCTCCTTCTCGGAGGTCCTAGCCCGCGGCAAATACGTTCATTCTATCGTGATGCACGACGTGAAGCCCGACAAGGTCGATGAATATGTGGATCTGGTGGGCCAGTGGTACCCTCGCATGGCACGAACCGAGGAGAACCGTGTCAACCTGGTGGGCAGCTGGCGGACGCAAGTGGGCGACAATGATACCTTTGGTAAATCACGATCAAATAAGCCAACCGTTCTGTGCGCTGACTCTTTCCTTGCTTAATTAGTCCACATCTGGGAATACCAACGCTACGAAGGCTACCACGACTCTCTTCACAGCATCTCGGAACACCCAGAGTTCCGCGAATTTGATGGCAAACTCAAGAGCCTGATTAAGAGCAAGAAGACTTCATTGATGCAGGAGTTCTCGTTCTGGCCCACGAGCCCGCCTCGCCGCCTCGGTGGACTGTTTGAGCTTCGGTCATACACACTGCACCCGGGCAATCTTCTGGAGTGGGAGACACACTGGCGCCGTGGCCTGAAAGCCCGTCGCGAAGTGATGGAAGGTGTAGGCGCATGGTTCGTGCAAATCGGCGAATTAAACACGGTTCACCACCTGTGGCAGTTTGCCAACTTAGAGGAGCGCAAGATCTGCCGCGAGCAGTCGTGGAGCGTCCAAGGCTGGGCCGAAACGGTTCACAAGACTGTTCCCTTGATCCAGACCATGAGGAGTCGCATTCTTGTCCCCATGCCCTGGAGCCCTGTCGGCTAAATTGAAAAAGCTGAAACGTTTCCTTTGGCCTATTCCTTGGATCTTGGCGTCCAGGAATCTTCATTGTTTGAATGAGCCGAATTCTGCGAGGTGTATTTCCCGAGATTGGTCCTACCTCATACCCTTATTTATCTACCGTCGGGATGCATGTATAGGGAACTAGGCCCTTTGCATCCCATATGTGCTGTGACCTAGGCATTAAGCGTCGAATCCATTAGTCAAGCATCAAACCTCTTTCTTAACTATCAGTTAGACCCCTTTCTCCCCGTATTATTTGAGCACGGATCTCACTCTCAGTCCTGAGCAAAGGCCCTCGGATAACCCCACTTTTGTTCCTGTCAACACTTGAGGCCTTTCATTGGCAACGCTTGGGACCCTTAGGCAGATATGTTGGTTGAATATCGACCTACGCGTCGATTCCGAGCCGACAAGAACCGAGGGAATAAGTTTGTAGTCAAATCCAGCGTATATCCATCTCGAAACTAATTTAAGGCCTCATCACTTCTCTCCGCCGGCAGAAAAAAAAAGTCAACAAAATACCCAAGTGGCCTCTTTCTCTCTTCAACGCCGATCTTTAATATCAAGCCTCCATAGACCCCTGTCTACGGCTGTTCCTCCCTAACGGAGACCTTTTTTTCTTCCTTTCTTCATCCTCTCTTTCTTCCCTTTGTTTCCATTACCCTTTCCCGGCGATACCTTCTCCGATTTCCTTCATTATCACCTCTCGGCCCTAAACGTGCGTCTACGACTCTCAAAATTGCCTGAACAGCACGTATTGGCAGGCACCGACAACTCCACCAAATATATGCCTCGAGGTCCGAACCGAGTACCCAGAAAATAGATATCCGCGCGTTCACCGACGCGCAAGACAACCGAAACAATGGTGTACATCCGGCAACATGAATTGGCGAATCTGAAGAACTACAAATATGCTGGAGTCGACCACTCGCCTGTCAGCCGGTTGATTCTCAAGCCGTTCTACAACAAATTCGTGATTCGTTGCTTCCCAATGGGGATGGCGTGAGTATTTCCCTCTCCTTACTTTTCCCCGGACTATGCATGCATGGATTATAGATCCTCTGGAGGCCTTTTTTTGAATACCGAGACGAACTATACGCAACGCAACATGGAACATGGCTGACTTTATTCTTCTTTCTGCGCGTCTACAGACCCAATGCCGTAAGTCTTGCCCATGAGACATTGTTACAATTGCCACGTATAAGAAAAATATCCTAATCTCGCTCGCTTCGGTAGATCACCCTCACCGGCTTCATGTTTGTGGTAATTAATTTCGTCACCGTCATGTGGTACAACCCGAACTTGGATACGGACTGCCCGCCCTGGGTCTATGCCAGTTGTGCGATTGGCTTGTTCCTGTACCAGACTTTCGATGCCGTAGATGGCATGCAGGCGTATGTCTACACTTATCCTGACAGTTGAGGTGCTTTAGATACTGACTGCGTTTAGACGGAGAACCAGACAGAGTGGCCCGCTTGGCGAACTCTTTGATCACAGTGAGTTACTGAATATAGTACACAAAAGGCCAAGTTCATGGATTGCTAATTACTTGTTTCTACGTTACTAGGTGTCGATGCATGCAACACCGGTCTCAGCGTCTTGGTCTTCGCTTCGGCAATGAACATGGGCCAGTCCTGGATGACCTTTATCGCTCTATTCGGATGTAAGCCCAGCCCTGCCCTGCCCTTCCACGCATAAATAGTCTCTGACAATCGTAGCAACAATCACCTTCTATGTTCAGACATGGGATGAATACTACACGCAAATCCTTACCTTGGGCGTGATCTCTGGCCCCGTTGAGGGAATCCTCACACTTTGCACCGTCTACCTATTCACCGCTTACATGGGTGGCGGTAGTTTCTGGCACCAGTCCATGCTGGAGACCATCGGCGTGCCGAAGCCTAGCTTCCTCTCAAGCCAGGTGTACAACATGCCGTTCACGCAGTGGTACCTTGTGTATGGCTCCGTTGTGCTCTGCTTCGCCATCGGCTCGAGTATCATGCACGTCATGAAGGTGCGTCGCGAGCGAGGCCAGGACCCCTTCACGCCGCTGTACGGCCTCCTGCCCTTGGTGGCCATCTGGAGTCCCATTTTTGCCTACCTATACCTGCAGCCGATGATTTTGGAGAACTACACCATCCCCTTCGGATTGTTTGTGAGTCTCGTCAATGCCTACTCTGTTGGCCGCATTATCATCGGCCACCTCACTCAGACGAGTTTCCCCTACCAAAACGTCCTGCTGTACCCGCTCGCTCTGGGTGTTTTGGACAGCGCGGGTGCGCTGTTCGGCTTGTGGTCCGCCCCTGTGCTTGGGTATGGTGTTGGGCAGGTGGCATTCGTGTTCGGGTTATTGGGACTGGCTGTCGGTATATACGGTAGCTTCGTGGTATGTTTCCTTCATGTTTCCCCTCCGCGCGACAATTTGCTGATCTTGATTTTCTTCCAGTTCGACATCATCACCACGATATGCGACTATGTCGATATCTGGTGCCTCACGATCAAGTACCCCTTCGTCGAGGAGACCGAGCGCAAGACCGGTTTGTCGAAGAAGACCAAATAAAGGGATGTGGCGCGATTGGCGGCGCAGTCGTGAGTGTTTCATGGGCTTGTGGAGAATGCCAGTTCAGTCTCTTTCGCCACAGGCGAAACAGCTCAATTGAGGAGGAGTCGGGTATCCGGATTGAGAAGCGCGTTGGACAAATGATGCCTGGCTGATGACTTTTCCAGTACATACTTTAGTTTCCCTTCGGCACAGAGAAGTAGCTTGGAGTGGCGTTATAGCGATAGAATATGAGAGTTGTAATATTGCCGTTCATTTCGAGATTGTTGTAGAAGAAAGTCGAAGCACCTGACTGCCTGCCGCAGCGAGTCCATGTCTCCACTCGAACCAGCGATTGCGCGCGTGCTTACCTCAGTAGCTTACCTCATCAGTCTTTCATTGGTGGAAAGTTCGCCGCCTTCCCGAATAAGGACAAGCGAGGGCACAAAGCGGCACAAAGCCCTACCTCCACCCAAACCGGTCCAAATCCCTTCAGACTTCTCTTAGAAGACCACCTCATCCGCATCACACAAGGCCATCGCCATCAGCGCCATTTAATCAACTATCTCGCTGATCGACTTTCACTCGTCAAGATGGTAAGCCCATTTTCGCCCTTTTCCGCTCGGTCCCTGTTCGATGCGATACCCACGGACATGGAAGACCCATACGGATTGTCGATTCGAAAAATTCAACGTCCACCAACGCTAACATGTTGTCCTCGATAGGTTCTCGCGGTCGATCTCCTCAACCCCACCCCCCAGGCCGAGGCCCGTAAGCACAAGCTTAAGGTATGAACCAACCGACCCCCGAAAGAAACACGAAAGAAGAAGTGAAAATATCAACCCGACGAGGGGCGAAACCTGGATATTCGACCTGGACCTGGACCTCCGATGCTCACCATGGAGCAAATGGGAAAGGCACCGAACGACAGGATGATAATGGAATTCTTCTGGGAAATGGATATGGAATCCAATGTTGGATGAACAATGATGGCTGATTATTGAACTTCTCTCGCCTACAGACCCTTGTGCCCTCGCCCCGCTCCTTCTTCATGGACGTCAAGTGCCCCGGTTGCTTCACCATCACTACCGTCTTCTCGCACGCCCAGACCGTCGTCATCTGCGCCGGCTGCTCGACCGTCCTCTGCCAGCCCACAGGTGGTAAGGCCCGTCTGACCGAGGGCTGCTCTTTCCGCCGCAAGTAAACGAGAAACGAATGAAAAACTTTTTTTTCTTGTTATGTTCCGGTTGAAACGTCAAAGAGAGAATTAGCATGGAGAGAAATTAGGATGAAAATACCAAGACCCGGGGTTGACCTCTTACCTTTTTTTTGATCGTCTCGGCTTCGGTTTTCGGTGTTTCGGGAAGAGAGTTGCTATTCTGGCCCAGTTCCATATACTGGGCTTTCTCTCTTTCTCTCTTCCTACCGGGCTTCAAAATGTCACATACCAAACAACCTTTTTTTCAATATCACCCTTCCCCTACCGAACCACACGGACATTTTTCTTAACTGTTTTTTCGACTGGTGTTGGGTTGTGGGGGGATGCGATTGGCATATGATGTGATATGGCTCTTTTTCCATATTATATCAGTGTACTGGATCCCCTCTTGAAGAAGACAAAATTTGAATGTGGCCTTTTGGGCTCATTTCTCATCCTATTTCCACCCATTGCTTGTTCTTTCTTTTGCATTTCACGGTGATGATTAAAATCTCAGCGTTGAATTCTTGTTTTCTTTGCGCGTTATGACAGATAGAAGATGGAGTGCCCCGACCCTGTCAATGACCCCCACAAAAGCATTCAAAAAAAAAGCAACTAGCATTCTGCTAAGGGAGTTCCGGATATCTGGCACAAAAAGGCACCTTGCTTGACTTTGTGCTCTGTTTTATGTTCTGATTTTCTGCTTTCTTGTGTTTGGTATATTAAATGTATCTGCGACTACTGTATATCGGGTTCTACACCTCTATCATGAGTTGTACCTCACATGGCTGCCAATTGTAGATGGTATAGTTGTAGCTTAAACTGCCAGACATTGTATACCGTTGTACGGAGTAGTTGTACCATATGATATCCAATAGCCTCTACGCCGCGACTAAGGTGGCCTGTAGACTAAACGAGAGTTCTAATACAGATAGTAGCTGTATCCTCCTTAGGATGTAGTTATTGTTGCCCCTCAGGATGACTGCGGGTCCCGGGTGTTCCCCACCTTGCACTGCGCTTGTCTGCTTTGGTGTAGGTTTCAAAGTGACGAGAACGAATTTATACTATACTTTGTTGTCTTGCCTGATACTCTATCTTTTTCGACTATGCATTTTGGCTAAACTTTGTGGAATCTATACCACCTCAGGAATGTATATGTTATGGGTGAGAATCCCTGTCAAGAATCGTCTGCGAATAGTTTGATTTCTTGAAAAACGACTCGGGAAAAGATATAAACACTTATTTACATACATATTATATCGAAGAACCACAGACGAAACTTCATGAAATTGCACTTCAAGGAATTGACATATTGCCCTGAAGCCAATGTCGCTCCTTCCTCTGTGACAGATGTAAATAAAGAAGGCAAACAATGTAAACTGGAAGGTGCGAGGGAGGGTTTCGCCCTTGAGGAAGGCACCGTTTGTTGAGGGTATAAAAGGGTCCCTCCCCCCATTTCTCTTCTTCTCTTCTCCTTCTTCTCCTCCCCATCTCTCTGGCCACCATCTCATCGTAACCCCCCCCCTAGACAGCGTGACAGAGGGTACCGTAGCACATGCTGCTTCACCTACCACAGGGATCATAAAATTACCATTGTTATGAGATCCATGTAGGTCTGCATCAGATATCAAACCTGGCGTTCTCGTGGACGTTCCTGAAGTCGTGGCTCTCATTGCCATTTGACAAGTCCCACGGAATACATGAGGGGTGTAAATCTTCGTAGCCGACTTGAAATCCTAGACTTAGTCTCTCCGCATACTCTAATGTCTTGTTTATATCACAGAATCGTTCGCGCTGAGGTCCTCGAAGACGGTTCTAACACGACACGATCCATCTTGCATGCGCAACCAAAGGCACCCTCTTTTCCTCTGTGCATATTAGAAGAGCAATACTAAAGCTTAAGAGACTGAACCTCTAGTTTGAACCAAGGTTGTATGTACATATGGATATGTCATGATACGTTTCTGTTTGTATCAGAAGCCCCTGGACAAGAGTTGCCAGTAATGAAGAGAAGATAGAAAATGAAGAACAAGTACAGTAAAGCCCAGCCTAGCTCGTCATGATCTCCCCATCCCCTTGGATGGATATATAGAATTAAATAAAAGACTGAGCTTTGAACTCTTACTGAATCAAAATGAGCGCCTTGGCCTTGATCTCGGGGCCAAAATCAACAGGGTTGGAGGGGTCGCCGCCGGTCAGCATGGCCAGCTTTCCAGTAGTGTCGTTGACGAGTGTATTAGCAAACATATTGCGGCCACCAATCTCATCTACAGCTACCTTGGCAGCGTTGTCACCTGCAGCGTACTTGTTGGGGTCAACAGCCTGCAGCCGGTTGTGGCTGTTGCGGACAAAATCGTACAAGAAGTAGATAGTTGGGTGCCGGTTAGGGGGATTGCACTGGGGGTGGGCTTCAAATGCACTGTTCAACTTGTTAGCAACATATACTACTATATTTCTGCGTGGTGGGGTTGTAGGGGGGGGAACATGCTCAAGTAGAGCCTGCATCTTGGCATTCATGTCTTGAATATTGATAGTATCAGACATGACGGCGGGTTGTATATGGTATTTGTCAGAATGGAAGGTAGAATTGAGACCTGAATCGGATGTTTGCTGATGTGACGAAGCTGTTTACATTTGGAATTTCCTAAATAGGACCCCGCACTCCGCCTTCCCCTTCCTTATCTCTTATCGGACTTACATCGGAGAAAAAAGAGTCCTTTTCTTCCAAGGTTCTACTCTTTCCTCTTCTAATGTATAAAGCAACCCTCTGCTCTCAGTCTTTAAAATCCCTCCTACTCAAACCTACCCAAGCCCACCTCCTAGCAACAATGGCTCCCACCACCCCAACCCCAACCTCACCGCGGAAACCGCTCAAACTGCTGATGCTCCACGGCTACACGCAGTCCGGCAACATCTTCAACTTCCGAAGCCGCGCTCTGGTAAAACACCTCCAAAAGTCCCTGCCCCTCTACGAAGTCTCCGCCGCATACCCAACAGGCCCTATCCGCCTCCAGCCCAGCGAGATCCCAGGCTACGAGCCCTCCCCAGAAGTCAACCCAGACGACGAGATCGAAGCCTACGGCTGGTGGCGGCACTCCACCAGCGCGACCCCGCCGCTGTATGCCGGCATCGAAGAAGGGTTCGCGACCGTAGCGCGCACACTGAAAGAAGAGGGCCCCTTCGACGGCGTGATCGGGTTCTCGCAGGGCGCGGCGCTGGCCGCTATGGTCGCTTCGCTGCTGGAGCCTGGCCGGAAGGAGTCGTTCGAGCACTTTTCTAAGATAAGCGATGAGGGGGGCGCGGGCATGGATTTCCCTGCGTCGTTCGCGGAGGACGGGTTCCAGCATCCGCCGCTTAAGTTTGCGATTTCTTACTGTGGGTTTAGGGCGCCTGGGGCTCGGTATAGGGCTTTCTATGAGCCGGCGATTCAGACGCCTGTGTTACATGTGCTTGGGTCTTTGGATGCGATTGTTGAGGAGGTGAGGAGTCGGGGTTTGGTTGAGGCTTGTGCCGGTGATCCGGACAAGAATGGGTTGGTTGTTTTCCATCCTGGTGGTCACTTCTTGCCGAGTAAGCGGCCGTATCTTGATGCTGCTCTGACTTTTATTCGGGATGAAATGGATGGTAATGGCATCTTCTCGAAGAAAAATGAGGCCAAGGAGGTGGAAGAGGATGTGAATGATATGGATTTGCCATTTTGAGGACAGAGCTTGTACATATAGACGGAGCTAGATTTAGATTTTTTAGACCATGCTTACATGTAGCACATATACACCCCTACCCTAAGAATAAAGACTTGATGATTGGTACTGTCATGAGACAGAAATTTGCTGTGTATGGGTCATATAAAGGTCAATGCTGCGACTTCACTACTCATGGGTCTACCGGCGAATTATTTTACACGCGGTGGCAGCAATCCCCGCGCCCAAGTCCTCCACATTCATCTCAACTTAATGCGCCTTGCCCATGTCACTGCGAGTGGGCTGAATACGGGCCATCATCTCCTCCTTGGTGATCAGATGATCGATCCGCTCGAGCAGACCCAGCAGATTCTTCATGTCGCTGCTCCACTCGTTCAGAACGTCATCGGCATCCCGGGGTTTGGCAAAGTTGACCAATCGCGCGGGTCGGTCGATCTTAGCGTAGATGGTCTTCGATGTGACCAGATCACTAATGTACTTCTCCGTCTCTTCCTCAGTCAGATCCAAAAGCTGGGTCAGACGGCCCATCTGAATGCGAGTGTAGTACTTGGCCACTACACGGACATTGTGCTCAATGACACGCTTCCGCAGGTCTTGCCACCTCTGGTTTGCTTGGTTCTCCGTAGACTGCTTTGGCTCGGCGTCGAACACGTCTGTGCTGCATAGATGGGGGCCGAACTGCTCGGCGACCATAGGCCAGCGCATCAGCTCGGGGATGGTGAACAGCTTCAACAAGCGGGATTCCTCGGGGACTTGTGACAGCCGTGAGTCTTGCTTGATGCGGTGCAGGAGGTCGGATTGTTCATTATCATAGGGAGACAGGACGACGTAGTACACAATGCGGGCGAGTGACTATAGTTGGGTTAGTGGCAATCTAAATTTTGAGATAGGTAAGTTTACTTACGGCACGCAGCTGCTCTGGGTTGTTCTCGACTGCTTCCGTGTCCAGGACTTCCCGGTAGTTCTTGCAAACCTCGAGATATTTGCTATCGTGGTTGGCCAAGATAATCTGCTGTTCGAAGTAACGAAGTTTGAGATCTGTGACGTCGTCATCCACCTCTATGGGTGCCTCATCAGGCCCACGGGTCTTCTCTCGCTCCTCTGCCTCCTTCTTGAGCGTCTCGATCTGCTCAGCCGACCTCTTCGGCTTGCGGTTGAAGTACCGCTTGTTGATCTTGCGGCTGAGAATCTGGGCCTGGGTCCAGTCTCCGCGCTCAATGCACAAAGAGACCTGCTCCAGAATGAATTCTGTCTTTTCCCGTCTCGTCATTGACCCAAATGTTTCCACCTGCAACTCACACAGGATGTCTGCTGCCGAAGTGAGATCACCTTGGGTCTTCTTGATATTTGAAAGTATGCGGGTAACACGGGCTCGCTCTACTTCAACAAAGATCTTTGCGATAATTAGCATCACTTCGGTCAAGATCAATGGTTCTCAGCGTACCTTTCCCTCAGTCACTGTGCGCAGAGTTTCGATAACAGACAACTTGACCTCCAGGCTGGGTGTGTCATCCAGGAATGTCATCACCGTCTGCACCATCTTCGTTGTGGCCTGCTTGAGTTGGGCATGTTTCTTAGATAGGAGCAGCACTTGGTCGTTCAGAAGGTTCCAGTCGCCGGAGTTCTTGCTGATGGTGACAATGGCAATCAGGAGTCGCGATGTAGTGGCAAGATCGGATGCCTGAATAAGAAAATCTTGATTAGTTTGGGTAGGGGAGTAATGGGGTGGCACTCGGCGTCATACCTGTCTGGATTGCTTCTCCAAACCCAGCAGCTTATCGACTGCTCCCTGGACATCGGTCTATAACCATATACGTTAGCATCAACTTTGATATGGATATCATGTCCGGGTGTACCTTTGCGAGATCTTCTGCCTCCGGGATGAGCTTGTCGGCATCCTTGGTGAAGTCCTTCTCGGGCTTCAGCAGGCCGGACATGATGACGAATGAGGCTGGAGGGCCGGTGAATCAATTTAAAATATTAATAGGTTAGTTGATAGGAAATTTCTTTAAGCAGGTTTGTTGCGCTTGACAACGTGAGATTCGCGGAATGAAAGAGGATGATGGAGATGATGCTTGTAGCTCCGGTGTTGCGCCCTTACGAGCTGGAAGCTCCGTCCCACGTGACCGAAACATCGCCTTCCACTCTGTCTGGAGTACTTGCAGTTGTCCTCTCGTCTAGCACTTGGGAACATCCCAGCTAGTATATTCCAGTCTGTTATGGATACATATATAACTGGTAATTTAAGCCAGAGCTAATGATCTATATGTTGTTCTCTGATCCATGTTTCCTGTTCAACGAAGTTAAACATGCCATAGCGACCAATAGAAGAGGCTCTAAACCGAATTTTAAGACCATCTAACCAACCGTCAGAAGCCTCTACGGCTATAAACAATAATTTCACTATAAATCGTATAAATCTACATTGTACCTGGCTGCAGCGGGATATGATTGTGCGTGGCCTTTGGATCATGGATCGTGGTGATTTCCCGAGGTCACCCTATGCCTACTCGGGCTATACCTAGGTAGGACTAGTGTCAAATCATATCCCGAACTACATCCAGACACATGTATGAGCGACTGAAGAGCGACAGAAGAGCGATTGGATTAAACAATAGAATAGGAGATACGCTATCACTGTTTTCATGGAGCAAGAGTTTGCCCATATTGTTCTCAAGAAGGGGTTTCGACTCGTTACATGCGACTTGACATTTATGTGCACGTCAGGCTACATACTGCGTGAGGGTAGCCATATCACAAACTGTACATTAGTTGTATGAGGAAATACGTCTGAAAAGACAGCATTCTGTTATCCTTAGATTTGATGTCCTCAATCTTATTTTGAGCCAAATGCGTTAGATTTCCAAGTCCTACGTCGTCAAGAAAGAGGCATATGCAGTTAAAGACCACGCACATCTCTTACTTGTGTACTCCCACTAAACTACTTTAGGTAAGTCTCCCTGCACTTCCCCGGCATTTGGAGTCACGTGGTGACAAGCACGCAATTGCCTTTAACCGTTTTAGGCAATAAAGATGTATAGAAATTTTTAGAAAGAGTTGTGCGTCTGCTATATATGAGTCAATGGTATAAGTTCGACCTCAAGGACCCTTTTCTGACTCTTGATCACCTTTACAAATCCTAGGGCTTCCTCCAGGACTGTCAATTGTGCCAGGATCATCCCCCACTTCGATAATCCTTATCGCCCGTTATCACCAATAGTGACAGGCCTTTTACTCAGTTTTGATATTCGTCGCTTTCTCCGCGGAAGTCTAGAAATCACTTCATTGGTCGGTCTTTTTGTTAAATACAAGCTTCAATTCTCTTGGACCCTCGGAACTCCAGATCCTTCCGCAATTCGGTCTCGATTACCTCTCTCAAACCAGCATACCTCTTACTAGATTTATTGGCGGGGCTTGACATTTCGTTCTACTGTACTTCACCATGAAGGATGCCTCATGCGATCCTAGTCCAACCGCGCCATTTATGGTTGCGTGGAATACCGACTCACAAGTCCACTTGATTGTCGGTTCAAATTCTCTTGCCGCCGCTCGATGTGCGAGGAGCCTCGAGGTCGGCGCAAAGCCGATCATCATTGCGCCGGAGACCGATGACATGCATTTCACACTATCTGAACATATTGCCAATGGCTCTGCCCAGTGGGTTCGTCATGGATTCCAAGACGAGGACTTGACAACCCTGGGCAGAGAAGAAGTTGATCACGTTGTCGACTTGGTCTTTGTCACTTTGGGTAGCAACAACCCATTAAGTATGACCTGCTTGTTCAATTCACAAACCACTCTTACTCACATTTCCTACTAGGTTCACACATATCGAAGCTCTGCCGGCGCCTCAGAATCCCAGTGAACATATCAGATGCCCCCGAACTATGCTCCTTCACCCTACTCTCCACCTATTCAGACGGCCCCCTTCACATTGGAATCACTACTTCCGGCCGGGGGTGCAAGCTTGCATCCAGGCTGCGGAGGGAAATTGCTGCCTTCCTACCCCAGAATCTTGGAACGGCCATCGACAGACTTGGTGCTGTGCGGAGACGGCTGTGGGAGGAGGACAATGCCGCTGGGCTCGTAGAAAACATATTCGACAGAGAGGACGACGATAGTACAGGCCAAAAGCACACCTTCAACAACTTGGTCACAGAAGACGATGCTGCCGCCGCAAAGACAAGAAGGGTGCGCTGGCTGTCCCAGATCTGTGAATACTGGCCTCTCCGAAAGCTAGTATCTATCACCGATGCCGATATGGATGCCATCCTGAAGGCCTATACATCTGGCAATGCCACCATAAATGACACAAACGGCGTCGATACCCCCTCAAAGAAGGGAAAAATCGTCCTCGCAGGCTCTGGTCCCGGTCACCCAGACCTACTCACTCGCGCTACCTACTACGCAATCCACAATGCCGACATCATCCTCGCAGACAAGCTCGTCCCCGCGCCAGTCCTGGACTTGATTCCTCGCCGAACGGAAGTCCACATCGCACGCAAGTTCCCCGGCAACGCAGACCAAGCGCAGGAAGAATTCCTCATGATGGGTCTAGCAGCTTTGAAGCAGGGACGGCAAGTCCTTCGCCTGAAACAGGGAGACCCATACCTATATGGACGCGGAGCAGAAGAGTTCGAGTTTTTCAGGAAGGAGGGCTATTCTCCGGTAGTACTACCGGGAATCACCAGCGCCATGAGCGCATCCCTCTTCGCCGATATCCCAGCAACCCACCGCGGCGTTTCCGACCAGGTTCTCGTATGTACAGGAACCGGCAGAAAGGGGGCTGCTCCTAACCCTCCCACCTACGTACCTACTCAGACTGTGGTCTTCCTCATGGCTCTTCACCGACTTTCTGCTCTTGTCGAGTCCCTCACTACCTTCCCCGCAGAAGACGCTGGTTCCCAGTCGCGCAAACTCTGGCCCAAGGAGACACCCTGTGCGATTGTCGAACGGGCATCGTGTCCAGATCAACGTGTTATTCGCTCGACCTTGGAGCACGTATGCCTGGCCTTTGAAGAGGCAGGGTCACGACCACCGGGGTTGCTGGTCGTTGGTGCCAGTTGCCACGTGCTGCACAATCCCCAAGGCCAGCGATGGGTGATTGAAGAGGGCTTCCATGGACTGGATGATATCCGCAATGAAGTGGCTGCGCAAGTGGACGCCGTCGCTGTGTCCGTGAACGAGAAGCAGTGATTCAAAATTTTCTTATATATATATTTCCGAGCGACGGTTGCATGTACATAGACAGCATTCAGATACCCCTAGAAACGAGATATGCATGATCATTGAAGAGTATCATTATTTGAGACCAATTAGTATTTTGAAACACGTAGACTAATGTTGTATACAATGTACACCTATTTTATACGACGGGGAAGAAAAGAACAGGGTGAGGCTAAAAATAGTGGAACCCCGGCCCGGCGACGTTGATCACTCCACCTCATTCACATCTTCAATTCTGACAACCACCCTCTGCCGCAACCATGTCGGCCAAAGCCCCAAAGCCAGTCTATTTCTCCAACGGGGAGGCTCTCCAGAGGTTATTTTCTCCCTTTTCTGCGACTAGATACCCAAATCGCTGACCAGTGTGCCCACAGCCCCCCGCTCACCGTGCGACTTACCCGCTTTGTCGAGAGCATTTACTTCTTCCTCGGCCTGTACTTCACTACTCTGTTCTCGGTAGGTACCTCTTACAGGCGTGATTATATGCGACATATTGTTTTCACCTTGCTTCTCGTTTCAGCCTGCCTCTCTTTCATATCCCGCAACTGGACCAATCTGACATATCCTAGCTCGACTCATACGCCGCTGCCGAGAGCTCCTCTTTCAACATCAAAAACCAGGGAAACAAGTATACTACTCGCCCTCGCTGGGGAGGTAGCACAACCTCATTCGGTGGAGGTGGTGGTGGAGGAGGTGGCGGCGGTGGTCCGGGATTTGGTCCGCGGCGCGTGGGACGTGTGGATGATGTTCGTGGACCGGAGTGCAAGAGCTGCCAATAAGCGAACAGTCAACGCGATTGAATCGCCGCTTCAATATAGCGTCGAGGAGAGAAAAGAAGTTAATGGACCAAGATCTCCGGTGCGAGGGTCCTTCGTTTTGTCGTCTTTTTGGCCAGGAAGCTTGTGATATGCGACTGTAATGCACTTTTGATATTCAGCGGAACTTTGTACTATGCTACAACAACCTTCGAAATACATATACTACGGGCTAATGCTGGTCTATTGAACTTGATACATCACCGGAACTTACCGAAACTGATAGCTCAAGACACCCCTTAGCGCCACAACACCGCCTCTTCAAGGTCACATTCTGTCAACGGGTCGTCATGATGATTATAGAAGCGCCACGTGACAGTCTATGCTAACCTTGGAAGTGTAGTAGGAGACTTGAAACACATTTCCGGAGGGAATCCCTAAACCTAGCATGCGACGTGCTATCCAGCCCAAGGAATACTACACAAACCACCCAGCATGAGCGCCATCCCATCAACAGACGCCGAATGGGCGCAAAAGATAGCCAATATGAAGGAGAAACTGCCGAAACCCTCGCTGTCCCAGCCGCCAATTCCAACACAAATCAACCGCACAATAGACCACACCCTCCAGGTGAGCCCAGTTGAAGACGCACAGATCGACGCGCTGTGTCAAGAAGCCCTTAAATACGAATTCGCCGCCGTGTGCGTGCGACCCGAGCACGTCGCCCGCGCAGCAAGCCACGTCAAAGGCAGCAACACAGCGGTCGCATGCATAGTGGGCTTCCCGGAGGACGCGCACAAGACAGCCGACAAAGTACGCGACGCCAAAGAGGCCGTTGCGCAGGGCGCCACCGAGCTCGACATAGTGATCCGGTACAACCTGCTCAAAGAGGGCCAGTACACGGAGGTATACACGGACATCTATGCGGTGCGTCAGGCTGCACCGTCGCCAATCGTCCTCCAGGCGATTCTGGAGGCGTCGACGCTTGAGAGGGATCAGCTTATCGATGCGACGATCGTGTCGTGTATGGCTGGTGCAGACTTTATCAAGACTAGCACGGGCCGGGATGGCGGTACGAGTACTGAGCATGTTAAGCTAATGCACTATGCGGCGGAGATGTGTAGGTGCTCTTGCAGGATCAAGGCTAGTGGCGGTATACACAATGCTCTGACTCTGTTACGCATGCTTAAGGCTGGAGCATATCGCATTGGAACTACTGACGGGGTTAAGATCATGATGGAGATCGATGAGGGGGAGATTCTTGAACAAGGATCTGGCCATGCGGTGGCTTGAATCTTTCTGAGTTTCTCGGAGTGCGTGTCTTTGACGTTATCAGGTTAATTTTTTTATGTTTGGCAGTGCTCTATGCTTCCCTGAATCCAACAGGGCGACAATCCTTACTGTTCTGCTTGGGACCCAATATCTCTGTATGTAGTATGTAGTTGTGAATAGATCGACCCCCTGCGCATAGACCCGACGGGAGGGACCGGCGCGAGAAGCGGGAAAGGAACCTATATGATATACGCTCAAGGATTGAGACCTTGCTAAAGCTCGATTGCCATAGAGATGCGCCCTTGGTAAACAAGAGAAGAGAAGCTTGCAGAGCTTCTGTGAGACAATTGTACCCACCCTTGCGCATCTTGCCATGAGAGCCCTGCAAGCCCTGCATTACCCCTTTGGGGTTGCCTCGCGAACACCCTGACCGAAAATGAGACCATCCCCTCCTAAGGTATTTATCTCATCTTGTAGATGTGAAACCCTGTTTTCAGAACCAGATGATTATTGAAACAGCATACGAAGTAGCTCGTAAAAAGTTGGACATAAGGCTAAGCTGCTGCCCAATGAAAAGAACACACTTAGGGTTAAGGCTCATACATTCAAAGACATGGATGAGAACCGTTTCAAGGGGATGCGACAAAAAATTTGGGTAATGAATTGCACTCATAAGCAAAGTTACGAACGTGGCGGACATTTATTATTGACCTGAAAGCTCCCAAATGATATAGTATATACTAATCCAAAACCCTGCGCCGATCCATTGACATGCCAATCAAAAATCCAAGGCTTTTTTTATTCGTCGCTCTGATCATCCGAGTCACTGGTCACAGCACCATCAATGTCCATCTTTTGAATGACTGCATCACCATTGCGACCCTTCTTCTCGGCAGCGAGCCAAGCTTCCCGTTTCTTCGTCTCGTGTTCCTGCTTCCTTGCTTGCCGCAGGACCTTCTCCTGTTGTGCGGCCTCCTGCTTCTCATGCAGCTCATTGACATAATCCTGCAGATTGGCGAGCTCCGAGCGCAGCTGTACAACCTCATCATCCGCATTATGGCGAGCAGTCTCATTCACCGCAACCTTCTTCTTAAGCACAGACACCTCGTTTTCTAGCTCGGCGACCTGCGAATCGCGGGCTGCTGTGTCTTCCAGGGTCCCCCCGGCCGGCGCGGTGCTTGAGGCAACGCGGGTAAATTCCGTATTGGCAGGCTGGCGGAATGCCGCGAGCTCTGCAAGACCATCCTCGAGCATGGAGATGGGGAAAGAGGAGTGAGTAAGCGCCTGAGAAAATTGTGTTGGTTTGCGGGAGTCGGATGGTGCGATGATCTGCGTGTGGAACATATATTCTGCGGGGACGGCGCCAGGGGCATGATTCACAGCCGAATGGCCACTATCATGGCGCGGCTTGACAATAGTGTGGGCCTTCCTCTTCAAATCCGAAGAAGGATGAGGGATCCCACCCGGAGGCAGCATGATCAAGTTAGTGATCGGGTGCGTGTAGTCGGCAACTGATGATGTGTACTTCCGTCGAGCGACATTCCAGGAAAGCACCTTGCCATTCGCGTGGCCCGAGAGTAACGTGGTTCCATCATATGTAAGGGAGACTGTCTTCACGGAGCCTGTTTCAGCCGAGGGAGGGAGCCACCGGTCCTCCATGGACACCTGCGCGGGTGTTGATTGTAATGAAGGATCGTGAAGAGGATGCTGCGCAGATTGGCTCCGGTAGAAGTCTACTGATTGAATGCTGCCGTCTTCATATCCCACGTAGAAAGCCCGGTCGACCGGGTCTAGAGCTACAGATGTTGCGGATAAGGGAAGGAGGAAGGTTCTCAGTGCACGACCGGTATGATAGTCCCACGCGATAGCAGTGTTGTCCTTTGCGGTTGATACCACGATGTTATGGCGGCCATTGCTATGTCCTATAGCCAGGGAGGTGATACCTGCGCGGTGGTTGGAGAAAGTTCGGATTGGCGAATTCGTGGGTTGGCGAGTCGCGCTGAGAGCGGGTTTCGAGAACGAGAGAATGCCAGGCAAGGACCAGACATGTACACTGGCATCGGCGGAGCCGGACAGGATAAAGTTGGACGTGGGGTCGACGACGAGTGAGGTCACTGGTTGCAGATGTGAGGCCGTTGTGGCTACTTGGCGTCCTGTACATGTCTTAAAAAGCTGTTAGACGCATGGCATTAGGAAATGTATCAATCAGATCTAACATACCTCCCAGACAATCAATCGACCACCCTCGGTGCCCAAAACCAATACATCACCATACTTGCCCCCGGCGACAGCAATGCTGCGTATCCGCTCTGGAAATGGGACAATGCCCTCTTGGTTACCCTTCTCCCGGTTGTACACGTGAATGACAGCCTTGTCTGCTTGGGCGGCAAAAATATGCGACGGGCTGACAGCTAGACAATTGGTCAAAGTTGAGCTCTTCTTGAAAGTCGATCGCAGTATCGATGAAGGTTGCAATTCATGGACGCAGACCCCTACATCTCTGAGCGAGGCTGTCGGAGCTTTGGCGGATGACAGCGTCGACGCCACAAATGATTCAGAAAGCATCAGGAATGGAAGAATGAGGCTGTCATACGAAGTATGGGAGGTTGGGTTCGAAGTTGTCCATTCCTTCCGAGGTTTTTTTTTTTCTTAATCGATTGATAACGAAATGTTTGCACTGTTTGGACTATAATCTCCGGACTTCAACCATCCACGGGCCGGGTGTGATCTATCCTAACCAATTTGGCTTTCTAACTAATGCAATCTACTAAAGATATCCCCGATCTTTCTTCATCATTAGACAGAGCGAGTGTTTTAAATGCATCTATCGACTGATTGTGCCGTGTTGTGTATGAGACCCACCGGGAGTTCGATCTATCATTATTAGTCAGCGTCATATAGGTCAACCAAGCTCAGCTGCGCCGGTCTATCAATCAAGATGATTCTGTTTCTCAGGCTATTCAGACTCAAATTGCGTGCCCATGGTGACCAGGTCAAGCCCTCATCAGGCATTTATATCCAACCCTCCATGAACTATGCTGATATGTACAATAACATCGGTATGAACCAGATTCATGCAAGGGATTGCCCAAAGTTGACAAGAAGGGGTGGATTGCCGTTGCGATGAGACACCAGATCCAATGAAGACCCGCTTTAATACACCCTCTGGCTGATCCTGTTGCCCTTCTCAAGGGCCTGATTCGCCATGGCTCCCTTCTCCCCCCTCTTGCATCTCAAATGTCTCATTCCAAGTGCCCAGTCGGAACCCAGCTATGACGAGCTGAGGCAGCGGATGGGGTCTCTCCACGTTGACGGGCTCCCGCAGGACGAAAGATTGAGATCTGGAGCCAATTGTTGCCCATCGTTGTCCTGGTAGCTCATCTTCTTTGGAATGCAAGGACGACGCGACCTCATTCCCACTATTATTACATTGGCCCGTGCCTAACACAACCCGACTGCAAGTGTTCGTGCCAGGCGACGGACCCTCTTTTTATGCTCGAAGGGGGAATCGTTCCGTTGAACATTTTCCGGCTTTCATGGCAGGGTTGTAGTCCTGTCAAGGGATGTGCACTTGAGCCCGATGACTACCCACCTTAAAATTAGCTGACTAGCGCCACACTCGCTGTATAAGGACATATCGAGCCCCTGCAGGGACTGATGCCCATTTGTTTTGACTTCAACAATAAACAAACTGGATTGCAATCTCATCTGGGTCGCTCTTGTGCAACACGTTTTGCTTTTTTTCTTCGACATTTCGGACCAGGATTCTTACTTCCAGCCGCGAATACCATTGTCCAGTATGGACTCTGGTGCGACAGACATGCCTAGCCATGCATGGTTTCCGGCCCGGATCCAAACGCATATAAGAAATCAGGGCTCCAACTCGTCCTCACTGAGCCACGATACAATGGCAATGGCCGAGCCAATCCCGTCACCGCGTCGATGGTCTCCCACCTATACACCCCGCAGGCGAAGCAGACAGATGCCCTCACTATCATTTGTACCGTCACCAGTGATGCCGCGCATAGAGTCGCATGACTTTTCGAACTCCCAAGCACGGCGACCCACAGATCGGGGGCCAGGTTGCATGTCGCCTTTCCGCTCGGTCCGAAGAATGAAAGAACCATTTCAATTAATGCTTCCGACATCACCGGCGTCCCTCGATGGCCCTCCTCCCAACTTTCCTGAAAGGCCAAGCAGGCCGTACACAGCGGCGGCAGATCGCACATTACGAACATGGCGCTCAGACCAAAACCTGAATTGTGGCAACCTGGAGGGATTTGGTCTTCTACCTAGCCCGCCTATATCAGAATCACGCCCCGCAAGCACGGGTCCTGAATTATCTTACTTTGATGCGCAGTCCTCGGATGGATCAGGTCGATCAAGTGACGGGCAGGATAAGTCTGGTACCACCAAACAGGAAGTTTCTCCAACGGTCGCGACGCTTGAAATCGGAGAAAGAATACAATACACAGCATACCGTCCCCCAGATTGGAAGAACCAACCGCGAACAGATGTCATGAATGTTCACGAAGCCCACTCAGAGTTCGTACGCCAGTGCGAGTCCAGCAATGAACGGGAGTCATACGTCCAGTCTCCGAAAAAGAGTGCACCTTCTATAGCATCCCCAAAGTCAATGCATAGCGAGAGAGTGGTGGTTCCCGGGAGCTCGCCAAGACCACAAAGACCCCGGACTGGGACAGTCTCGAGTGAAGCTAGTTGGGTGCCGAGTAACTTCTCATACTGTGAAAGATGGCTGCAAGGTGTTCCCGTTGACAAGGTGGACGATCAAAATACCACTACAAAGGAGTTCACCAATCGGCGCAAGTGCCAGATTGTTGAGAATGATCCTCCAATGCCAAAACTGGACATCATCCCGGGAGCAAAAGCCCTTGAAGAACCTGTGGTAAGTCCAACAATCTCTTACTGTGAGGTAACACTGAAAGCTAACCCCCATCTAGAGATTTGTTGTCGCCAGCAAGACTAAACCGAAACTTGTCGACATCGCTCGACAATCGTCACCATCGCCTCCACTAATTCCACCGCCATGCTTGCTGCCAAACACTGTACCGACGACCCCAGATCAGCGTCAAGAGGAAGTATCCGCATTTAGCCCGGACACTCCTCTCGATATGTCTGATAGTGGTTATGGGACTCGCGACTCTGGGTTTTCCTTTGATAGCTATGATGATAGCAAAGTGGATCATGACGACGACGATGCGTATACCGATCCAGGGTCACTGACCTCTTCGGACAGTGTTGGATCGACTGTGATATGCGAGAAGCCTGGATCCGCGCAGGGAGAGCGCGAAACAAGCCCACAACCGGAAATCAGATCAGGCAGCGTGAGCCCCAAGGCATCATTCCTAACAACGACCCATTTACCCGGGCCGACGTCTATCATCTCTGAAAACGAGGATGAAAAGCCCCGGATATGGCACCATGACTGGTCCATGGACGATCATGAATGGACTTTAGATGAGCTAGAACACTCTGTCAAGGATTTTCCTCGTCATATGCTCCGCCTCGCATCCCCTGTCATGGTATTCCTTCGCAAAAACGACGAGAAGACCCTGATTAAACCCTTCCGCACTATATTCCCCGATGTCACAGAGAACCTAATCGACTGTCTCTGTGCTGCCCTCCTCGCTCGAAACTACCTCCTTTCCCTGTCAACCATCCACCGAAACAAGCCGGCCATCCCACCGCGCAAAGATGTGTACGCCATCGACGGCGTCCCGAAAAAAGCATACACCACCCTAGGAATTCAGCTACCATCTGGGTCTGCAACCAAGCCTAAGGACCCCCTTTTCAGCTCTCGCAGCACCGAGCTCCAGGGCCAACTCGAGCGGATAGTGGACAACCTGCTATTCGCCATCTGCGGCCGATCAGATCCTACTTTGAAATCGGCCGTCGAAGTTCTCGCCCAAGTCCTTGAAAGCACTGCTTAACATTGATCACTCCTTGCATCTAAAATTTCCTTGCCTCTTTCCAACCTATTCTCTCTAAAACAGACTGAAGCTCATACTTCGTTTTGACCTCTCCTTTTCTCTGCAATTCTTCCCTGCACTCTTTTCCTCAAGACTCCTTTCCTACTGACTGTCCTCATTATATCCTTTCATATCTGTGTCCCTACCATTACTCGCTCTAATCATTGAGTTCTCTTTGTCCTTGTCTGTCCACAATTTCCGCTCTCTGTCCATCTTTCTACTCTTTCTACCCTCTTTCTACTCTCTTCTTCTCTTTTTTTGCTTTTCTCATACCCTTGCATCGCGCGGTACTTGGAACTTTGACAAATTCGTGCGTTTGGGATCAAGCATTAGTTAGTCTTTCAGTAGCATAGCATAGCAACCATAATAATAATTGGCATCGTCATCAACCAGTATTCCAACCCCTAGTCGTGGCAACAAAGTCGCCCGCACGTCTTTTATTTTCAAATGACTCCCAATATTCCTCCTTAACAATTCGAGGAAAAACAAGATATCGTATTTATTCCAAGTATAACGTCAAGGATAGACCCCTTCCCATGGATACTTTCCCGATCTGATGGGCGGCGAAACTGCTTAGTAATACTTTCCCGCGGGATCCATTGCGCAGACAAACTCCAGTTCGGCTTTCACCGGTTGAACTTAGCATACACTCACACATCATGGCAGCTCCAACAAGAAGTCTACGGCATCTGTCGTCTTTCAGAACCACCATATCCCCGGCTTCGACATTAATTACTCCCATCGGCCGCCGGAGCTATGCTACAACGGACTCCTCATCCGCCACGAATACACCAGGAACTACACGGCGGAAACCTACGAAGTTCCAGGATAAGCTGAATGCAGGACCTTCATTTTCAGACTTTGTTTCAGGAGGCCAAGATGAACTCCTTGACCCAGCGGAAGCCTACGCCCTTAAGACCGCGCTTGTCGGCCCCGCCGGCCGCAAGAAGGAAATGACTCGTTTGCCCGAATGGCTGAAGACTCCCATCCCAGACTCAAAGAATTTCCAGCGCTTAAAGAAAGATTTGAGAGGATTGAATCTGCACACCGTCTGCGAGGAGGCCCGATGCCCCAACATCTCCGACTGCTGGGGTGGCAGCGACAAGTCCTCCGCCACAGCCACAATCATGTTGATGGGCGATACCTGCACGCGCGGATGCCGCTTCTGCAGCGTGAAGACATCCCGCGCCCCCGCTCCGCTCGACCCGCATGAACCCGAAAACACCGCTGAGGCCATCTCCCGCTGGAGCTTGGGGTACGTGGTGCTGACGAGTGTGGACCGCGACGATCTGGCCGACGGTGGCGCGCGCCACTTCGCCGAGACGGTTATCAAAATCAAGCAGAAGAAGCCGAGTATGCTGGTCGAGTGTTTGACGGGTGACTTCCGGGGTGACACGGAGATGGCGACATTGGTCGCGAAGTCTGGACTGGACGTTTATGCACACAACGTTGAGACTGTCGAGGAGCTTACGCCCTTTGTCCGTGACCGCCGCGCCACGTTCCAGCAGTCTATTCGTGTGCTTGATGCTGCGAAGAAAGCTGTTCCCGATCTTGTCACGAAGACTTCGCTCATGCTCGGTCTCGGCGAGACCGATGACCAGCTCTGGGATGCCCTCCGCCAGCTCCGTGCTGTCAACGTCGACGTCGTGACCTTCGGTCAATACATGCGCCCTACGAAGCGCCACATGGCTGTTCATGAATACGTGACTCCTGATCGCTTCGAAATGTGGCGCCAGCGTGCCCTTGATATGGGCTTCTTGTACTGTGCCTCGGGCCCCTTGGTGCGAAGCAGTTACAAGGCTGGCGAGGCGTTCATTGAGAACGTTCTCAAAAAGCGTCGTGCTGCCCCTGGCACCGCTGAGCGCACTGTGGATAAGAGCGCTGCTATCACTGACGAGGCTACCCGGTGAGGTGGCTTGCATTTGAACGAATCGATTCAACTACTCGGGAATACCTTTTCTCTTGTCATCTGACCACCTACATGTCATTTAACCTCTTTTGGCGTTTTCTTTCTTGCATCTTCTGGGTTGTTGGTTTCGGGGTTCTATAGAGGGATTTGTCATTTCAACAGTTCAACATTTCAACACAGGAATTGTACTTTATATCAACATTGGAAAAGTCATTAGTGGCCTATTTTTGTCTTCCTAATTTCAAGCTATACGGAAAACAACCCAGTGATGCTTTTCTTATATCAAAATCTCAAAATGTGGGCCTGCTCCGTTCCTAACCCACTACATCCCGCCGCCACCCGCCACCCGCCGCATATAGGAACAGCGATAAAATGCATACGCTATAAGGTTTCCATACCCCGTACTACATATGTTTCATCCACATTGGCCACATGTCTGCTAAAGGCAAGGACCGACATAAACTCCACAACTCTCGAACACAAGGAAATCTCCAAGTCCAGCCTGGCAACCAGCTATGAGCGCCGGTTCAGACTAGACTTTTCGAGGGGTGTAATTTATCCAAAAAAGTTATATCAGGGCAAGATTCACCAGCACACGTAGTGTATACTCTACTGAAAACGGCGTGTTGCCTATTTAACTACTCAAGGACTTATTGCACGTCGGAGGTCAGCTCCGCGATGTCCTCGTTGTCCATGCCGAGCAGGTAGAGGATATCGACAAGGCTCTCGCCGTTGATGCGGACGGGAGCTTCTAACTGGACCTTGGACTTGGCGCGCCAGGCGACGCCGAGGCCTGCAGTGTGGAGCATGAGGAGATCATTGGCGCCGTCGCCGACGGCTAGGGTTTGCGAGAGGGGGATGCCGTGCTCAGCGGCGATGGACTTGAGTAGAGAGCGCTTGTGCTCGGCGTCGACGATAGGGTAGGACGGCACCAATTTGCCGGTCAGGGTTTGGGTGGCCTCGTCGATTTCGAGCTAGATGAATTGTCAGGTCGGATGAAATAGAGATAGTAGGAAACAGGAGAGGCTTACGTGGTTAGCAATGGCAATGTCGATACCGAGCTGCTCGGCGAGCCATGCGGCCAGGGGCTGGAACCCGCCGCTCACCACTGCGATCGTGAAGCCCAGAGTCTTCAATGCGCGGCAGAGCTCACGGGCGCCCTTGGCGATTGTCAGGATAGACTTGAGCTTCTCGAAGACGTCTGCGGAGACGCCGTTGAGAAGACTGACGCGTTCCTTCAGTGACGCGGTGAAATCTAGTTCGCCGTTCATGGCGCGTTCAGTGATTGCCTGCGGTGATGTTAGTCGCTGGCATAGAGAATTGAAGTATGTCAAGAAGGACTTACGGAAACCTCCTTCTCGACACCAATAAATTTGGCAATTTCGTCAATGCACTCATTTTCAATCAAGGTGCTATCCATGTCAAACACTGCCAGGCGCTTGTGTCGACGGAAGACGGTCTCCTTTTGCAGAACAACCTCGACGTTCCACTCGCGCTCAAAGCGCCAGATGCTTTCATGCTTGCGCAGATCCGGGAAGGAAAGATAGTCCGGGTTTGGCGGAGGAGAGAATGTGACCTCCACGACGCGGGGGTGTTCGTCGCGGTCAAGACAGCGGTGCGAGGTGTTCATGCGCTGATAGGGCGTGGGGAGGGTTTCCAAGATCTGAAGGAAGTTGGTCAGGCACAGCTGAGAGACGTATGGCCCGTACAGGTGATCCAGTGGCTCCGGCTCTAGGGCAGGCGGCTCCCGTGGGAATTTGTCCATGTCTTGTGTCGGGGCAGAGCCTTTGGGCACCTCGGGAGCTGGGATCTTGTCGCCTGGACTATTCTGGGGCCCTAAATCGGGGTGGTAGTGGGGGTGAATGGGGTGGTTTGATTTGTAGTAGATGGTCGCGACGATTTGCGACGTGCCGGTTGGAAGAGGGTTTTCTTGGTGGTTGAAGATGCTATGAATGATGCCGCTGTCGGTGACCCTATCCGGATCTGGCTTGATTGGATTCGAGCTAAGTATCAGACGATCGTTCACCTGGTTAGCCAGAACCTCGCCGATGGTTTGACTGATTGGAGTGATTGGTGCCATCGGTTTGTACTGCTGGTGGTCCTGCAGGAATGAACTGCTGCGCATTTGGCCGAGGGACGGCCTGGTACGGGTAGAATCTGCCATAATGTACTACTAGTGAAGCGATCCGGTACAGAGTTATTCGCGAGTGGAAGCTATCTTGACAGATCCCACACTTCCGAAGTCAAAAACGACTTGCGCCGGATCGGCACGTGGGACTCGGTCCCACCAACACACACGTGACTGCTGTTCCCCTCTCACGTGAGCTACCGCTTGGCAGAATAATTGTCAATGAGGTGATAGAAATGGACCACCTCCAGGAATAAGATGAGCTCAATTTTGGGTATAAGCACCCCGTCAGATCCACCATGACTTCAGGATATGACCTCAGAGTCAGATCTATCTATTTATGGATATAATATACTGCCCAAAATACGTACTCCATACTCCGTACATACTATAATCACGATTCTCCTAACTATGCGGTATGCCCAGATTATTGGCGATTAAGAAACCTGCTAACATGATATGATTAGGAAGATCAAACCCTTGGAAGAATACTTCCAGTAATAGGTATCATCGACTGGGTTGGTCATCGTCAATTACCAATATCCGGGAGGTTACCTCCATGGCTTCCCGAGGTCGTTGGAATCAATAAGCAACCATCTACGCCATTCTATAGAACATGGGCAGAACCATCTCCGATATCGTGGGTCTGGCCATATAACGTCTCCCATGGCGCCACCGCCTTCAGAGAATGACCCTCTCTTCCATCTAGGAAGGCGGTGAGATCAAAATATTCGAGCACGCAATCGATGGCGATGGCGTGCTTGGGGTCTTTTCAGTCCCCACTCTGTCCATTGGCCAATGGCATCCATGGAGGTTTGAAATGAAGAATATCCGATGAAGACTATGTTAGGGACGGATCTCCGGATGATGTGATTGCCCCTGCTGTTCTTATATTCTCGTCTCTCATTGTCATCTGTGACTTTGTTCTTCTTACTCTCCTACCTCTCCGCACATTCAATTCTATTTTCAACCATCCATTCACTACCAACGTCATCACAGTGCCACCCCATCTTACATTATGCCCGCTAAGATGCCCACCAACTACTCCTCTGAGATGGAGGGCATTGACAACCATGATAACATGACTGAGTCTGGTTATGTCAGTGCTGGTTCAGGTTCTAGCGAGGACTATGTCCCCGAGATTGTCTTCACCAAGCCCCATCTTCAGTTCCTCAACCGCCAGTTGCAGTTCCTCGAGCCCCAAGGTTCGTACTGATATCCATTGACCCCTCTTTCTGAAGACCCTTCATCTGACTCCTCCTTACAGAGATCTTGAGATGGTGCATTACCTCACTTCCTCATCTCTTCCAGACCACTGCCTTTGGTCTCACAGGTCTCGTCACCTTGGACATGTTGTCGAAGCTGGAGGTGCCTCGTCCCCAGATGGTTGATCTCATCTTCCTCGACACTCTTTATCACTTCGATGAAACCATGGCCCTGGTCGACCGTGTGCGTCGCAAGTACCCCAACAACAATGTGCACATCTACAAGCCCGCTGGCGTCGACACTACTGCCGAATTCGAAGCCAAGTACGGTGCCAAGCTCTGGGAAGTCGACGACCAACTCTACGACTGGGTCGCCAAGGTTGAGCCTGCTCAACGTGCCTACCGTGAGATGAATGTCCACGCCGTTCTCACTGGTCGCCGTCGCAGCCAAGGCGGCAAGCGTGGTGACCTCGACATCATCGAAGTCGACGAGGCCGGCCTCATCAAGATCAACCCAATGGCCAACTGGTCCTTTGCTCAGGTCAAGCAGTACGTGCAGGAGAACGATGTGCCCTACAACGAGCTCCTTGACCGTGGTTACAAGAGCATTGGTGACTGGCACTCCACCCAGCCCGTTGCCGATGGAGAGGACGAGCGCGCTGGTCGCTGGAAGGGACAGCAGAAGACTGAGTGTGGTATCCACAACCCTCGGTCCAAGTACGCCCAGTACTTGATGGAGATGGAGCGCAAGCGTCAAGAGGAGGCTCTCTCGCAGGCTTTGCACACCCAGTTGACTCCTGTTTGATCTGTCCTTTTGAATCCTTCGGCTGCATACCCTTCGGCGTTCTACGTGATACCTCTTCCGTTTTTTTTCTCCCTGTTCTTTAAGCGGCTTTATTTTTCCCCAGAGGCGGTACAAAAGTACTCTTTGCATTTACATCCTCCCTGCACAGGGAGTTGAGTTTAGTTCTCGGGCCCACTATGGGAATTGTTTTTGAGACATGATAATGATATTCATATGATGACAGAAATAAAAAATGAATATTTCATATTAATCTTTACTCTCCATCTAAATAGTTACATGTAATCTTGTAATAGCCTCAAAATCCTTGGATCTTTGATTTGTGTGGCGGTCACGTGCGGTGCCAACCCTAGTTTACCCTGCATCACGGTATCATTTCTGATCCACACAAGAGACTCAAATCTTAATTTCGAAGAGTTATTTATCTTTCAAATATCTAGAAGATTGACATGATGAGATAAAGTAGAAACTATGGCCTTCACCATCAAAGCCTGTGACATCGGGCGAATATCGTAAAGACATATTAAGAGAAAAAAAGGGTGAGGAGTTTCGAAAACCAATCAATAGCACGCATTCTCGGCCATGAGCCTCAGAGTTCGCGGCTTGACACTCCCTCGCGCAATACGAGACTTGCACGCACCTCGAACACGGATGCAGGGGCTTATGTAAAACCACAATCCAGACAGCTCATCTCAACATATCGACACCATCATCCGGGAGATCATACAAGGCCATTGCATCCACCAAAGCTCGCCTCGGCACTGCGAAGCTCTTCCGCGGTAGTGACAGCAACCTCACACAGATCAGATCTGACGCCAATTACCCGACATCTACGGGACACAGCCTGCGCAAGGCTCTCGTCAGTGGTGCTCTAAGTAAACGGCGCGAATGGTTCCATATTGCTGCCCATCTGGGGGGATTATGCCCTGCTCGTCGAACATGTTGACGAATGCCTCTAGTAGCAAAGGGACGATAATTTTAGCCTGCTCGTCTGGTGAGAGAGGGGAGATTCTGGATCGGCCCTCGCAATCGTCGTGGTTGTTGTATGGATTCGCGAAGTCGGAAGAATACGGCTTCGCCTGGGACGCCGGGGAGAGCCTTTACGGGGAAATGGTAGTGGTTGCGTCTGCCGGATGCATCCCGCTCCGGGCGCTGGAGGGCATTGAAACTCTATAATTGTGAGGCGGTAGTACTTTCCATTGTTGTGATGATTTATGGGGAAAGGAAGGGATGTTTTGAGTTTTCCTTATTACGTTCAATTAGCCTTGGATGATCTACGGGTGGAAAAGCTTGGCATCCCGGGGACGAAATGCCTTAATTCATACTTTTCTTCCCTCTTTCGGCTATGCTATCTTCACGCTGCAATCCCCGCAGGGCTATCAGAAATCCCAGCTTCTTATCAGTATACTTCATCGTTAACAACTGCTTCAAAAACTGGTCCCGAAACTAATCCAAAAACTGGTCCATTGAAACGGCCCCTAACTGTTCGCAGCTCCGCCGGTCTGGACATCTCAGAGCTTGATGATTATAGTTTATTTGACAAGAGCTTATCTCAGTTGCTAAAGGCTTTCGTGATACTATGGCTACAACTGCATGTAGCATATTGAACCATTCTTCGACTTCTCTCACATTACTCTCACTTACGAAGACCCACTCCAGACGCCGTTAACCATATAGAAGACCCTCTCCATATTTTCTTCTTCCCCATTCACCCATCTTCACTGGATATTTCCTTCATCCATCTTCCGATGTTGGATATGGTGGTCTCCACAATTCCACGAGAACAAAACCCAAAAAGTAAGGGGAAAACCGACGGAGAGAACTAGACAAGCAAACTTCGACGCTGTCGCTTCCTCAGCGACTGCGATGGATGAGATAGTGTACGACTTCAGCGGAATGACAATCGCAAACGACGACGGCGACAACGAAAGAAGATTTGCCGGGTCAGCGACTCTCTCAAACGAACCGACACGTCGACTTTGTGCAGGGATTACCTCTAGTCGGTTAGGCGGTATTTAGAGGCATGTCTTATCCATGAAAGCAACGTGGGGGAAAGGGAATGGCCCTATTCGCTCTCTTACGGCAAATATCAGCAAATAGGCTAGAGAACATTTATCGTTAAACCAGTTATGGTTTCGAAGATTGAGCTTATAAGCTTTAAACTTAATACTGGCTTCTTATCCTAGTAATCACTATTTCTAATCGGGGTAATGAGTTTAGGCCTAGGTTACATTATAGGGAACGGCGGAGTGAATTGAAAACACATGACTGTACCGGATGAGATGAATCAAAATTATCATCACAGAAAGGCTACGGAGATGTCTTGAAATTTGCTTATCCCAATGTGGTTACAACTTACATTCGAGTGATGTCCCCAATCTTGACAGGGGTACGTGTCAGGCGCTAGTCCTAGGCCAATCATTGGGTCCGAATATGAGGTTAGCTTTAGGACGTGTTTGTTGAGTGTAAGCCACCTACTCCGTCTTCTCATCTCTACTATCGCCCCTAGAATATATGTCTTAATCAGGAGTTTATCGAAGGTTTTGTGAAACTGTTGAAAGCCCCGAGAGAAGAAACAATGACGGCTTCGTCTCCGAGCAATTTCACCTCTGAGGATCAGCCTGAGATCTCAAACGCCTCAAAAACATGGAAAACTGCACCTACTTATAGCTATATGTTATCTTCAAAATAATCAAAGAGGATATGAGAAGTGACTCAGTATCGAAAGACTGTTGAAAGATCAGCAAGGTTATCAGAAATTCGTTGCATTGCTATCATAGGGCCGACGCCACGATGAAAGGGCAACTTGATGGCACGGCGCTCGATGCGATCAAACAAGGCCACACAGAGATTATGGAGATGCTAACTAAGAAAGATGCCGTGGCTTGATCTAGCACGCGAATTAACAAGCCAAATCAAACTGATGCATGGCTGTTTCGTGGAGACGACATGAGACAGACTGTTCTATCCCTCAAGTGCTGCGACTATCCTTTCCAAAGCCAAGGTCAAAAATTCATGGCCCTGTGTAAACACAAGTCGAAACCACCCATCCTTCTCAGATCCAAAAAGAAAACCGCTGGCCAAAAAGACCTTCTTTTGCAAAAGGTGCTGCATAACTTGTTCGCCAACGTTCTCGCACTCAGTTTCCGGGTGAAGCTCGCGGTATCTCTTTCCCAGGTTCATCCAGACGAAGAACGCAGCATTGCATCCTGTCGCATATTCAATTCCGTGGTCTTTCAGGTAGTTCGCTGTGTACGCATAGGATTCCGACAGCAGCTTCTGATTTTGTTGAATATACCGGTCGGTGAAATCGAAGTCTTCAAGCAGAAGAGAAGTCAGGTGATCCGTGATCCCAGAAGCAAAAGAATAGAGCGATGGGCCCGTCATCGCCATATGGAAATCACGGTTGGCCTGGGAAATGATGACACCGAGTCGGATACCGTTCGCGCCAAAATCTTTGCTCATACCCCAGAGGACATGAACCAAACGGGGGTCGATAATGCCAGTCAGATCGATGGAAAGGGCGGATTCGAATTTGACAGGTGGTGGATATTTGTCGACGGTATTCTCAAAGACCGAAAGCGCATAGATTTCATCGCTGACGAAATGGATCTGGTATTTCTGACAGAGCCGCATCAGCTTGACGAGCACTTCTTTGGGATAGCAGCGTCCAAGCGGGTTGTGCGGATGCGCAAGCATCAAAGCCTTGACTTTCTTACCAGTTGTTCGGTGAAACTCCAGCAATGCTTCTTCATACTTATCCACGCTTTCGATGCTGAGAGGGTCGTGTTCTCCGAAACTGACAGGAACCACGGGACTACGCGAACGCAGTGAGATGTCGGGGATGAACATGCCGTAGTACGGTCTTCCTAGAAGGATGCCCTCGCCGGGATCTGCGAATGACCATGCAACATGCTCGACCGCAGACGAGACACCGTTGGTGGCTATGACGTGGCTCGGCTCGAGTGGCTTGACTGGCTTCAGATGGCGGTCCAAGAATGCGGCGATGGCTGCCTTCAATCTGGAAGAGCCAGATCCGCCATCGTTGTAGGTGAGGTACTTGGCTGGCAGCTCGAGCTTCTTGTTGATGAATTTGAGGAGCTCGTCGTGCATTAGTGTGTTTTCGGCTACGCCCACGTTGACATAACCGTTGGGGTTTGTTGACGCGTCCCACGCGTCCTTCATCACGTCCCACATGGGGTTATCGGATCCGGCATCGACGACATCTTGTGCCCGACGGGAGAGAACCGATTGGGCCATTTTAGAGGTCGCGAAAGAGTTTTCACAGAGATGAAGTACGAGGAAGTACGAGGCCAAATGAGTGAGTGAAGAGAATGAGTTGGAAGAAATTGGTCGCGAGGCAGGTCCTTAGATATCGGTTACTAACGGCTGCCGCAAATGGCAAGTCTGGGTTATCTCCATGCGGACAGAGATATGAACTGTCATATCCGAAGGGCGTGGGCGGTGACAGGTAAAGATATCATCTAGGGCATTTCAGCCTTCTATATTGATCTTCACAACAGGAAGGCATGAATACTCTAGTTTAATTTTCTAGAACAACCTTATCAAACCCATTCCCGAGGTCCAATAGTTTTTGCCTTTCTTGACGTCAAATGCCAAGCTTCGACGTGAAGATATCATCATCCCCACATCAAAAGCCGAACACCGAACTACAGTCCATGAATATTTCGAGAAAGACGACAATTGACGCTGATATTAAGATTGAAATATGCATCTCAAATTCCTAATCAAGCGCAGACAACACAGAATTCAAGCCCATTCTATCTGTTAGCATTGATTGCCCAGCACGACGCTCTAGCCCCCGTACAGCAAACCCCTCGAAACCCAAGGAGTATTGCTCAATCAGAAGTATGTATCACACGTCTTCAAAATTTTAAAGTAACCTCCACAGCACAGTTGAGCACGACATACTGAGGCGTCAAATTCACGCCACTGGAGTGACGGTAGGCAGGCATCTGCGGATACACCGAAGGATCCAAGGGCTCAGATTCAATTTCCCTAATATTCACGATATGCATAGGTGTAACATGCCCACAGGGAACAGCTCTCGCATACTGATTTACCTTCGTGACAGCATCGCACACAGCCTCCTTGCACGACTTGACACCGATCTCACGCCTGGTAGCATCGGTGAGGTACCAGCTGATATTGTTCAATCTAGCGTTGGAATAGCAATCCAGCTCATCAACAAACATGCGCAGCTCGTCGAAGTCAAGGAATATAGGGTTGGTCTTGACGGTGGCGCACACGTGGGATTTATCAATATTGTTTCTTTCAGGCCGTTGAAGGTCTTGGTGACTTCCTTCGAGACCGTTGCTTCTGACTCGCCTGTTGATTATATGGTCAGGTGGACTGTGGCTCGCTCTGGGAAGCGACGTGCGGTGGAACGACCTCGTAGAGTGATATGGAGGGGCATGGTCGGTTTGGGATCAGGAACCAAAGTGGACGATGATGAAGATGATAGAATTAGGAATTTGGGGGTTTAAATGGCCCTCGGGATACCAGACGGTGGAAAAAACATTGGGGACTTTTATACAGTCTCAAAAGTTTGAATTGATTCTTCTCGAATACAAACCAATTCTTATCAATTTACTTAGCTTTCAATGTCAAATGCTAACTATAATCAAGACCACTCAACCAAGCAATTGCTCCTGCTTAGCGCCCTCAACAGCAACGAGATAAGCCGGACGATCCTTGACATAGAACTCGACGTCAACCTTTCCCTTAAAATTAGCCTCTCCACCGTCTAGGGTCCCAGCCTTGATGCAAGTCATATCGGGCATGATCTCTAGTTCTGTGTAGAGACTCGAGCCGCAGGTTGGGCAGAAAAAGTGCTTGTTGATCTTTCCACTGGTTCCGATCCCATCGTAGGAATTGGGGGTACCTATGCAGAAAGAAATGTGGAGTCAGCAACTGACAAGCGGATTGTGGGTGTGATTGTGATCGCGGTGCGAGGTGTAGATGTAGTTACCCTTTGTCACTTTGAAGCTGGCGCGGGGAACCACTGCGTTGGAGGTAAATGCACCGCCAGACCACTATTTGGTATTAGATGTTATGGTCAACGCCCATCGGCATATATGTATAAGTCTTGGGTTTCACCTTCTGGCAGTCGGTGCAGTGGCACAGGGCGGACACATACGTGTCGGCTAGGATGTTGTTAGCTTTGGATGTGGTTTCGATCAATTGATATACCTTCAACGGTGTAAGCAATACTGCCGCACATGCAGCTTCCAGTTAAAGTCATGTTGGATGCAGGATATACTTAGTATGCGTGACGAAACACCTTGGTGGAATCGAAGTGCAAAAAGCGGGGTTGGTGGCGGCTTTAATACTCGGAGTCCTTCTGGGGTCTTCTCCGATCGCGGGTTTAACCCTCAATCAGGTAAATGGTCGGTTTACTGCTTAATAGTCTAGAAAGGCAGGAATCGATATAGGCAGGCAGAAAAAGATTGGCATCATTCCTAGAAACAAGAACCTGCTTTATATACATCATCCAAGAGTCAAAAGCAGTCAAAAGGGACTCGACACCAGGTCTCTACTAAAACGCAAGATTAAAAAATCAGAAGATAAGAAATAAATGAAGGTAAAGATGAGACAAGACAGCAATGGTGTATATCACTTTAGATCCACGCGAGAAACATCACTGAAAAGGGATAAGACAGAAGGAAAATGGCGAGAAATGAAGGAATGACAAAACCGGGGTATAGAGAGGATACATAACTGCAAGCTTGATCGAACTAGAAACGAAGACATTCAAATGCCCCCGGGGCAAAAGGTGTTATGGGGTATTGAGAAAGTGAGATTGTATGTCCACAAGGACAGTCTCTTGGTCAAAATGCCAGCACTTTACAGTATGGGAACAACTCCCCAAGGAGAGCCAAGTTTCATCAGGTTCTCGGCTTTTTATATGCACCTTCCCCTGCGGATCCATCGTCTGGGGATTTTCTCTTCTTATCTTGTTCGTCTTCTCGAGAGAAGCCGGGACCGCTTTGTACTGCCGGAGTCGGGAAGGTGAGGGGACTGGGCAGCATGTTGGAATCTGGGCCTGACCGGCCAAAGCCCCATTCGGGGAAGAAGCTGGAAGGCGACGGGAGGAGTGCATCGGATACAAAGCGACTCGGCAAGGCGGATATGGGCGTTTCGATATTATTCGAGTTATTCCCATTGTTCGGGTTTCCGCTGCTGCTGCTGTAAGAGTCGTTTCGCGAGGTTGAAACAGGAGGAGGCGGGCGCGCGAACGGATTTGGAGGCCCCTGGGCTCCCGCACTCAGTATTGCACCAGCGGATGGCGACGGAGGGGGTAAGACCACGCCCGGGGGTCCATTTTCGGCACTTCCTTTCACAGGCGTGGAGGTTCTATTCCCAGCGGAATCGCGTGACGAGTCGGCCGTGGCACTGCCACCATCGGAGGTTTCGCTGGGAATCTGCACTTTCAACTGTGGTCGTTTTGATGGCAACGGTCCACTGTTAGTTCGGGATGGTGGTTTAATTCTTTGCGTTGAAGCAACTGGCCCTGCACGAGGAGTTTCCGTGGCAGATCTGACAGGCATTGACTTGGTACCAAGGGAAGCTTGTGGGTCGACCTTGAGAGAGTGGTTATTGTGAGACTCATATGACCCCGCTCCAGCTCCAAAGTGGCGGGCGAGCACAGAATCTCGATCATCAATAGGGGTGAAGATACTCCGTGATTTTGATAACGACTTCATTTGAGGTGGCGACTGGCTGTGCTCTGGTTTCATTGCTCCCGAAGAATCATCTTGGGGATGCTCCGAGGCAGGCCGTTCTTGGTGACCATCAGGCGCGAACCCTGGAGGCATCGAATTTCTCCCATGTTCCGGCATATATGCTTGCATATGCTGGTGGGGCCCCGGAGGCATTCCTGCATGGCCGTGCTGTTGGAAATGCTGTTGGGCCTGATGCTGTTGGCTCTGGTGCTGTGCCTGCTGCTGTGCCTGCTGCTGTGCCTGCTGCTGTGCCTGTTGCTGCGCCTGCTGTTGCGCCTGATGTTGAGCCTGCTGCTGCGCCTGGTGCTGTGCCTGTTGTTGTGCCTGTTGTTGTGCCTGATGCTGTTGTGCCTGGTGCTGTGCTTGGTGCTGTTGGCTCTGGTGTTGGCCCTGGTGCTGTGGCGGCATTTGCTGTGGCGGTAAACCATGCGGGTGCATAGGAGGCGTCCCTTGGTGTTGTCCCGGTGGGTGGCCGTAGTGCGCAAACTGTCCCGGTCGAGGTTGTTGGTTCATTACATGAACATTCGGGTTGTACATGGACGGATTGGGCATGTACGTGAACCCGCCATTTTGGGGGCCAGGGGGTGCTGGCGGGGGAGGTGTCCCATGTTGCTGGGGGCCTAGATTTGAACTGACTCGACGGATATGATTTCTTGAAGAGGGACGGGAAGTGCCTTGCGGTTGCGGGGTGCCATGACGGGTCATGGCATGATGGATCGGGGGTGACGCGGAGGGTGCATGGTTCATGTGCTGGAAGGCGGGCTGGTTTTGGAGGTGAGGGGGAATAGCGGGGTGGTTCTGAACTGCTTGGATCTCGTCGGGAGCCGGCGAGGCCTCATATTCCTCGTCATCGTCATCTCGCTTACCCGCGAAATCTTCCGGACCTTTATGCTCGTGGGGAGGACCGAACTATGACGATTAGTTAGAGATTGTCGGGATGAATCGAAGAGACATCTACCCACATATTGATAGCGACCAAGAGCCTCGTGCATGTCGCATGATGAGTACTCGTATAATTTCTTGTTGTGGCCAAATATAATGACAGCTACGTCGACGGAGCAAAGGACAGCAAGCTCATGAGCCTTCTTGAACAGACCCCCCTTTCGTTTTAGGAACGTGCTATAGCCGAAGAAGCTTTGATCAGCGACTGGAACGGCTGACTGGGATGATTAACTTACACTGAGCGGTTGCGGTCATCTTTGATGGCCTTGATCTCAATCTTCCTGCGACCCATGATGGATGGCTAGGGTGCACCAATTGCGCACCGGTAGCAAGATTGAGAATGAAGGTACAAGCAGCCGCGGGGCGACTTGCGAGATACCTCGCGACTATATTTAATTACCCAAGATACAGAATCGACGCGATGGCGATTCTAGCCGGTGCCGCACGGGGTGGATGTGTACGTGAAGAATCTCGGTTTCTTCCGAATGAGAAGATCCGAAGAACGGTGTGGCTAGTCAACAAAGGGATCTGAAACCAGAAACCAGTTTGTTTTCCATGTAAGAAACCCTGTAGATACTGGAAGAGGGGGTATGGACGCGACTTGAAAACACCCCCCCGAAGTTCAAAAAGAAGTTGAACCCGAGGAGACGGAAGGGTAGGAAACAAAGGAACAAATAAAAAGACAAACACGAAGTAAATGATGGAAGCTGCGGAGAAAGGATGATTGACGATGCAGGAAAGGTTGATTCTAAAGATAGAATCGAGGGAGAGGGAGCCCGAGAAGATTTCCTGGCTGACTCATCAGGGCCTTAGGCGCCGGGTTCTATATTTATCTTTTGGCAGTCGCAGCGCGAATATGTCGAGTCATTGTCGACTGAGCACACGGTAACTCGTTGTAGTTAGTGCTGTCCCTGTGGCTTGTGACAGTGGAGTCTTGTCCTTGGGATCCTATTGGCAAGACAAGTTGCTGTGATAGTATTCTTCGCTCTCAGCTTGGATGGGTCTACCGTCTATGCTATGATGTCAACCCGGGGAAGCTCAAGCTCAATATATACAACAGATATATAATGACATAGTAGTGGAATAATGATCTACAGAATATCATATTTACATTTTCAGGCTATCTCCATAGGTTATTTACCCCGTAGCATAGCTTATTTATGTCCCCGTGATATCGCCAACCCTATCTCCCTACAATATATAAAGAGAGCCAGATCTTATTCTCAAGTAAACGTCAAAGTAAACATTCAAGGTTACATATGTATATGTAGAAGTATATGTAGGAGTATATGTCAAGTATGTCCCTACATCCCCCACTGATTGGTCCATGACATATTGGGCAGATATACGCTGAAGACATATCGACACGTCTAATGACCGTCCTCCAATAGAACATGTCAATAGCCATACACAACCTTGGATCCCCGAAACCCAGATCAAACAGATAATCATTGTATCATTTCTTTTTATCCTTCAAGATTCCCAAAATTTAAATCGAAAATCTTCTTTGTGTGGCAGCTGGGCATCTAACGCAGTCGAGACTCGCGGGTAAGTTTAGTTTGGTAGTTTGGTTTCTGATTTACCCCTGAGCTTGTGAATCGCTTCGTTTTTTTTTTTCCCTTCTCTCCCAACACTTTGCTTTCTTCCGCTCTTTTCCTTTCCTCTCCTTTTTCTTTTCTTGAGGTCTCTTGCGCGGTTTCCACTCTGAGAAGCACAGACAAATAAGATCCTAAACGAGGGATTCTTTTACTTTGTCCTGCTGTTACCGGGGCTGCAGGACATCCCGGACACGCCTAGACGTTTTAACTATTCGCTCGGTCGAATTGCCGTGTCGGTTATCTGCATTGTGGTCTTTTGAAATCTCTACTAATCTGTTGTCGATTAACAGAAGTCCCAAAAAAGCGGACCCTTAATCTCTCCCCACAGTCCGTTTTCTGACGCGCAAATTCAATTGCCAGTGGCCGACCATCCGACATGTCCTTCCTTTCTCGGGTGTTTCGGGGCAAGGACTCCACTGCGACGAAGAAGCAGGCTAAACCTACCGCGGCGCTCAACACGGGCCCTGCGAAGCCTAAATGGACCGATGCGTGGCAGCGGACAGAGGTCGCCCCAGAAGAGGTCCAAGACCTGGTACGAGGGTGCGTGCATGAGCTCAAGGCCCGAGGTAAGTGGTGGATTTCCAACTCGACCGTGAGATACGGACATGGCATGGTGCGTCGGATTGCTGATCATTCGTCGCTGCAGCTCTTCACACGCCATTCCTCCTCCTACCGTTCCGTCCTAGCTCCGACCCCAGCGCAGCTCGCACGTTCATTCGCAATTACTTTAATCAGTCTTTCGAAAAGGGATCGCCCGTGAACGGAAATGATTTGTCGCAGGAGCTCCGGCTCACGGAGCCGATGGTGAGGGATAATGTTTTCCCAGGGATTATCAGGGGGTCGCTAATCTCATTCCTATGAATAGGTCCTTTGCGGTGTGATGAAATGGTGCTGGAGCAGACTCCCTGGCGGTGTTGTCACTTGGGAGGCGTACGAAACCTTCAAGATGGGCGAAAATGGTATGCGATATTCTTTGGAATGCGGGGAACATACGCGCTGATGCAACATTAGATTCGGATATGGCCCGCGACGCTTTCTCAACTTTCATTCCGATCGGCGGCGACTCCGATGCACGCACCAGTATTATTCTGGACTTCTTCGATCTTTTGGCTGCCATTGCGGCCCATGGAAAATCCAATGGCTTGGGAGGTCGCAAGCTTTCCCGATACGCTGGCTGGTGGGCGTTTGAGCATGTCGATACAGGCAATGGCTTCGAGGCCGCCTATAAGAACTGGGCTGTGTATGGACTTCATTAATCCGATGTTTCGGATGGTATTCTAACAATCTCTAGTGCTGCCGATGCTACCAGTCACTTGTTCTTCGCCTACCTTCGTTCGTTGTCTCCCGATGTCCCTCGCGGCGTGAGCGGCATCTCATCGCTGCCAATTTCTCTCCAATCACTCGTTGAAGCGACTGAATATCCTCCCGAAACCCCGACATTGTTGCAAGTTACGACTACAAAGGTGATTATGATTGTGGAGAATGTCTCCCCGACCCCATTCTCCTTGTTGCGACGCGCAAAGAACTTTGAATACCGCGACGACGACTGGCACCTGCAGGAATTTGCCAACTACGAAGACCCAGTCGATGCATTGACCGACGAGTGTCTCCGTGTTCTTAGATGTATCTCATCTACGAATCAATCCAGCGTCTCGAGTGCCAAGCAGTCAACCAGTTTACGGGATGCATCTTGGTCTCGCTTCGAGGATATTGGGTTCGGTGGTTCGATTGACTCTGACCCGGAGGACGAAGCCAACGAGACTGCTTCGCCGGCGACTGCAAGGGGTGGATCTGCAGCGGGCTTGAGCTCCGTTCCTCAATCTGGAACTGGGGACTTTGGCCGTCCGACCACCCCGTCGTGGGCAGACTTCATGTCATCCGGATTCCCGGATGAAAACAAATTGAAGGACCACGTGGGCCCTCTGCTCCTGACCCCTGACAAGTTCCTGCCCCCCCTTGCCTCTGCGCGTGGCATGAGTTCTCAGTCGCACAAGCGCTCCTTGGATATCGAGCCGGCTCTCGAGCCTGCGGAGTTGGCGAGTATCACCTCCCTAGACATGGACGATTCGTTCTGGTGGGTTTGGATCAGCAGTTTATCTGGCGATGAGCCGTCCGCACGCAAGGCTGTGTTTGGTCGATGCGCTCTCCTGGAGACCAAAATCCGGGATACCAAATGGCTGATCCTCGAAGAGCAGATCAAGGGTGCTGCTCCAGAGCCTGAGGCCGGTGCTCAGATTGTCGAAAAGAAGCGATTCTTCAGCTTTGGCAGCCGCAGGGGAAAGCTCAATCGCCGCAAGTCGTTGGCGAAGAAGGTGCCTTCTATTGAAGACTCATACAAGCGACCCAACAATCAGGGAACGCAAAGCAAGACTAGCATCGGACCGGATCAGCACAAGCGGATCCAGGAAGCTGCGGCCGCTCTGCAAAAGAAGCACCGCGAGCAAGAAGCGGAGGCGAAAGAGAACCGTGCAATCCCTAACGATAACCGTTACTCCAAGACCAACTCCATCATGACCCTTCAGCCTGCCATTGTGAGCGAGGCCTCCCAGGCCATGAAGTGGACTAAGAATTACGATAAGGGTGCCTTCAGGGCAGCATATCTCAATGACAACCGCGCTGGCACTGGTGAAGAACCCGAGGACAAACCCGAGGACAAACCCGAGCCGATTTCGAAGGACACCGAGGAGAAGTCTACCGCGCCATTGGCACCTCTTCCAACCAGCACCTCAAAGAGTGTTCCCCCACCACTTCCCAAAGAAGCAGCAGCAGCTGCTGTGTCCACTCCTCTTCCCCCTTCTCCTAGGGAGGCGCCAACTAAAGCTGTTAATGTCGCTACTCCCGAAGAGAAGAAGCCCGTCGCAAAGCCTGCCGTTGTTGAACAACCTACTGAGCGTCGGGAATCTGTGGACGAGGGGGGCAAGAAGCTGAAGAAGAAGACTGGCAATTCCGGCTTTAAGAGCATGTTTAGTGCCAAAAAGAAGCCCGAACAGCAACAGCCTCTCGTGAAGACCGCTAATTCCAAGGAAATTTCCACTGTGGCAGCTACTCGTGCGGCCCTCGAGGCCAAGGCGAAAGCAGCTCAGGAGTCCGGTCCCATGAAAAAGAAGCCTCTCCCGAGTACCGCGTCCGTGGCTAAATTGCAAAAGCCCTCGCCTCAGCGTGTTCAACCGACCGCCAAGGAACCAGTGGCAAACCCCTCAAGCCCGGCTCAAGCCTCCGCTTCTCTGGAACAGAACGGTGAGCCGCCGAAGACCAGACGCGCCATTGAGTATGATGCTCTCTCGCGCGTTGCTACCCACGAACTTAAAGCAGCCGATCAGGAGTTCTCCAAGTTTGACCAGGGCCCCCTGGCTGACCAGCCTGCTTTCGTCCCCGGAGATTCTCCCATCACACCTGTAGCTCAAAAGTCCGAGGTTCCCCAGAGCCCGTCCAACGGCAATGGTGTTCGCCATGAGGTCGCCAGTTCGCCCGAGTCACCTGAAGCTACACATGATCGCTGGAAGGCGATCCGTGAGGCTGCTGCTCAGCGGACTGCTGCCCAAGAGGAACAGGTGCACGACCACGATACCGAGGCCAACACCCGGACTAGCCAGTCCGAGCGCACTGACGAGGGAGATACCAGTGGAGAAGAGAGTTAGTAACTTCATCCCCAATACTGACCACACACTAACAGTTCTTTCACAGCCATCGAGGCCCGTGTCGCCCGCATCAAGGCCCGAGTTGCTGAGTTGACCGGCAACGCGGAGGATGGTCAAAAGCGCTAGCCTGCGACGTTCCCGGACCTGTTTTCTTTTGTTTATTATCCCTGCCATTTCCCCCTGGCTCTCTATTCAGTATGATCCAGGATGTATCTTTTGTTAATCGTATACCCTTCTCCCGACCAGACATTGGTCGTGTTTGCTTTGAGCGCGGTCTGATGACCGACCAAGGTCACCATTTCCATATCCTGGAGATGAGCAGACTGACGAATACTGCGATACGATTGATGGATTCTTTATTTGGTTGCGACATCTGTTTATTTTTTCTTTGATTTCTTGCCTCTTCTCCGTCAATATTTGATTCGAGTGGACAAATATCCTCCTGCCTTGGCTTATTTCTTTTCCCCACCTATCGAATTTGGGCTGCTTTTTTGTCTGTCACTTGCTCTATTCCCCTTTCGCTACTGCTATTGATTCTGGTTCGCTGCCAATATGAATCGCTTTGTGCCTTTAAGTTGAAGTACTATCAATGTAATATGGAACTCTTACTTATTCCAAGCATACAATCAAACCAGACTAATTCACTAATGGGAAATAACATACAATATAGACCTGCTACTGATCTCAATCTTAATCATATACTAGATACTAATCCTAAACCCGAACTACAACCCCAAAGCCTTCAGAATCGCCTTCCCAACCCCCGTCGCCGACGCCGGATTCTGCCCCGTAATAATCGTCGACCCCGTCCCAGCCGCCTTCCCAATAACAATCATCTCCTCCCAAGGCTTCGCAGCTTTCACATACTTCCCACCAGTAACCCGGCCCAGCTCCGTCTCCAGCATAAACGGCATAGCAGACGACAGACCCACCGCATCCTCCTCGTTATTCGAGAACCCAGTCACGCCAACGCCAGAGATAAGCGGCACGCCGGAGGGCGCTGTGGCATTTAGCAGGACGCAGGGGCCGTGGCAGACGGCGGCAACGGGCTTATTGGCTGCAGCGAAGGCCTGGATTAGAGCGAGCGAGGTGGGGTTTTCGGTTAGGTCGAACATTGCTGATGTGTATATCGTTAGAGGATGTTATTTGTATCGATGGGATGATACAAGTATAGCTAGGAGCTGAAGAAGGAGGGAGTAGAGGTATGGGTATGGGTAACTCACGTCCATGACCGCCGACGTAGAAAATGGCATCGAACTCGCCGGCGCGCGGAAGTACATCGGCTAGCTTTTCCGTGTTCGTCCAGAGAGCTTTTTGTTCTTTCAGGAACTTCTGCGATATCGGGTCTGACTCGCACATCTTTATCGAGGCTGGGCTTAGGGGTGCTTCGCCGCCTTTTGGTGAGGCGACCGTTAGGGAGACCTTGTCGCGGAGGACTTCGTAGGGATGGGCGAACTCGGACTTTGGGATGGTATGGTTAGTAAAGGGTTCATTGTAGGATTGGTTTATTGGTAAGATGGAATGGAACATGTATGTATTTAATTTAATTGAAGCTGGAATTGGTGTTGCATACTAGAAACCAGCCGTTTGGCTTGCCGGTGGTGCCGAGCTTGTCTTCTGAGGTGAGGACGACGAGGACTTTGGGTGTCATTTTGGGTGAGTTGTTGATTGGTCGTATAAATGAAATAGTAGGGACAAGTTGATTGTGTTCAATATTTTCATTTTCAAGTCGGACTGAGGGCGAAGGGTGGCTCTGGGTCTTTCTATATGATCAGCATCACTGTACAATGTACATTATGTATGTATCACTATCCCGTCATTGACTCCACAAAGGTCAATAAATTGTTACATGAGCCAATGAGATTTGTTAGAAGAAGCTCTCCACTGCAGAAGATGTGCAGCTCCCGATGTCAATTATATGATGATGTCATAGCTCACATGCTCAAGTCTCCTGATGTCCATTCAAAGAACTGATATATTAGGAGTCACTATGGTATAGGCTCGGTTTATCTAGTCGCACAGCATAAACGCATAGACATGAGCCCTAAGGTAAGGTACATACGCTGTACCTAGGTAGTTACTAGATATCGTAAATTTGGTATTTGGATATTGAAAAAAAAAAGAAAAAGAAAGCATCAGCCCAGGCGAGCACAGCCTAGCGATTCTTACGCGCAGCGGTGTTCATGCTGATGTTCTGGTTGCTGTCCAGGATGCTCGCAGACTAGCGCTTCTTTTCTTCCTCGATATTTTTGAGACCCTTCTCGGTCTTCATCTTTTCCCGGCCTTGGTGTGAAACTGGTGACTGAGTTATCTGAAGGCTTCCTTTTGGTTCATATTGCGACCAAACTTATATATATACCACAGTTGGACATCGGGCTTGAGTTCATGGTTGAACACATCGGCCATATTGTGACGATCTGACCTCCTACGTACGTGCCGGACGTGCCTGCGCCAGCTGTACCTTCCGTTTCTGATAGAACTGCTCCTACCTCGATTGGAAGTGAATCTAAGCGAGCTTCCGTCATTACAGCTCGTACAAACCCCGGTTAAAGTAACTCGTAGATAGTTTTCCTTTCCTTTCTCTCTCTATACTTTGTAACTTGAGAAAAATACACTCATTCTTCTGAATCGAACTGGCTTGTAACATATATTATGTACTTCGTGCTGGTCACACTGCTTATATAGGCGGGGCGATAGAAGAAAGAGTAAGGGATCTATGGGGACGTGATTATTCTTATACTCCTATTCTCCCAGCGCGCGTGCTCCTCACGCTAAGGTAGAAAGGTGCTACAGTAAAGGATATATGAATATAAGAGCATAGGTACCGCACGCTGCCACGCAGTGCTGTGGTTTTTGTCAGATTGTGATACAAGAAACCCGTATGCAGTTCATTATATAACATCTGATACCCTGTCATCCTATGCTGTAGGTGCGGATAGTGGGGCTAACAGAGCTATGGACCAATGAAACATCATGAATGGGGATATGTAAAAAATGTATAATTATGTAATGATACATGTATAACTAGTTATCCAGGATGTATTAGATACCGATTACGGAAGCTAAGCCGATTGGTAGAGATAAGATAAAGACGGATCACGTGATTGATAGGGTCAGCCAAACTCCGGGGAAGACTAAACTCCATTTTGTACGACAATGCATAAGGTGACATATCAAAAATGTCCGAATCACCACGGAAAATCAGCTCCAAACGCGACCGCCCTAAAGTACCTTTAGATCAACGCAAACGCATTGTCAAAGCCTGCACCCAATGCCGCCTACGTAAGCGTCGATGCACACTGCAGTCGCCCGAGGGATGCTGGAATTGCAGGAAAAGCAGTGTGACTTGCATTTTTGAGACGAGGGAGGACAGCCCAGCCGAATCACCATCTAGGTAGCCCATGAGACACGGACTTCCCTTCATTTGATGCAATCTAATTCGCACAGTCAAACTCACATCGATGACGATGTTGTAGCACGGTTCAATAAATCATATCCGGGGGTCGGTCTCAAGTCCCACCATATATCTTTTCTTTTCGAGATATTCAAAGACTTGAACCAAGGCTCTAGAGATCGCTCTTCGAAGCGGAGAAGTCCATTTTGGCATACTAGACCCCCACCACAGCATGGAACTAGACCTATGTCTGTGGAGCGTCACCCAAATGAAGGGCAACTGCCTGGTAGGGCGAGATTCAGCCGCAGATGTGTACTTGCTCCGACTGACAACTTCACTGAAGGTGACGATATACTGTCACACAGACATTTTCTCGCACGTGCTGCTGCTGCAGTCTCCCAGTCTGACAGACTGGATCTTCCAGAGGATACCGTATGTTACATGAAAACTTCATATCGGGCTCTTCTGACTGTTGCCGACTTAATTCTCAATCAGAATTTCTATCCCACAGACGAATCATATTGTGAGAATGAAATCATCCTCAGACAGCAGATCTTGAAAGATTTCCCCTCTCGAGCCGGGGCCGAAGTTCTCATGGCATCATTTTTCTCCTATGCCGAGGCCAACTGGTACTATTTCGACGAAAGCTCGTTTAGAAAGCAGCTGTTTGAACTATATGACAGTGACCTATCACCGACCTACCCTAGTCTCAAATTCATTTGTTTGGCCCTAACTGTCTTCGCCATGGGCAGCCAGTTCGTTCATCTATACCATGCTGACAATTCGATTGCCTTGGAAGCCATGACTGTGGTTCAGGCAGGAATCCCAGGGACGCGGTACTTCCAACATGCGCAGAAACTTGTGCCGCAGATAATAGCTTCTCCTTCTCTGGAAGGCCTGCTGAGCTGTCTACTACTCGCCTTGTATGTACTGCCGATTCATAGCACTGAAACTTGTTACACATATCTTGGGCTTGCTTTGCGCATCGCAATCAGCCTCGGTCTTCATCGAAAATCAACAAATTCGGCATTATCTCCGTCACTTTCGGAGCTCCACAACCGTGTGTTCTGGACTACCTACAGCATTGAACGGTATGGCTTTCTGTATCACCTTTATTCTTATCTTTCTCTTAATAACATCCCAGAATGGTTGCTCTCTCTCTTGGCTATCCCGAGACGCTTCAAACCAAAGATATCGACTGCCTCCTTCCCCATCGACAGCCTGACCTGGATGTTCCGGGCTCCTATAGAGCCGAGAGACTACTGGCAAATACAAGGTTGACTCTGCTGCTCAACGAAGTGATTTGCTTAAGGTGAGAAGCCTATTGTAATCTAGATAAAGGAAGCTAGACAACATCCCCGGCTGGCATGCTAACCCTCAATAGATCCTTGAAGCACGGTTCGACCGAGGATATCCGAAGTCAACTTTTGGCTTGGAAGGCAGACCTACCCGCTCAATTAGCCACATTGGACGATAACTGTTTACGACTGAACGTGCATTTACAACTCCACTACTCTATGATCTGGATCTATATCGGTCGCGCAGCCCTGATCGACAAAGTGCGACGCTTACTCAGCAAGAAAGAGCCCACAAAAGATGACCTTGACATAGCGGGCGACAGTCAAGAATTATCAGACGCTTGTGCAGAACACGCAGCGCGGATAATCGATCTCATTGATCTGCTCAGAAGTCGCGGGCAACTGAGTCTATTCTCTTACACTGATTTCCATACCTGCAGCTCCGCAACCATCATCGTTCTCCTGGATAGTATCCTGAACCCACGAATGTCCTCGTTTCCGACAGTCCGGACCGCAATGGGCGCTCTGCAATATATGGCTACTGGCAGTGATTTGGCCAGAAATAGCCTCAAGTATGTCCACAATTTCCAAAACGTGGTCAACAAAGCCTTGGCGTCTATTTCCTGTTTGGATAATGGGAAATCTCGCCCTGAGGGAGAGACTGGCCCACTTCCGCTTGGGGAGCCACGTGAAGAGACGTTTACCGAAGGATTGGACATGTACCAGCATGAAGGCGAAGAGCCTAACCTGGCCCTATTTTCTGACATAGGGATTGCACTCGAAGACTGTTCATTTACAGAGCTACATCTTCTTGGGCTTGACAGCCTATACTCGAGTGATGTACAAAATTGGAACGGCAGTTAGAAATAAATCCACGTCTTCTTTTCCACTTCAATCTCAACAGAATATTCTGTCCTCCTTGATTATCCTTTTGCTTCTTTCAAATTTGTCAAAATGCTATTTGATGCACGTAGGTGTCTGCGTGGCCGAAAGAAAAGAGAGATCAACAGCAGTGGGGTAATATGATAATGATTTAACTACTAGTAAATAGCTTCATGGAGACAAAGAACAAAGCAACAAGGCCTAAAAGCCACAAAGGGCAAAGAAAGTTTTGACAAGCTGCTTATAAACAATTCCCCACCGCATCAACACATCACATTAAATCAAAGGTTATACCGGAAATTCTTGTCTTCCTTGTCTGTCAAGTCCTTTCCAGTGACCTCCTCCGCGTACTCGAAGATATCCATCCCCATTGTAGACCGACGTTTATTGTCACGAGCACACGTGAACCAATACACTCCGACGGTCGGAATGAACACAAGCCAGCTAACCAGAGCCAAGACGAGACCACTGCGATACCGGGGTGCATTTTTCGTGTTCCAGAGTAATGGTCCAACTATAGCACCGATAGCGTAGCCAACGAAGAACAAAGCGTTGACGATGGCCTTTTTGGTATTTCCACGAATATTGGAAGCGTTTAGACTGAGGATGACCGTTAAGATGTTTGAGATGACGGAGGCCTTTTTAAAACAAGAATTAGCAAAATTCAGTACAAGTACGAGGGTGTAGGTTGAGCCAATTTACATACCAACCACGATGCAACAATCATACCCCATCCCGAGGACAAGGGAAGCGTGAATAGTAGAATGATTCCGACGAGCGGGATGATTGTAAGCCCGATGGTGATCGCACATCGACGATTCGGCCAAATATAGCAGAGACCTATTCCGACCCAAATAAAGACCATCTGAACTGCACCTGCTGGTGAAGTGTATAGCATGGTATCGAAATTTGTGTAGCCCAAAGAGTAGATGATAAGGGAAGCGAACTATCACCGGGGTATAGTCAGTAATTGCACACATGTCTTCTTGTAAGAGAATACGCTACTTACTGCAATGACTGGCGAAGGTAGTGTGATGAGAAGCCCAAATAGGAAACTCAAATACGCTCTGATATCCATAGCTGTCTCTTTCAATTGTGAGATAGAGAAAGTTGTCTGGTCTCCTCCTTCGGTTTCCGCTCGCAATCGTTGTGTTGCTACCTGTCGCTCTTCGGGGGTGAGGAACCACGCTGAGTCGGGACCAGCGGGCATCAAGAAGAAGAATAGGATTCCAAAGAAGACTGTGAGAGCTCCACAGATGATGAACATCGCTTTCCATTGGGCAATGGCCAATGCCGTGTTGTGACCGATACCATACATCATTAGAGCACCGATGACCTGAGCCAGCCCGTTGCAGCTGATCCATAGACTAGTTTGAGAATTTGATGGTTAGATAGAGAAAAGGTAGATTGGGGATTATTAGGGATGTCCTACCCGATGCGCATGGGATGCTCGCTTTTCTTATACCAGAGACTGGTGAGCGTCACAAAGGCAGGCGAGACCGCACCTTCAGCCAATCCAAGGGCGAATCGAACACCCATGAAAGATGAGAAGGTTGTTGCTCCTGCCAGACACTATCTTGATATCAGTATGCCTTCAAAAATGTTGGTGACTGGGTAAATTACCATGCAAACTCCACCCCAGAGTATACTATACTCAGTCAGATTTCCCGAATAATCTTGATGAAATTGCTCGAAACTCACATAAGACAGGATACAAATTTGGCAAGCGGAAGACGACTCATCAAGTAGATGGCCGGGAATTCCGACGCCAGCTGCCCAACGTAGAAGATGGACCCTAGCCAGGCGAACTGTGTGCCCACAAGGTGTAGGTCATCTATCAATCCGAACACACCAGCGTAACTTAGACTCTGCTTGTCAAGGTCTAGATGCGGGATATTAGCGGTATCCAAAAGCAAGAGGAACCAAAACATGAATCAACTTACACTGAGAGAAGTAAATCAAGCACATCTTCAAGCCTCTCACGATCAGCACCCATTCCCATGATATCGAACAAGGACAATTGCTTACCAGTGGCAAGACCACCAAATCAATCTTCCATCTGACCCGTCTCTCAATCGCAGGGTCAATGTGGATTGCCGAAGTGCCTGTTTCCATAACAGTCTTCGGATTGGATTCGTCCAATTGCATATCTGCGGTTTTGGTATCCGATTGATTCATCATGATCTGAGTGAATTGGATAAGAAATGGACATGCACGATGTACGAAATCTCACTGGGGGGAAAAGGAGAACAATACCCCGGCCTTTATATATGACAAACTACCCCGGATTTGGCTTATCTCTCGACAGCCGTGAATGCATGTAGTGGGTAGGTGCGTGCGATCCACTTCTGGCTCTATGGAAACGCGACATCTAGTCCAAGCCACTGAGCATTGGCGTTATCTTTCGTTGGTTTGTTTTATTTAATAAATCGTTTATAGGGCAGGATAAAGCCTGTGGTAGGTAGGCTGTAATCGTGCCAAGCACCAACACATCTATAGTGGGCCCCACCAGATAGTCATTTGTAGAGGCAGGTATCTTTAGTATCTCGACTGCATACAAAAGGTACATAAACATAGTCTCAATATCTATAAACCTTGAACTAATTAGGGAGAATGTAGGAATATAGTTGTAGAGTAGACAGCGTCTTGATTACTTAGTATCAATGTTAGTAGGAACATCCAGTATAGAGAATAATAAACTTTTCCACATGATGTCTATATCTGGTGATTGCTAACGAGTGTCTTTACACTTTGATATCATATACTCAGGATCAATATTAGTGGTAGATAACTTGAACCAGGCTTTCGCTATATCTTTATCTCTTTAGATTTCCTGAAGCTGGTCTGATAGTTGAGAAAATCGAGATGATGCCTCTATGTTGCTCATGTACCTTTTGTATAGTGTCGCCATACAAAAGATACCTAATCCTTACAAGCACCCGGTGATTAGCCGGTGAGATCTGCGGGTACTTGTACCCGCAGGGCCGGTCTCTGTTGCCACCGAAGTAGGTTTGGCATGCGGGTACGTGTACCCGCACGTCAAATGATGGCGAGTATCGATGCCAAGACAACGCTATCGGCAATTGTAATACGTCTAGCTAGACTAACTATCATTTGGTAGATCATGCTTAGTCTACAATACAAGAGCTGATCCCACTGCGGTGGAAATTGCAAGTTTCTTGTTCATCCTATTACCACCTTGGAATCAAGAATAAGGCTTCAATATCTTTGAACTTGCCTGATCATCGATAACTTGCTTACGTCTTTCTCCTTGTTACCACAACCACCATGACAGCCCGGAAACCCGATCTTCAGCGTATTGCCAAGCCTTGGCTGCTGGGTGCTCAACGGACGTACATCTTCACGTCTGCCAACTTGATTGACCTTGACGCTGGAACAGTCATCAAGAACACGACCATCAAACTCTCCGGTGGCCTTGTATCATTAGTCGACACCTCCGGAGTAGAGACTGGCGACAATGTCGACCCCGACGCTGTGCAAATCGACCTGAAAGGCAAATACGTCTGCCCGGGCTTGATCGATAGCCATGTCCACATCGCTGCAGTACCTGGTTCTTTGAGCCTCCGGGAACTGAAAGAGGTAAGCAGTACCCAGAGTATGCTACGGCAACCGGGTGTTTGCAAGTCCATGCTGGACCGTGGTTTCACGACGGTCCGAGATTGTGGAGGAGCGTCTTTTGCCTTAAAAGAATCAATCCAGGAAGGCATCATATCCGGGCCGAGATTGTTCATTGCTGGACATGCCCTCTCCCAAACAGGAGGCCATGGAGATCGTCGTCAGCAGCACGACCCCAATGAGTGCTGTGGGGGGCATGTGAATGGGGTCGGCCGTATCGTGGATGGAGTGGATCAGTGCCTGAAGTATGCCCGCGAGGAGTTGCGGCAGGGCGCGGACTTCATCAAAATCATGGGTGGTGGCGGGGTTGCTAGTGCCACAGACGAGATCCAACACCTTCAATTATCCAATGATGAGATAAAGGCGATTGTCACAGTGGCCAACAATGCGGGCACGTATGTTACCAGCCATGCGTACACGCCAGAGGCGATCCAGCAGGCTATCCGACAGGGAGTCAAGGGGATTGAACATGGCAATCTCATTGACAAAGCCACAGCCGAAATGATGAAGGAGTACGGCGTCTTTCTTACCCCCACCCTGGTGACATACGCGACGATGGCCGCTCCCGAGTTCAGCGGATTCCTCCCCCCTGTTTCTGCGGGCAAAAACCGTGAAGTCTTGGACAAAGGCCTTCTCGCCCTGGAGCTAGCCAATGAGATTGGGCTTGATATTTGCTTTGGCACGGATCTTTTAGGTCCTCTGCATTATGCCCAAAGTAAAGAATTTACCATTCGGAGCACTGTCCAGACACCACTGGAGATCCTTCGAAGCGCTACCACGACTCCTGCGCGGATGCTGCGACAGAATGAATTCCTGGGCAAGGTTGCTCCAGGGTTTGCCGCCGACTTGCTCGTCTTGAATGCAAACCCCTTGGATGATATCACCGTTTTGGATCGACCGGACGTTCATTTACTAGCAACCATCAAGGAAGGCCGAGTCGTGAGCTCGCGTTGGAATGTGTTGGACGTTGAAGAAAACCGTCTGCCAAAGATCGAGTGAGAGGTGGAGGGGAGAGAAGATGTACAGTGGAAATGAAGAAGAGGTTCGTTCTGGAGTTCATTGAAGAGTGCTTCGTGGTGGCGGCGAAAGTTTTATTGATAGAGTCGATAAACATGCACGGTGTGCAAGAAATGGCACCTTAAACGGGAGATCAAAAGATACATTACACAGAACAATACTTTCCTTGATAATACGAGCCATCCCGCAATAATAATATGCTTCGAATCGCGGCTATTGCTGGCAGATAACTAGGCCAAAACGAGATCTTCCTTGATACGGTAATGTATAACCGTTGGCGGATCTTCGTAGGCTCTGTTCCCTTTTTTATAGCTGCCGCAATCAGAAAGAGTGTTGGGCAGACTTACTTGTGGGCTCAATTCCATTCTCAAGTCGCTACGGAGTACGGAGTAGACGGGAGGGGTTTAAGGTAGTGTGGGGAGGATGTGTGGGGTGCCATAACCTCGCATTGGTCCGTGCACAGATTTTGGACCAGCGTCTTGGCGCATAATGTCATTACATAATCCTGTCGAGGCTACCAGCGCTGTATCTTTTATATGGCAACTATATACGAAAGGTACATGAGCACAACATCGAAAATAGTACGCACCGCTAAGTGTACATTCATGCTAGTCACATCACGTGCAACACTTCTTTTACGGCCCGATAACCCCTCTTACGTCTGTGTTTGGTTTGACCTCAGACTTCCGTATAAATGATCTTTGCATTTCAAATTCCCAGATTCTTCCATCGCCTACGTTATATACCTTAAGAAAAAACCGAAAGCCTGCGTACATTCAATCCAAACCTCATCGCTAGCATCGACTTCAATCAAAAACCCTATGGCGTCTTCCCCGGTGCACTCTCATGTTATCCACACGTCCAAAGGTCCGACCACATTCAGGACACACGACGGAGCGATGTTTGACATGCTGTATTTTGATATGGCGCATCAAGGTTGAATGGCTGCTAAATGTCGTGTGGCTTGTGCAGCCCTGCCAGAGGCATCTGAAACGGCCGTCGGAACTGAGGTAAAAGGAAAACTATTAACTATTAAGTGGGAAGAGTGAGAAATTCTGACTCACACTCGTCCCTGGTCTTCAATATGAGCAGAGGTTGCTTCCACGTGAGCGACTTGAATGTTGGGGTTCCGAATTGTGGTTTGACCGGGACGGAGAGAGTCTTCAGCTCTATACTGCGCGGTCGAGAGATGCGGAGGCATGGCTCAGAGAATGTTTGTAAAGAGGCCAACCTGTAGATAATACCGGTGTCTGTCCGGCCGCAGAGGCAGGTGGTTGCGTAGTACTAGAAGGTCCAGGATGGTGATTGCGTTGCTCAGAGCCACAGCTAAGCTGAAGCATTCTTCTCATACTTCAATCATCGAGGTCAGAAGTGTATTCCATAATAGAAAAGAAGAAGTAAGGTAGATATCTATACTAAAAGTGAGTTGGGTGCTTTGTCTTAAATCTGCCAGGAAATAATCTGTCCAGTAGACATACTGTCAAAGAGAAGTTAAGGTTAAGGCCCCTGAGGTGGGTCCATATTTACTCCGCTCCCTCCACTTCCTCCGCTCCCAAAGTCTATGAGTCCAAATTCAGGTAACAAGGCCTCAATACCCGGTTCCTTGGCGAGGGGGGTAGTTAGCTACATAGCTATTTAGTTAGTTAGTCAACTTACTAACTATGGTAGATGATTAAACTACTGCCAAGCAATATCAATGTACATTCAGATATGATCACGTGATATGCCATGTGGTGGACTGGACCCACCTTCCCTTTTAGGAAGTAATTATTCCTATATATTTCATAGCAACTCCTTCCTCCTAACCGACATTCCCCCCAGTGGCTGAGTGTGTTGACACGCGTTTAAAATGCTAGGTTAGGTACTAGCTGTCAGCGTTCGACCCACCCAGTGCACGGTCATAAATGTTCCAATTACGCTCCCCTAATTGGCCCACCTTGCTTAGTCGCCGGTCAGGACCTCCAGTAGGTCCGGCAATGTGTGCGCAGGTGGGGACGACTAGATCTTAGGGTAAAGATGGTTGGGGTTACTTAAGCATTATGATCCCCTAAGTGGCGACCTGGGAGTATAACCCCAGGCACTGGATGGGAATGTCCTTTTTTGCCTTTTTTTTCCCTTCTACTTTCCTCTCAAGTCTATCTCCAAAACTCTATGCCTGCCGCTCCTCTCCCCCACAAAGCTCATTGACGCTTACTTTAGATATCTATCATGAAAGCAGTATTAATACTATCCAATGAGAGACATAGTCACTTAGTCGCCCGTAATAGTTAACTAGAGATCTGTTTCTAATTTATCTTAGTCCAGTATGTATCGAGCTTGTATTTTTGTACTATCTCTTCTACATTGTACTCCGTACCATCTACCAGATTTCTATGTTTAAACCCCTCCACGGGGAAGCAGTTGAAGCGAGTCCCGTAGAATAATATTTGACAGGAGTGACTTATTTTTGTTAGGTGTATACATACAAATTATAGATACCTGCCACATTGATTAAGGCAGGAGCGGTACCAAATTAGGAAGGTGCACCTAAGATTTCATTCAAAGGGGGGAGGGGGGGAGAGGGCTCGCCATAGCACAGCCCTATATATTATGTATGTGCAGAAGCCAAACCAAGAAAAGAAAATCGACAAAAACTCCTTTTAGGGAGACAGACGAAGGGCCCAGATCACTATACATATAGACTCTCTCTGCGTGTACACAAACACACAATCCCAAGCCAAGACAAGGCTCGCATGCAATATACACCGGGTATCGAGCAAAAAACAACAGCAATTCATCGCAACGGATCATAATTCTGCAGCGTTCGCAGCGTTCGCAGCATTCGCTCTGCACTGCTTGCTCATAGTACAAACCGCAGTCGACGGGTAGCCTCAGCCGCCACGAGAGCACTTATTGCCCCGATGAAGAGACATATGGAGATGGCGTTATACCTCTCCTTGTCCAGGTTCATCCACTGCGTGTCCGAACTGTTGTCGGCCGCGGGCTCGGCGCCTGGTTCGAGGAGGCTGAAGACGATCCAGCTGATGAAAGTGCCGACGAATTGGGGTAGCGTCGTGTACACATTCAGCACGCCCAGGTAGATGCCAGCCAGTTCTCCTGTTGACGGGATGTTGGAGGCGCGGTCCTCCTCGTCGGTGTCGCTGTCGGTGGAATCGTGGTGGTTCAGTCGGAGAACGTCCAGCTCGGTGTCGGCGGCGGAGTTGCGGAGGCTGGCGGAGGTGATCATTGTCACGCCGGATCGTGAGGATGGGATTGCGGGGGAATAGCCGCCCATTGTTAGTTTGTTGATTTCCACGCCCATGAAAGCGAAGGGGGCCCAGCCGCTGATTGCCCAGGGGATACCGCATACTGCTACTAGGAAGGTTGCGAAGGCGCGCGAGTGTGCTAGAGGGGCGAATATCATTGTGGCGGCGAACATGACGTGGGATATCAGCCAGGCGGTTTGGAGGTCTGGTCGGATTGCGCTGATGGCTTTGAGAACCGCTGCGACCTTTGGCGGGGGTCGTGCGGTGAAGCGTATCCGCTTGCTATCGGGCTGCATGATGCAAAAGGGTAGGAGTACAGAGCTGAGGACTGTTATGGATGAGAAGACCGTTAATGATAGACTGCCCACGCGGCCGACTTCACCAAGCATATCGGTTGCTTTGGCCATGTCGTCTTTTGGTACTTCATAACGGAAGTATGTTTCACCAACCCAGGTTGTGCTGTAGAAGAGGAAGGGGAACCAGCCTAGTTAATGTTAGCTTGCTGATTTCCTAGTAAATGCCGAATTTCATACCAATCCAAGCCCAAAATTGGGCCCAGCAAATTGCTTGAATGCGAGGCGGCAGTTCGAAAGTAGTTTTGAACAGCTGGGAGAGGACCTGAATAGCACCGGCACTTCCATCATCCCTATCCCAAAACATTAGTTGACGACAATAATTATCGGTTCGAGCTCAACTCACCTTGCCGAGATAAGGACTCGCTCTTTTACCGAGTATGAAGTGACTGCCACAGCCAACACCAACGACAAAGCAGCGATCACAGTCATCTGCTTGAACTGCGTATCTCCAAGGAAAGTACCAAAGATGCTCACGGTATCGATAGCACCAACCACATAAGCAAAGAGCTGGCCAATGGCGGACATTCTCCCGGCTAAAGAAAGGTCAGTGTGTTTTGGGCGGAGACATATGGGGAAGCGCCATACCCCATGCGGACCCAGCTTGTTGCGATGGAATCGGTAGCGTATCCACAATCAGACCGCGACAGCATGCTTGAACTAAGATATTGTAAGCCACCTTCAATTAGTGCGAGTACATGTGCCACTTACCAACGTTGATGGAGAAATCCACCGCATAAATACTCACTACAGCCAGGGCAATTGTGCCATTCTTGGCCTGTAGAAAACCAATATTAGCTTCCACGTAAATAGATTTAGCCAGGTGAGGGTTCCGATAAACACGATATATACCTTTTCCGGGTCTTTTACAAATAAACCAACAATCTCTGATGTCCACCCTAAGACAAGCAGACAGAAAGCGACAACAAACGAGCCAAAGATCATGAAAGGTCTACGCCGACCCCATTTCGATCGTGATCGATCGGCAATAACTCCAATAAGAGGCTGGATAATCAACCCAGATAACGGGCCAGCAATCCACACCAACGAAGTCTTAGACTTTGTCAGACCGAGCTGAAGAAGGTAAGGTGTACAATCTAGCAGCGATCAAGTCAGCGATCATACCCTAAGCACCTAAGCACTATTCGGAACGGGATGTGAATAGCTCTTACAAGTCATCTCAGTACCCCACGTGAACCTAGAAAACACCAAGTCAGCCACAGACACAAAACAACGATCCATGGAATCCTCCAATTGCGATTGCGATTGCACCAAAAAAAAAAAAAAAGCAAAGCTAGACAATGGAATGTCGCGCAACATCTACATCCATATATCCAAACGCCGAAACAGAGAGGGACGATACGCACTGCAATCCGACCAAACTAAACGTCAAAAGCGCCATCCTCGTAGACTGATTCCGACCCTTGATGGAGGGCGTCCCCGCCCATCGCGCAGCCTGCGGCATCCTGATTATCCACGCGCTAGCACGCACTCAACAGGTCCGCGCTCATGCACCTGCACCTGCACCAAACCCAGAGTACGCTAATGACGGCCCAGCCAGTGACAGAATACCGATTACCGATTCGAAAGTCGAAAGCGCCAGACAGGAAGCTCGTCGCGACGCGCAATTGAGAATCAGACAAATATGTAGAACGTGCGATGCAGCAGTTCAGGTTCAGGTGCAGTCCGGGAATACGTTCCGAGGACCAAGAAAGGGGCCGGCAGTAGTCCGCTCGTATCGGAGAATTAGGAATTGAGTCGCGTGCTCTTTTCGGGGTCAGCTCGCGGGGGGCCGAAACAGCGCACGGTACGTCGCGGGTTCGTCGCGACTCGCTTGTTGACGGCGCGGAGAGCGGGGAGGATGCGTGGGTTGCTCCGGGGTCGTCGGTGGGCGTCTATGTCGTCGAAAGGCGCCTATGGTGGATTTCAGAAAGACGTTGAACAGTTCGAAGGAGAAGGAGAGAAAATCGGCGTTGGCCTGAGCGCAACGCCTCTATGCGGGCCCCGGCCTTATCGATTTGATTAATTTACGAGACAGACCCGCTGGGCTTCAAGCCCTTCTGCAGATCCGGGCTTTTTTGTTACGACAGCTAGGGTCGAGGGCGTTTTATTTGTTGTCTGTGTACGGGTTCTGTTTCCACTTTCAATGCTTTAGGTTTCTTTGCTCTCCAGTTATTGTTGTTTGCAGCCAAGGGCTGGGTCGCCTTATGTCAGCCTCTGGGATGGACCCTTTGTCGCTGATTGGCCCGTGTGGTGACGTAACTCAGGGCCCTGTGCGCCAATTTTAGAAACACAGGGGAATTATACGAAGATATACGAAGACACGGGATATGACAATGTGCAATGTACGTGCATTGGGCAAAAGAGCTACAGGGGCTAATTTGATATCGCTTACCTGACAGGTGTACTTTTGCTCTACGCTGTACATATTGAAAAAAAAGATAGAAATATGTGGATGACAGCTAATCTTATAGCAATCCCAAGATAAAGGGACATATCCACCGAACAAAATAAGGGCGTAAGTATCTTTCTTGCGTTGCATCCAATTCTAATATCGAATTGGTCTCGAAAACCTAAGTATCACAGTATGACGCGACTCCTGCCTGCCGGCCGACCAACCAACCAGAGTCAGAAAATAGAGATTTTAATTCCTTTGTATCCCAATCCGCTTCCCATAATCATCGTAAACAGCTATAGTCCGAAAACCTACAGCCGGTTGGGGGCCGAGGTGGTGACGGGCCACTGGTAGCCAGCGGCGTCGCTGAACTTGTAGCCGTATGAAGCAGTGAAGTCATCAAGAACGGCGGGTCCACGGGAGCCTGGAACGTGAATTAGCTAGAGTTAGAAAAGAACGAAGAGGGAAAACTCACCGTAGGGGTACTCCATGGGGATGATCTCCTTGTTGTCATCCAAGTAGTGCAGGAGAGGAGTGAAGATACGCCAGCTGGCATCCAACTCATCGTCACGGACAAAGTTGGAGTGGTCGCCCTTGAAGGCGTCCAGAATCAGGGACTCGTAGGCCTCGGGGATCTTAAGGTCGGAGAAGCGACGGCGGTAGGTCAAGTCCAGCTCGGTAACCACTGTCTGCATGGAGAGACCGGGCAGCTTGGAGTTCATCTTAATATAGACGGACTCGTTGGGCTGAACACGGATGACAAGCTCGTTACGGGGAATGTCCTTGAAGATACCGGAAGTGACATCCTTGAACTGGATGCGGACCTCGGTCTTCTGCTCGTTCAGGGCCTTTCCGGCCTTGAGGATGAAGGGAACGCCGTCCCAACGCTCATTCTTAATGTATGCAACCAGAGCGCAGAAAGTCGGGCAACGTGAATCCTTAGGCACAGTATCGTCCTCGAGGTAACCGGGCTTGCTGCCTTCGAGGGAGCGGCCGTACTGGCCGATGATGACGTTCTTGGGCTCAATGGCGTCCATAGCGCGAAGGACACGGACCTTCTCATCACGGATATCCTCGGAAGAGAAGGAAATGGGGCGCTCCATGGCGAGCAGTGTGAGAACCTGCAGCAGGTCTATCAAAATGTTAGCATCTTTCTATATCTATTCAGTATGATGAATGACTTACGGTTCTGCATAACATCACGGATAATACCGAACTCATCAAAGTAGCCGCCACGGCCCTCGGTGCCGAAAGGCTCCTTGAATGTAATCTGTAGCCGGTATTAGAACCGGAACTCCGGACTGAGATCGCTTCACATACCTGAACGTTATCGATGTGGCGGCGGTTCCATGTAGCGTTGAAGAACTCGTTGCCGAATCGCAGAATAAGAATGTTCTTGACCATCTCCTTACCAAGGTAGTGATCGATACGGAAGATCTCCTCCTCCTTCCAGTTAGGCTCCAAAGCCTTCTGGAGGTCGCGCGAGCTCTGTAGGTCCTTTCCGAAGGGTTTCTCGACCTATAAGAAAGAGTAGGCGTATCAATATGGGGTTCGTTCTAGCCAGCTTGTCCCGAGAAACTCACAATAATGCGAGCGAGGCCTCTCTTAGGATAGCAGTTGCGCTTCAGCTGCTCGGACACGGTGGTGAAGACACTGGGTGGCAGTGCCATGTAGAACACGCGGTTCTGCTCCTTCGATTGGCGTTTGTTCTCGATCTCCTCAAGGTGCTTGTTCAGGTTGATAAAACAATCATCTTGATCATATTGGCCGGAAACGTAGGAACACATCTTGCAGAACTGATCTAATTGATCCTCAACCTCCTTTGTGGGAATCTTGATGTACGAGCGAACGCGCTTGAGGTACTCGTCGTGGTCCATCTTTGTCCGCGCATATCCGACGATATGAATGTCCTTGGGCAGGAATTTGTTGCGGAACTAGGTCATACTTGTCAGTGGATAACCGGTGGATGCTCAGTAGAAATAGCACATACAAGGCCAAAGAGTGCAGGGAACTATAAGCTGGTCAGTACGTCAAGAGTCATCACCACCTATGGAAGGGGTACGCACGGTCTTCTTCTTCGCCAGATCACCGGATGCGCCTAGTACCACGATGATGGTATCATCTTTAAGTTCGACGGTGCTGAATGCCATCTCCATTGTCAGTGTTGCGTTTAATTGACCGAGAAAGAATTTTGCATTGGACGCGGAATCGAGGGGTTGAGCGGGGGAGCTCTCTGGGCACAGAAATTCTGCAGAAGCGTTCCAGGGAGGGATCGACTATGGGGAAGAAGGCAATAACGTCCACAATAGCACAATGTTGAGGGGATAAGTTGAGGTTGAATTGAGCTGGAGGCAGCCGGTGGGCTTCCGCAACCGTGGAAAGAGTGATGTCAGAGACGCAAGAGGGGAAACTCACCCAGCACCATGGCGGTCATCGGTTTTGTTAATCACAGACATCTTGCACCAACCGCCTAATACACAAAGTGAAGAAGAAGAGTCGAGCGGAGTTTAAAGAGAAAGAGAAATATTGTAGAGAACTCCAACAGGACCGGAGTACTTTTTTAAGGAAGTTACTCACACAGCTTCGGCTGGTGGGGCTTTGGCTGGGTATTGATGTATTTTATGACTTCAAATACAAAATGGTTTTGAGTAATCTACTTGATTCTGATATTTACCATGACTATTTCGATGCCGACCTACCCTAGCCTCGTGGCGAATTCAGTCAATTTTCTTATATCAAGTTCTTTCTGACAGATCTTCATGGTCATTCTGACTGAAATCTAGCCCGGAGCTTACCCGTGATGACTATCAACCCCACGCCTACTATCAGTCTATACAACATACAGAACTGATTCGGCCTCGGGGTAATACAAAGTACCTCGGGTCAATTGTCGATAATATCGGACATGAGCCTGCCGCTAATTCTTATTCTAATAACAGATCTAGAGGTCATCTGATAAGAAGTGCGGTTTACTCCTAAATGCGGATCTATATAAAGAGGCTAAATTCGAAGATAGAGTAAGACGTGTCCATAACACTGTCCTATATTTATGTTAATAGTGTAAGTAGTTACTCCGGAGTTACTCCGTACTGTTAGTTATAGTATGCACAACTTTGCGGTCTACCCCGTATACCCTCGTATAGTATGCATGTATGTTGTATTCAAAGCGGAGCAGAGAAGCTATCGCATCAGGGTAAGGTTGCAGTGTCCACTAAAATCCTTCAGTGTATCTAACGAAAGTACTGCGTACCAAACACAATACAATACCTTCGAGCACGCAACTTGATAAGCCTTCGTTGTACCGGTGACCCAAATCGTGGGGGATGGATCGGCAGGTTGGTCATTTGGACTTTTGGACCCAGACGGATTCTGTTTTCCCGCGAGAGGCCACTTTCTTAAGTCCGGTTTGGGACTGGTATTAACCCCATCTCGAATTCTTCCCAATCCGGAACATACTATTAACCGTTGCTACTTAGGGCTATACGAATATTATACGACCCTATCTACACTCTACGCGATCTGTTGTCTCTCGGTCTCTTGAAAATTGTCCAAGTTTTCATGAATACATCCATGGATACATACGGTCCCAAATGTAATCGCGGTGGGGCAGGATACAGGAACTTCTAGATTTCCCAATCAGTGGTCTCGGTCTGGGTGAAGTATATGATGGACCGGAACGCTACCCGGATCATGTCACTGTCACTGGTGATCAGTTGGAGATATGATTGTTTCGATGTTGTCAAGGACACTGGCTAGGTTGGATAAAAACAATTATTCACTCCCTAGACCTGCCGACAATACCCTCTGCAATTTGCTTTTTCCTGGATGAAACCTTCCAACTTTGAAGGTTGGAACCCTGTCGTCATGGCTGGAGTTTGTCAGCTGGGAAGCTCCAGGCTTGAAGCTTGGACGTGTCGTTCGGACTACTGTAGCCCGAGTGGCAGTGGAAAGTACAGGCGGTAAATGGTCGGTAAATGACCTCGAGGGCGCGGAGCGGAGAAACAAGAATCCCCAAGCTTATCTCATCTCAGATTCTGCCTATCTAATCGCTGATGTAATAGAGCGGTGTGGCAATCACGGGATCTCGCTTAGCCCTGATGCGTCACGTGGTCGGTGGCTCGCTAAGATCCCGTTTGGGCTAGGGCGAAAACCAACACACGGCTGCCCAAATTGATTGTGCGCCTGACTCTATCGAAGCGACGACAACCACGACAAACGGGAACGACTTTTGATCTTGCGGGTCATTCCTTCGACTTTCTTTCCTTGCCCGCTCCCCACAGAAACGCCGACACAATGCCTTCGGAACAAGGACACCGCCGTGAGTGAATCCCTCGATGTCTTATCGATCGTCGTTTTGGCGGTCTCGAAATCGCAAAGCCGCATTATGAGCAGGCACATTGTGTGGTCGCACACTGGATAAAAGACATATATGCTAACGATTTCTTCTTTTCTAGTCTACGTCAAGTAAGTTACCACCGCACTTTTATCGCATTCAAGGATACACCAGTTCGACATGGAGGACCGATTTGGGGGACCCAAGACATCGCCACTCAAATCGAAGCACCATACGATATGAACAGAGAATTAATACGAGTTTCTTTTTACAGGGGACGTCACCTGAGCTTCCAGCGCAGCAAGCACGCCCTCACCCCCAACACCAGGTAGCTACACCCTGCGCACCCAAATTGAATGCTCGGATGGAAATCTGATATATGGTTATACAGCTTGATCAAGATTGAGGGTGTTGATGACACTAAGTCCGCCAAGTTCTACCTCGGCAAGAAGGTCGCTTTCGTTTACCGTGCTAAGCGTGAGGTCCGCGGCTCCAACATTCGGGTGATCTGGGGCAAGGTCACCCGGTCGCACGGTACGTGAATACAACAGACAGTTCCATGGCCATATTCGAATGGTCCTCTGGGAGAAACCTCGAACTCGAATTTCCTGTATCTGACTATTTCCAGGCAACTCCGGTGTTGTGCGCGCCAAGTTCCGCAACAACCTCCCCCCCAAGTCCCTCGGCGCCACCGTCCGTGTCATGCTCTACCCCTCCAACATCTAAACGGCTTCTTTGTGTTGTTTTCAGTGGGCGATTCCCTTCTTCGCACAGACGGTCGGTCAGGCAAGGAAAAGTCGACGGAACGAGCCGATGTTGATTTGAGGTGATGGAGTTGGCGGGTGGATAACGTTTTGTTCATGGGAGAAGGCAGGGCCAACAAAGCCCTACGAATCAAAAAATTACACTTTCATAGCTGTGTCGGCCCAAGATACTGGGAACGAGCTTCGTCTCGATATTTCTCCTTGTTCTTACAATTGGCGAGCATGATGTGTCTGGTCGCGCAGCGTCACTTCTCCCATTTTGTATCTGACGCTTAAACGCACCAAATTCCATACCATTTCAAATTTCAACAGACCGGTCAATCGATCCGCTTCTTCGTGCGTCCGGCTTCCGTTTTTTGTTCTAGAAGAAATTGCATTTCTGCTCTGGCTCCAAATTACCATGGCATTGTTGCGAATTGTTGCGAATATAATTATACTCCATGGCAACAGATAAACAGACAAACAGCTCGTATTCAAAATCAGTAGCTCTAGCACTAAGCCTGTGTGGCTAGATCCCTAGGTTGATGTGGATACCCATGTCGAACTATTATATATCGATTCGAGGTTATAATTCTACGATGTAAAGCAAAATCCTACCGATATTCTCCTTTTTATTGTCTCAATAAACCCACAAGAAAAAGATGTACAAATTATATAGGCCAACATAAAACCCGATCCGAACTCCACTTTAGCCGAAGTATATATCTCCAAGTATGCAAAACAAACCAAGTATCCTAAACCGAAATGCCCAACACCAAAATTCCATCATAAATCTTACAAACTCTCCTTATGAACCGCCTGAATATGCGCCTTCAAATTCTCCCGTCGACTCGAAGCATGGGGACACCGCGGACACTTGAAAGCGCGCGGAGTGACATGCAGAGTCTCGATGTGTCGCATGAGCACTCCCTTGTGCGAGAAAAAACGGTCATATCGACAGCCCTCCCATTTGCATTCGAAAGTCCCGTGATCATTGCCACCCCTGCATGAAGCGAAACACGTTTAGAACATTGATTACGATAGTCCTTGGAAAGAAGAAAACGAAAATACATACTTCTTCTTGGCTGCAGGGCCACGGGATTGACACGGCATTTTCGTCTGGCTAGGCTCTATGCTGGCATCATCCTGCCGAAGCGGCTCGTTTATTATAGGTGCCGAGACGGGGAGATCATCCCATCTGGTGCCGTACAGGCTTGCTGGGGAGTGTACGGCGGTGGTTGCTTGGGATGAAATGGATGTCGGGCTGTGATTGGTAGACCGGCTGTGATTGGTAGACCGGCTGATGGTGCCTGGGTTTAGATATAATGGGGAGGGAGTGGGAGAGAGTATTCTGCTGGGGATAACCGGTGTAGAGGGGAAACATGAGGAGGCAAAGGGGGGCTGTGCCGAGGGAGGTTGCAGCTGATAGTTGTATGAAAGAGGTTGAGGGGTGATCGCTCTCGTGGTGAGCGATGGATCAGTGGATGGAGAGGTGAGAAGATACTCGTCTGTCCAATCCCTTAAGGCAATGTCAGACCACGGAAATTCGGACTCCGAGATACTTGGGATGTTGTTGCGTGTTGGCCACGCCATCTTGCGTACAATCACCGATCTGGGTCTGGATGTAGAGAGTAAGCGTTGGGGAGGCAGAGACAAGATCTAGAAAATGCTGAGTGAGTGTCTTGAGCCGATGCAGCATGGAGTATTTATGAAATCCGAGCCGATGTGAATTGTGGTATGCAGCGGTCAACTTCACTCGACGTCACACAGTTGGGAGACGACACCTATAAAAAAGGCCTGGGGAAAGTGGCGCAACCAGTTCGGCCAAACCCTAGGTTTGTACTAGAAAACCTGGCTTAGATCCTATAACGCCAGGATCTAGATCCTTGCATCGACTCCAGCTTCACATCAGATGAGACAAACGCAACCTCCACGAAACCATATGATCGTGGCGTTTTTAGCGGGCTGAGCATAAATCCCCGGGTTTCTGGGCTCTCAGGCTCCTTGGCAGGGAACTCATCATTTTTATTGGTGAATTCTTAGTATCCGTTTCAGAAAGTTTCTAGTATGTTGGGAACAAAAGCGACAGAAGGATTACTATCATTTGAAAGTATTATCATGCTGCAAGCCGTGGCCAACCGTACCAATAGGATGAGGTTGCAGCCAGGCTGACTGGGAATATACGAGAGATCGGCACATTATGATGTCTATTCTCATATTTTCCCTATTCACCGTACTATTTCCCGTTCCTTTTTTTTTCATGCAGCCGGCCCATGACAATGGCAATGGAAGATATATCCGGAAAGCCTAACCGTCTACTGACAGGGATCGGGGTTTCATTAGCACTTGGGGCAGTTGAAAGTATTAAAGTTAAGATATTATCACTATTTATTCCAGGGACTCTAATTTAGCTGTAGCCATAGCATAACGAGAGACCAAAGATCCGACTTTCTGTAAAGTTAGGGTTACAGGAACTGTGCAGGACGCCGGTACATACATCTACTGACCCGATTTCGTATCCCGGGATATCCCCAAAATAATAGAGAAATCCTCGAATATTAGGGTTAAGCACTGAGTGTGACGCTTGTACATACATACACTCGATGTGGCGCAGTTTAATTGCATGAGCCGACCCGATTTCCTGCCTAATCTCATCATTTCTTACTCCCAACGAGAATATATACGAGGCTGTGTCTATGCGTTGACATCTACAACTGTTACTTGCCAGATGTTCCCAACAAAGAGTGGATTCGTTGAGTTTTATATGGATACTGGTAGACAAAAACCGCCGTACACGTCCAGGGGCGAGGGTTGGGATAACATCACCACACAAACAAGAGAGCCAATTTCCTTGCGACCTACCAAACGCACGACCAAATTCCACCATAAGAAAGCAGTAAGACTGGAATTGGCCTGAAAGGGCAGACGAACAAGTTGCAATGCAAAGGGCGCAGCAAGGTTCCTGGCGGTTGCCTTTGGTTGCCTTACCAATGAAATCAAGGCTAAGGTGATGGCTGAAATGGGTCCACACCTCCATGCTTATCCTGACCAGAAAAAGGGCGGAAGCATCTGTTTCGTAGGCGTCAACAAGCTTGACGCCCAGATGGCCCGGGAGATTTTGAATGATCTCCTGAAACTCCTTTGTCGCGTCCTTGTGTCGACCATCGAGAGTTAGACTGACAAGGATATTCTTGTCGCGAGGGGCCGCTCTGGTAGCGACATGGGATTCTGCTTACCGGGTGATGTTGCTCTTTTCACAAACGCCGGGGCGATTGGGTGTGACCCACCCTCCTAAGGAGTGATAACCATGTTACGCGCCGGGCTTTTATAAAGAAAAGAGTGCACTCTAACGAGAACACTAAACATGGGGAAGAGAAAGAAAGAAAACGGAACTCAGGACAATGGTGGGGTCCTTATGCCCCTGCGGGCTTTGCCATACTCTCGCTTGTCCATTGGGAAAGAATGACTTCCCCCGGAAAGGAAGGAACGATCGACCAACGACCTCAAATGAGTCCCGATCATGATACCCTAGGGGAATATCTGGGCGCTGTTCCCTAGAAGCCCGGCGCCTGAGCGATGTCTTTGAAGACTCGATATACTGGGTCGGGATAGGTTGTCCCTTTGTTCGGCTCATCGGGGGGAGGGAGTGACTACCTTGGCCAAGCTCTGAATCAGCTATGGCTCCATTCGCGTGCTCTTCGGTAGCTTGACCAAAGCGTCGAATTGAGGCTGCATCTTTCGATTCTAAAACGCCTTTCATCTCAGGTCCGTGGTCTCATTCCAGGATATCTTCTGCAAGTCTCAAGGTTCTTGGCTCTTGCTGGTCCAATTCTCCGCGAAACCCAAGGGGTCAAAATGTCCGAAAAACAGGGCGTGACCGGGGGGAAACCGGGTTCTTGCATGTGCTGAAGCTATTGATTTTTTCTTTGGCTTTGGGCTCAGGAGCCCGACGATAGATCTTTCCTTTCTAAGAGGGATGGTGCTTCCAAGAACAAGTCTGCCACTGTTGAAATTGACCTTGACTCCCACGCCGCATTGTTATTTGCCATCTGCGTGACGGCAGTGGATTTATTTGCCGGTCACCACGCGAGCTCCGTATTTCTTGGCCGGGCCCTAACGAGGGCGAATCCGTCCATAGAATCGGATCGGTGAAGCCAGCGGTTTGGACCATCCATGAAAGAGTCGCAGAGAGTGATTTCAGATGAGATGAAGGTTGATATTGACCAGCAAGGGACCAGGGATTGGACAGACAAAGTATCTCTCTTGATCACCGGAAGGAGTCATGTTGGCTTATCCCTAGCAAAACAAAGCCTACCAGCAGGCTGAAACAGTGATACAAAAAGATGTTGATTTTCTCACTCTCTCCAATCCCTGATCCTGGCGAGCAATAAGTTACAGGCCCGATGAAGTTTGTGCCCACACCTCATGTACCTACGCGGTAACATCCTTCTTCCAGGTGTTCTTCCAGGCCTTCGAATTTGCACCATCACTAGCAGGCACTCGCCGATGATGACCTGGTCCTTCACAAAAATGGATCCCTCGAATACCAGGCAAACAGCCACCAGTTGAGTTCCAGGCCCCGTTTTCATTCGAATCACGCTGTCGTGCCTCCGTACCACGGAACTGATGAAATTTCCACCCTTGTTCGTGCATCCGATGGTCTGGAACACGCTGCTATAGTCCTCGGCTGTCTCCATTAGGGACGATGTGGCTATAGTAACTGTGCGTATTCAAACCCAGGGTGCCATGATTGATTGCTTGTGGTGAGAAGGGAAACAGTCGTGGTGCCGGGAGCTGATGAACAGGTCGATTTTCCAGTCCATACCATAGTACCACGATTTCGAACCCCTGCCTTGACTCCGACGATAGCGAACTTCTCGGGGAAGTTAGTCTGCTATAACGATAGCCTTCATATCGGTACCAATGCTATCTCCCGCCAACGCCTGCGCTGGTGCTCGGTTCGAGCTTACCAAGTGACGAAGCCTTCTCCAAAAGAATCTGACCGGAGGTCCACGATTGCAGGAGAGCCTCATGACCATCTATCCACCCGTGAGTGCAGCCATCACTTTGTCACTGAAGAATGCCTTATTGGGCGATGAGCGAAACGGAGACGGGAGACAATGCACATCGGGTGGATGTACCACAAGGGAGTTCAGGAGCCAAAGTAATGATTCGTTCACCACTTGCTCGTCTTTTGTTTCTTCTCCGCGATCTCCACATCGGCCGCAGCTGCAGCGGAAACAACGGATCACTTGCTGTACCTGCGACTTCCGACTCTAGCGTCATGCACGCACTTGTGGGTGATGCTGGTGACAAACGCATGGATGAAAAGTCTCCCATCATGCGGTGTCGTCGACAATCAAGGAGAAGGTCATGTTCTGCGAACCACATTCATCCAAGGATCAAGTCGTGTCTTCCTGGGTCTGCAAACAGTATGTGATGTTGCTGTTTGATAGGGTGTGAGCGATAGCGTGCGTGCTCACGTCCAATATATAGCGTATGGATAAGCATCAGGTCATGGGCTTGAACTGCAGCTGTCGAGTTATTGTCAGTTGAGGCAAAATATTAGACAGCAAATTCATTCAGGACGTACCATGGGTATCATATGGTGATAGATGCATCCGACCACCCCTATTAGAAGAAGGGGAAGACCGGAAATTGTTGCAGTTCTTGCGTTGATCCTTTTCCCGATCATTGTGAAAGGAATCCGCGGCAATATTCGGAGGAAGGCTGAGTATAATGGTAAAATATAGGAATCAAAGCCGAGAAGTCATTGATCAAAGTTCTCATTGTATTTATCAGGCGATCGGGGGGTGAGAATTCCATGAGGCATAAGAGACCAGATAACCATGAAAGAGAAGTGAGAGAGATATACCCAGAAATCGAGGCTCAAGAGAAACCTGCCTGCTGATGACCTGAAACGACCAGCATCGTATCTCGAGACCCAAGTAGCTTGGAGATATAACGGTGAAGTGAAAGAGGAAGAACCGTGATTGAGCTCGGCTGATGCGAGGAGGGGGGGATGGGAGAGAGACGTGACTATTGCTTTGATTGTTTGTGTTTGGGCCGTTTGAAAGCATTTGACAAAAATTCACAATGTCCAGCTGTTGCTGTCTCTTTTGCGGGAATGGCATCTCGGTGTCTAGCAAACCCGCTTTCTGGGGGGTTTACAAAAATCGATGAACAGCCTCACCATTAAGGCTAATTGCTGGGCGTCCACCAGTGCATGGTGGTTACGGCCCGAGAGATGAGGCATAAACAGGCTTCAACAAGGTATAAGAAAGGCTGGAGGTGTAAATCAGTGTGCTGTATGGGAGAGAAAGGGGGTCAGAAGTTGTTGAATAACTCACTTTTATAATTATAGAGAATTTCCTCGGTATAAGTCAAAAATTGGTGGTCATCTCTATATCGCATATCTTCAAGATCGCCTATACCAAGCAATATAGCAGCAGTTGTATGGTTTGGGGCGACTTCAATCCTTGGAGAAGGGAGGTTGAAACGCCACCAACCCGAGTACATTTGGTTCGTGACGGTCCAAACTGCCAGATTGGCGAGCAACCATAGGTTGGAGGTGAACTGAGAATCGTAAGATCCTATACTACAGGAGGGCTGTTGAATGCCCAAGATAATATAATATAATATAACATGGATGTGCAGTTTCCATGAGTTGAAACTTCTAAGATATTGTCATGTACTTATACAGCTGACACCAGGGGCAAATGGAGCTTGATAAAGAAGACACAGTGATCAAACCTGGTATAGAATTATATAGATTTTGGTGGGTTGGCTTTATTTATTATACATAAAGGCTCAATTTGCATCATGACTCATATCAAACAGTAACAAAGAACAACTCCATGGCAACCCAAGTGAGAGGCATTGCGACTGTAATAAAAATTAAATAGATATGCATTAACTTTTAAGGAGAATGTGTGCTAAGTAACACTCGCGGACGGGGAATTAGTAAGGTATCCAGAGGGAGAGAGATTAGGCCTCGATTTCGGGCTTCGAGTCAGCCTTTCGCTGAGAGTCGATAAGCTCCTGGCGGGCACGCTCTTGCTCAGCAAGACCGGTCTTCTGGACGGTGTGATGGCGGGTCAGCTCACGGCGGCGAACTAACAAAGCGAGAACGAAGCCAAGGCAAGCGATGGCGGTGTAGAAGATCCACATGCGGTTCAGGGCATGTGTGAAGGCTTCCATAACGACCTTGCGCTGGGAGGGAGTAAGCCTCTTGATAAGGGCCTTTGAAGAGCTGCTAAAGGAGGCAGAAACAATTGCAGCATCTTCAGCGCCTAGGGCGGCGATGAGCTTGGCTGATTGTTGGCTCATGATGTTTTGGTAAATGACAGTGCCTAGAACAACGGACATGGAAGTGGAAAGTTGACGGACAAAGCCGAAAGTGGCTGTTGCCGTGGCCATGTCGGCAGGGCGGATGTTGGCTTGGAAAGCGACCAAAGGTGCCTGGAAATTAGGACCAATACCGATACCAGTGATTAACTGGTAGATGATGATACGGGGCCATGAAGCGTAGGCCTTGAGGTCAATGAAAAGTCCGAATCCAAGAGACATCAAGGTCATACCGCCGATGATCAGCTCGCGGAAGCGACCAGTCTTCTTCATAACGACACCCGTGGCCGCGGAGCCGATTGCAAGAGACAACACCAGAGGCAGGACATACACACCACTCAGAATGGGAGTCGCTTGGAGGACTGTTTGGAAGTAAAGCGGCAGATAGTAGGTAGCGGCGATGAAAGCGAAGCCGTGGCAGAAACAAACGAGCAGGATGAGAATGTTGTACCACTCGTTGAACAGTCGCGGGGGAATGATTGGGAACTTGGCAACCTTCCATTCCAGGAACATTGCCAGAGCCCAAGTTAACACACCGAAGACAATTAGACAGATGACAGTAGGTGAGGCCCAGGGGTAGTTGACACCTCCGAACTCCAGGCCGAAGAGGAACATCAGCGTCCCGCCGATGATCAAGAACGTTCCTGTCCAATCAATGCAGCGCAGACCAGCCCAGAATGGAGTCTTGGGCGATTCAATGTGAAGGAAGAGGACAAGGATAGCAAGCGAGACACCTCCAACCGGAAGGTTGAGATAGAAACACCAGCGCCAAGTCACTTCCGTCGTGAAAGCTCCGCCAATAACAGGACCAAGAGCGCCTGCGACGGCCCAGGTTGCACCGAAAAGACCATAGTACATCGGACGATCTCTGTATACAAGTTAGCCTCGTTGCATCCCAGACCAAGAAGTCATATCATACCTCAAGCTGAAGAGATCCGAAACACTGATATTAGCCAGGATAATGATACCACCACCACCGACACCCTGAACCGCTCGACCGGCGATAATCGTGGCCATATTATGCGCCAAAGCGCAGATCAGACTGCCAACCAGGAAGACAACATTTGCCAAGACAATGATAGACTTTCTTCCCCAGATATCACTGATCTTACCCCACAGAGGGATACAGGCGGCATTCGCCAGGAGATATGACGATGCGATCCATGAGAAACCGCTCTCCGAGGCACCAAACTGCGCGGCAATAGTGGGAAGGGCGGTGGAAATAATAGTCTGCAAGATCAACGTTAATGACCGAAGCAAGGGGAATCAAGTGAGCATACACATACCATATCCAAAGCTGCCAAGAATAGAGCCAACTAAATACGACATCAAATTAGCTTTCTGCACTTCACGAAGTTTCCCCGCCTCGGAGGGTTTCTTACACATAGCGCCATCATCACGACAATGATCTTTTTCTTGCCCATTTTTGCTGCCTGGGAGGGTGCGTGGTCTAGAGGCGCACCCTCTGTTGTCTTTTCCGTTAAATTCTCATCGTTGTGTTGGCCAGCTACCTCAGTTACCTGGTCGGGGGTATCGGGGGACTTTTCCGTGTGGGGTTGATCGATTTCAGTATTACTGCTCGAGGCGTCTGGTTGCTGGCGCTCACTCATCATGATTTGTGGGGGAAAAGAAAGGGAGAAAAGGTTTCTAGAAAGAAACGGCGTTAAGAGTCCGTTCCGTCCAAGCTAAGAAATGTCCGACCGCGGAAAATATTTTTTGGCTGCTAGAACGGTAGAATCGATATGATACATATATTATAAAGGGGTCATCGGATCTCGTATTTTCGGGGTTTCAAAGTTGAAAGGCGAGGCCGAAGTACTAAATTGTCGAATCCAGTGGATCGTCGGTGTCGGCGCTCGGATAAGCCCCGATGCCGAGCTTCAGGGCTTGTTTTTACGAAAACGTGAGTCATTGGTTAGACATCTTGTTTTACGAGGGCCAAAAATGGACAAATATATTTCTAACATATCGCTGTTGGATGGGGTGGAGGCTGATCGCCCTTGTTGTCAATTTGAAGTGGCCATCTCCCTGGTCTTCGACGATAGAGACATAGTATAAAGGAGAATACTTGCGGAGAAATATCTACGATGGGACCAATGCGGTGCGAAGAACACGTGGTTGTCATTTGAGAGAGAGCCAGCTCGCAGCTCATGCAGAGAGCCTGACCGACTTTCAGATTTAATTAGAACAAAGTGCAAACCATCAGAATCAACTCGCAACCACGTGAGATAGGCAGCTGGCAGCCCCTAGTCATATCTCGACACGACACAATAACGATGCGGTCCATGAGAAACCGCTCACAGAGAAGACCCACCATTTAATCACGGCCTCCACTGGCCAACTCAGAGAGCCATTGCCGATGTTGAACATGAGCCAAAGCAGCGAAGTAGTCTGAGAGCTCGTGGAATTGTAGTTGGAAGCGTTTCTTTAGAGCCAGTGGATTGCATCTGGGAAATCTCAGACCATGCGATTTCGATGGCGATGGCGGGAATAATGCGAATTATTAAGAATTGAAAGAGTGTTCCAATATCGTGTCCATGGCCTTCCCCGGGAATACGTAATGGAATCACTCCACGCCGCTTCGTTTTAAGCGGCAACCGTAGCTTTGGATACTCGCATGACGCTGCCCTGATCTATAGGCTATAGCTTCAATGTCCGCGAAATTGAAGACGGGAGCGGTAAGACTTGAGGCAGCCAAAGCTTGGAATCTGACGTTAATAATTCGCTCGTGGGTTTGTGAGTTGTGTGTATAAATATCAGCACACGGACGATAGCCATGGAATTCCGCGGATGTCGCGCATTGGAAAGGGTGTAGAAGATATATTCCTTGGGGAAGCCACGAACGGTAACTCGGAGGGCCTGTCTTTGACACCTTGATTCTCACATTTGGTGACCCAGGAGAGTTCGCGTCGAATGCGATTTATAAGTATCAAAAGGCGCCTAACCCTAACGTTAGTCGCTCATCGCGTTCTTGGGGCCTCAAGATGATGCCAAACTGCATAGCACTGGAGGTACGGAGTAACTACGCGAGATCTTGGTTATCGGCGGGGCCAGAGATGACGCTAGACCTAAAAGAGGTTAGCGTAGCTTTCATGTGGGAATAGGTCGGGCCTCTACGTATCGTAAGCTTCTAAGGTTGCGATGCGTGATGACAATCTCACCGTCCAAGGCCCCCAGGGCTCCCTCACCTTCGATTCTAACTCGAGTCCAGCACTCAGCTTGGGCCATCTTCAGTGCGGAGCTCATCTTCAATCATGGTACACACTCAGAGCCTTCCCATAGAGCTCCTAGATCTCATTGTCTCTTTTGTCCGCCCAGATGATGAGCTTCCGAGCAGAGATCGAAGAATGAAAGACGATATTGAAACTCTGCGCAATGTTTGCCTAGTTTCGCGGAAGTTCTATGCCCTGGGCCAGCCGTTACTCTTCCGTGTTCTTTTTTATGATGGTTCGCATGATTATCGAATGTTTACCAGAACAATTTGTCGTCGTCCAGATCTTGCAAAGCATGTGCATCAGATCTGCATACTGCCTACCCTATCCTTCGGTACCCACCTTCTTGACGCAGAAGACCTCGAGCTGTCCAAAGGCATAATCGAGGACCTTCAGTTGGGCGATCAGGAGGACACATGGATTTCGTCTATAGAGGGAGCCGACCTCGGCCTTTTCACAGCATTAGTAGCCAGCAAAGCCCCCAATCTTCGCTGGCTACATCTGCCAGTATCCCAATTCTGGATTCAGCCATTCATCCAGCTATTCCGCCACAATCCTGAATTTTTGTCAAACCTTGAGTCTATCTGGATTGAAAGCGATGAAGAATATTGCAACACGGAGATGTATTCCAGAATGAACATTGCTTCCTATGAGAAATTCCTCACCCTTCCCAAGGTCAAATCTTCGACCTTTGAGTACGGTGTTCTCTGCGACGCTTACCTTCGTCCGTTCCCATCTTCCTGGCTGCCTGGAACATTGGAGACGGAAAGACTGGCCTTTCACCACTGCCAGGTCGATCCTTTCGCCCTCGAAAAGCTCATGCAAGCGTGCAAGAAGCTAAAAGCCTTCACCTACAACAATTTCAGCTTGCACCCGAACAACCGACGAAATCGTGCGGAAAAACTGCCCGAGTTCAACGCTAAGCAGGCCTACGAAGCCGTCCTCCTACACAAGGACACTCTCGAGCTCTTCCACCTGGAGTACGGAACGAAACCACCGCATATTGATATCTTCGAGCAAGTCCTTTCTGGCCGCGTCCAGGTTGGCTCATTCCGCGATTTCTCCGTGCTCGAGACCATCGTCATCACACACGCTTTTCTTCCACCACACCCCGAATTCCCCAGCTCGTTAAAGACACTCCATATCATGAACTGCAAGGCATCTGTCTGGGAATTGACGCAGAGCATCGCGAAAGATTGTGAAAATGGTCTTTATCCGGAGTTGACTGATGTCAGCGTATTCGCAACCGACATCACAAAGCCTGCTAAGCTTCAAGGAAAACCCCTACAGCAATGTCTCCTTGATCTAGAGGAGATGTTCAAAGGAACCAAAGTGAATTTCCAAATCTCACCGTATGAAATACCTTATTCTGATGATTACGATAATCTCGACCTCTATCGTTCTTACACTGCTCAGGAATGATGATGTATTGTTCTACTACGGCAGCCGTTTTTAAAATGGCAGCCGGGCCACATATCGACTAGCATTATGATCGAGTTCGGTTATGAGGAAGATTTCCAAGAACCCGCCAAGAGCGAATCCCAGCTGGATGCAATCCGACCACATGTTTTGGATTGCTTATGGAGCGGGCTAGGGTGGACACTAAGCCTCGATGAGATCATTTATAACAATACATGGGAAACAGACAGTAACGAAAGCTCGATCGTCTAGTCCAGTTACTCCAGCCATTGATTCTGTTATAATATCCACGATAATATTCCTTATCATGTAATAATATCTCTGACCGACCATGTGAGTTTTAACATTTTTTGAGGGACGAGTGTATGCCTTATTTGGAGAGATGGCCAATACTTGGGAAATCTCAATGCATTCATGTTCCACGCATATTCGTGGCTCGATGATTCCTCGATGAACATGTATTGGCCAGTGTTCTGGAAATTCTATGACAAAAGCAAATTGGGGTTTGGGTATAATGAAAAGAGCCAGAGCGTAGAGAGAACATCACGACTAGGAAAAGGAAATCGAGAGTACCACGTATGGTAATGGAGCAGAATGCTTTACTCCTGCAATAGAAGAATCTCTGTAAAAAGCGATTTCCAGTTAGCCACTGATCCCCAACAACACAACAGACACCAAAACCTACCAGTCAAAGCTTCTTCAAAGCTTAGGGTGATATACCCATCCCGATCATCATCATACCGCTTGAACACATCCGTCATACGCTTCAGACTGATACAAGCCTGAACGAAAAGATCAAAGCTCATACCAGTAGACCTGTAGTCCTTAGGCGCATTGCTCATCTGCTTAGCCTTGGCTTCAAAGACACCAAAGATAACAGAAATGAACTTCCCGCTAAGACGATATCCGAACGCAACAAGCGCGTTCTCGAACTCCCGCTGGCTGATGCGTCCACTGCGGTCTTCGTCAAAGCGATCGAACAGCTCCCGCCATGCAGCCAGATACCGCCACAGTGAGACAAACTCGTCGAAGTTGATGGTCCCACTGCCGTCGCGGTCGAACATCCGGATCATCAGCCTGACCGTCCGCGGGTGGAAGGACGTGTAGTCGCCGTTCACGAGCGCGCTGCCGAGCTCCCCTTCGGTGAGGGTGCCGGAGTGGGACGCGTTCGCGGCGCGGAAGAGGGGGAAGAGTTGTTGCGGGTCATCGCTGGGTGCTGTCAATGGCGGTGGGGCGGGCGATTGGGGAGGCCGCGATGAGGGCGGGGGTCGGTTGCGCTGGGGGTGTACTGGTGGGGGGCCGAACCCGTAGTTCTGGGGTGGCGGGGAGGGGTGGAGGGGGTGAGGACGAGACTGGGACTGGCTGAAGTGTTGACTTGGCGGGGGCGCGTTTGTTGCCGAGGGGCGGCCGCTGTAGGAGTTGGAGTGGGAGTGGGAGTGGTAAGGCTGGGACTCAAGGCGTGGAGGCGCGGAGGCGTATGCGTGCTGGGGAGCGCTAGAGCTGGATACAGGAACACGTGGAGGGACACCGCTGTGGGTTCCTTGCGGTGACGGGCGAGATGGGAGCGGTTTTTGGGTGTGACTCGGAGTGTGGCCTGATACACTCATGTTGCTTAACATCTGCGCCGCCTAATTGAGGGTTAACGAAAAGAGTCTAAGGCGTGTAACAGATGTTGTACCTCTTCTGGCTCAGCATGACTAATATTTCCCAAGTCAGTAATCAGTAGCTGCAGAAGATGCCTAGAGTATGCACTTACGCTGGCAGCGCGTCGGGGTTGTAGGATTTGTTGTAGGCCATAGTCGGAGCGCTGGAGGTGACACAATCAAGAGAAAGAATGCGACACAGGAAGTGCAAAGGTATATGAAGAAGAAGAAGAATAAAAGGAGGCACCTGAAAGCGGAGCCGGGGGGGGCATTGATTTTTAGCGCATGTGAGGAACCTTGTCGGAGGAACTGCGGAGGGTACATGACGAATTGAGAGCTACATATTGGTTTAGAGGGTTTATACTGTCGAGTTTATGAATATTTTTAGTATATGAGATAGCTAGAGACACCTACATATAAGCAGACTGTTTCTATTGATTTTGTTCAATATAGGTCCATGGATTTGCCAGGAAGAACCTTGGAATACCTGCTTCACTATGAGGCTCTGCTTTAAAATTAACAAAAACATATCCAAACTACGGAGTACATGAATCTATCGAATTAACGCCCCTAGATCCACCTAGCCAGCGCTATGTTAGAACTAATACGAATACGAGTTTCGAGAAGTGCGTGGTTTCTATTCCGGACCCCTCAATATACAGCGCAGAACTCGAATCCCCGCGCTAATACGTATAGTACGGGTGTACCGCTTGCATTGTAGGTTTGGATAGTATTAGAGAGACGAGTCTACAAATTTCAGGGGCGAAATACGCGACGTAACTGAGATTGGAAGAGGCTGAGTTGTGTGCCCAACTTGAACGCCCCGCTCCACTCTATGGCGTACGGAGTACAGATATCCACCGCGTTCACTTAACCACTACAGACCTTCAATTACAGCATGCTCTCGCTTGACGGCACGCTATAATGGATCCTACTTCAATGATGTCACTTTTTGCTATCACGAGATAGCTCTTTATAGTACGCTTTCCTAATGTAGAACAGGCTAAAGCGAGATGGGACTTCGGAAATTTGGAATCTAAGAGACCAATGAGAGCTAACCACTTCTAGATATATAATCTATGACTTCTCTTCTCATTGACTTATGTGATGTGTATATTATACTGGATATAATTCAGTTGCGGGTCATTACCTATATCTGACTACGACTGCTGTATATTCTATATTGTAAACAGGAAGTAAGCTTGAAAGATTTCATTTCTCATTTCTCAGTTAACGTTAGCAGGGTATCTCAAAGGCAAGAACGCTTGATATTCTGCAAAAATGCGCTAGGCGCATGAACAAACCACTCCTCGGTCGAACCTCGTTGGCTTGTCGTCGGTGTCGTGAAATTTAAACGCCCTGGTACAGGCCACGAGCGACGAGGGACACCTCCGGTGCTTGCTCCTCGAGCACGGCGATGATCTCCTCCCAAGCCTTCTCCTGGAGTTCCTCGCCCTCTAGGATAGTAGTCAGCGCAGTCGACTCACTATAAAATCATTAGCAATGGTCAATTGAAACAGGGTGAAAGATGATCTTACTCAAGATATCCCTCACTGCGCCAGCATTTCCCCTGCGTTTCGAGGCCCTGGAGGGTAGCACTGACCAGCGAACGGCTTCCCTGCTCAGTAGTACGGGCGAAAAACGTGTGCATAACCCAAACGATACACTTCTCCCACCAATGAGAATACTTGCGACCCAAAGCCGAGATGCACAGTCCGGGGCTGACAGTGTTGACAACCAGAGTGTGAGTGCCGTCGTCGTTGCACACGATATTGGCGATTTTCTTGATCACGATTTCGAGCAGAAGCTTCGAAATGCCGTACTGCTTGGGACCGTTGAAGTTGTCCGGGTCGTTGACGTGAGCGAGGATCGAGCCATCGGTCTGGATGCTTGCGGGCTTGACGCGAACGAATTGCTGGCTGGAAACGAGAGTTAGGTGGGTGGGGTTATCGACGTAGGAGCTTTTCTTTAGCTTAGGAAGTAGAAGTATGGCCAACATCAAGGTCGACAGGGTGTTGACCTGTAGGGTCTCCTCCCAGCCCTCGGGGGACTGATAGTATTCGCGATTCCAAAGTCCAGCGTTAAGCAACGCGACGTCAACACGGTCCAACTCGACATGGACGCGTTCGGCGAAGTCTTTGACGCTCTGGAAGCTGTTCATCTCGAGCTGCCACACTTTGACTACGTTGCGTCGGTTCGTGGCTCGTTCGAGGTCAACTTTGGCCTTGTTGCCCTTTTCGATGCTGCGAGATCCGATAATGAGCAACTCGACGCCGAGATTGAGGATTTTGATGGCTGCTTCAAAGCCAAGGCCAGAAGTGGCACCTGTCAAAATGACGATCTTACCAGCGAAGGACGCACCTTGAGGATCAAGGGGAGGAGTGTACTGCATCTTGAGGAGGCGAAAGATGGCCGCCATGATGGAAATTGGGATGCAAAAGGATGGAAGAATAAATCAAAGTAAACAAAGTACCAAGGGTGCGAGGCGCGTGATGAATGTTTTGGGGAAGAAAAAAAGCCGATAACACCAGGGCCGATAAAGGATAGCGATAAAGATAAGAGATAAGGATAGCGATAAAGATAAGAGATAAGGATACGATTAGTGCAGATCTACCAAGGTACGAAAGCGGTGTATAACTATATCCGTACACGGACCTCACTGTAACATGTCAAATAATAGGAGTATGAATAACTGCAGATCATTTTGCCGAGTATGGTTCGCCTCTTTTGTGTTGACCCTTACCATAGTGCAGATCATAGACGCCAACCTTGGAAGATGAACAGGAATAACATGTCACCATTTGGACTGTTCATTCGGATCCCCAGGAACTTCTCATATCGAGCGATATCGAGCGATATCGCGAGGATGTTTGAGTCAGCAAGAATACTAGCAATGACGGCAATTCTGGACGCAATCTTAGATAAGATGTGTCAGTGTTCATGAAGATGGAACCGACGATATAGCACGAAGATAGAAGCGAGAAGCACTCGAGGAACTCGAGTTGACGTTGCAACAGACGCAGTCGTTTCGGCATCGTGATATTCCCGGACAGAGGGCATGCTCAGCGTGCCATCTATCGCACTGCCAATATCTGTGCTTTCAGAATCCTATCCTGGTGATTGATTGTCTTGATGGCCATAGCATTTGTGATATTGAAATTGTTCCAACTGAGCTATATGATATCAGAACATTCAAGGCACAGGAGTGAGCCCAGCGAGATCAAATCCCATTCCAGTGATGATATCGCGGAGAGAAGTGATGTCAAAGCTAAGGCGATCAGTGCCCTGGCGGCTCGGGTCAACCACGCCGTCAAAAATGTCTTCTATGGTCAGCGAAATAGGCATTTCCACCGGGCCCCGAACCAGGAAAACCTGGTTATTCCAGGTCATTTGTGCCTTGCCCGTGGCATTTCGGCATCAGAGTTCGATTGTACTGCACACTCCTCTCTTACGCTGGAAGAATCTGATAAGAATGACCTTGCGTACATTGATACCAACGCCCTCTAGCCGAAATTTCGCATCCTATAACAGGCTTGAGTAGGTTTGGTTGAAACCAACCTCTATGACCACGGTTGGTTGATGGGTTGTCATAGGGAATGATGAATGTGTTCGGTTTTTTTGATCTCCAAAATAATTTGAAATTTTTAGAACTTCTTTATGATGAACTCTTTCTGGACACATGTGTATTTGATCAAGAAGCGTAAGAAGGCAATTTCCAACCTCCTCGGCCACGGAGGTTGAGACAAGGATGAGTAAAGTGACTGGGTGAAGAATCAACCAGCTTCAATGGTACTCAATGCCTGGTCTGCTTTTTTCTTTAGGGTCCTTGGCCGAGGTCCACATCATCCTCGGTATCAGAACCAGACTGATGGACTGAATTTGCACCCTTAGCAATTCGTGGGTGATGCTTCAAGAGTGGTGAGAAGGACAAGGAGAAGGAGAAAGTGCGATGTCAGCATATATAATAGCTAGCTACCACGTGACCCCCAGGATAATATCATCATCTTCCCTACTATCCCTAGGTACCAGCGTAATAGATATCTCAAAAAGCATCTAAATAGACCACCAGATTGATATGAGAAGGCTATTCTTGTTTACTACGTGAACCAGAATTTAAAGGTGCAAAAGATAAGGTAGAATCAAAGTGAGCCGATATACCAAGTCCCTGAAGATATTTCCTCTACTCTATATATAGACCATCTCACTTGTATCGCATTTGTACCTCACTGGTACGTTACATGTATCTCAAATGTTGTGCTTTGAAAGTGTTAAGATGCCTCATCCATCACGCAGATGGCGAGATGCCCAAGAACAAACAATGCAAACAAAATCAGTGTATAATCAGTCTTGGGCAACTTCAACATTCAGAACGTTCACAATTGTGGTCAAATCCAATTTATAACAGCATCTTCTTTAGCAAAGAATTCAAGTCCCTGGTTTTCTTTTCTGAAGTTGACGCGCTGATCACAGAAATCAGCCTTAAAGCTGTTGCCGGAGCACATTATTAATCCACCTCCGCCAGGGCTTGGAAGGTCGGAATCCGCAGCCAATAAACTCGTTGGAGCGCATTTAATATCGTCTATTTGATATGGCTGCCATTGCACAAGGCCATCAGGTCCATCCGGACGGTCGCACGTGGAAGAGTCATTTTCCTAAGGGTGATCTTTGGGTATTTGGTTATGGGTGGGTTAACTCATTGTTCCGAAGTTCTATTGAGCCGTTAAATATCAAATACTGATTATGATTATAGGAGCTTGATCTGGAAACCGCCTCCACACTATGGTACGTGAGACTGGAATGTAAAAGTGCGGCACTAAAACGAAACATCGTGTTGGTTGCTTTTGACCAAGAATCAATTGACTAATTATACCATCTAGACCAGCGTGTACCGGGCTATATTAATGGCTATGTTCGGCGTTTCTGGCAGGTACGTGAACCCGTCATTTGAGGGGGAGACTTTATATTTGTACATTCAAGATAACCAGACTAACATTGTGGTTTTCCATCAATTCTAGGCCAGGTATGTCGTTGACTATGTGCAATATGCAGACATCGCAATGTAAACATGCCGAGAACCACAAATCGCTAACTTGATCTCAAAGTACCGATCACCGTGGCACCCCCGAGCAACCGGGCCGAGTAGTCACCGTAATCGAGCGAAGCTTCTGGGAAACCCTGAACGATCCGGTATGTTTTACATACGCCTCTTGTTCATACACTCATTGATATAACCCCTAGCTCGCCCACCTAGAATCTGAAGCTGCCTCCACAGGCAAAGTCTGGGGTGCGGCGTATCACATCCCTGCATCTCATGCCGAAGAAGTCCATGACTACCTCGACGAACGGGAGATCGACGGGTACAGTGCGCACTATACGCCATTCCACCCGACCGTGGATGTCGAAGGAGCCGCAGGATCGACCGGGCCCTCTCCAATCATTTGCATGGTCTACATCGGCCAGCCGACTAACCCGCAGTTCCTGCGTGAAGCAGCTCAGCGCGAGCCGCAGAATGTGGCGCAGGTTATCAGTGCTGGGCATGGGTTGAGCGGCAAGGGTTCTGAGTATTTGTTCTTGTTGGAGAAGGCTCTTGAGGGTCTTGGGCTTGGGACTGCGGATGTTCATGTTACGGATTTGGTTAAGAGGGTTAAGGCTATTGAGGCTGAGGGGCTTGCGGATGCTGAGGAGAAGGAGGCTGGACTGAAGGTTACCAGGTCTTTGGAGGGCGAGGGTGATGAGTCTGATCGTGAGAATAGCCATTGATTGAGGTGCATGGGTCAAGGCTTTGTTGGTGACTTTTGAAGTTTTTTGTTTGCACATGTATAGGTTACATATTTGCCTAGCACAATAGATAGATAGCGAAAGAAGCGACTGGATAGATGACATGGGTTCTTTTTCCTAAATATAGGGGGGTAGTGGGCTTTGGTATAATTCTGGTTTTGTCCGATCTTGTTATTGAGTACATTGAGGCTACTATTGCCTGGGCGGGAATAACTGTTTCCACAAAGCAAGGGTGCCCAACGGGAATTATTTCGCATGTGTAAATGGTCGCCCAAAAAATGGAACATTGAGTAGTATTAGCAGGCGATGTCTGATTTTGTTCCCCGGAAAAAACCTCGTGGTTGTAATACATAGTTCAGTCCGATACCCGTGACCCTTGCTGGACATACATGCCATCGAATCACTACCCTTGATCTATGTACTCTGTCATAGGAAGGATCTGCCGTGAAACGAAAATAGGCATTGCAGATATGAAACCACACAAAGAGAGAAAGAAGACATCAAAAGTTCGTAGGTGAAACAAGTCGAAACGCAACCGTATAAAAGCTCAAATCTGCGTTCATTAAACAAATTCTCAAATAATAAACCCATATTCCCTTCCTAAGAAGTCGAGCGCGAAGGAAAATAACAATATCCTGTAACAAAATTCAATGGGCAGGACCCCGCCGTTTCATCTTTCGCCATATTCGTTTGTAGATCGTTACTTCTTTTGGAAAGATTTGCCAAAGAAAAGCGCGTATGAAGAAATCGAAAAGACCCCATCAGCTAATGGTAACCCTCTTGAGGAGCCTGCTCGTGGATGTTTCCGCGCCAACCTTTGGATGTCAGTTAATATCAGGATCAAGATACCACAATAACTCACCTCCACCACCGCCATACCCAGAGTTTGGGCCACCACCTATAATTAATTAGCAAAGCAACAAGAAAGAAGAATCAAAAGCTAACCATAGCCGCCGGGACCAGCTACGCCATAACCAGCGGGACCGCTAGGAGCGTAGTTGCTGTACCCACGGTTGTAGGGCCCACCGTATCCACCGGCAGCGGCAGGACCGTTATTGTACCCGCCGTGATTGTGATTGTAGCCACCGTAAACACCACCACCACCACCACCGTGGTAACTAGATTGAGGCTGGGCATTGTATCCTCCACGACCGTGGAAGCCAGCATCCTGGCGTTGTGGGCGATCAAACGCCTTGTCAACGCGAATGACCCGCCCGTCGAATCTGAACAACATATGAGATCTTGAACTCATAAAATCAATGTGAGGTTGGATGGTTACTCTTGGTTGTTCATAGCGCCCATAGCAGCATCCGCCTCGGCGTCAGTAGCAAAGCGAACAAAGCCGAAGCCGCGGCTGCGCAAAGTCGCACGGTCTTTCACGACAATCTGTACTCATGGTCAGTAGAAGCCCAAGATGCATGTGGTGTACATCAGTCAAGGGAGACTGACGGCTTCTTGAATCTCGCCGAATGGTTGGAAACCCTCGCGCAAGGTGTCATCGCTAGTATGCCAAGAAAGGCCACTAAATCCCATCGCAGCAACGGTTAGACTGGCTCCTACCAGCACAAATGTGTTCTCAGGTATATATACACACTGAATAAAAAGTTTAGACATCGTGTTAGAGGTGTAAGAGAGGAAGCTGTAAGAGAGACGATGCTCGAGCTGGCTTGATCTGAGGACGGAGATGAATGTTGAAAAAAAGGAGACGACCGAAAGAAAAGGAAGGATAAAAATATGAACCCGTCCGAATTGTGAGACGACAGGGAGATCCTAGCGGCTAAGAGGCGAGTCAGCATCCAGTCCCGTGTAACAATCACACTGCGTTAGGGCTTGCACATTGCCGGGGATTTTCCACTGGTCGGACGCCAACGGCAAAGTCCACAACGAGTAATATCTATTTATGCGTACTCTGTACTGTGTCTTTGTCTGGAATCATGACTAGAGCGAGAAAGGTCCGGGCTTAGCCTCAAGCGTACTTCCAAGTGGGGGAGGGATGCTGCAGAGATAAACACGCCAAAGCCAGTCTCACGGCCCTAAACCTTGAGCTGATACAATTGCGGGTCGTCGGGTTTCCAGCAGTCAATCAGATGGTATCCGATGCTCCGTTTGGATTGGCGGCACTTAGGGCAACGGCTTATGTACCTTTGTTGCCCCTCACTTGGTTGAAGATCCGAGGGATTCTGCTTTGGGATTCATAGGGCTGGACTAGCACCTAGATTCTATTGTGAATCTATGTACTCCATACTGAGTACATAGTTAGTCCATCCTTCTTGCTCCGAGAACCGGGATATGAGTCCATTGATGAAAGCAACATAATTTCGGGTGGAGTCTTCACGCGTGGACTGTGGAATTTTGTCGATTCCCCGTAGCTTGCTCCATGCCTGATTGGTCGTATGCGTGTTTATGCATTGTGGACTTTTGTCCTCATTCGGTCGGGAATCATTTGAGGAGTGTTTGGCAATACAGACTTGAGATCTGCATTCAATTACCACCGTGGATCTAGCCTCTCAGTTCGGGCCATCGTCAGTCTCAAAGTGGCTTTGCGCGCGCGTGCATCGGGCAGAGAGGGCAGTGCTCCGTAGGCCCACATGCGGCTTGGGCCGTCGGCCTTGTACTTCATGTGCCGGGAGAGATCGCAAATGGCGACGATCGGCACTGGGATTGCGTCTATACGATGTTGACATCCGTCTCCGATAGGTTGATGAAGGTAGGTATGGGAGAAAAGTACCGAAAATGTTTGAACAAAAGCTATTCATAGGTGACTCAAGGAACACTTCTCATTTAAGCGCCGAGAGAGAGCATTAAAGAGCAATAAATGGGCATTAATAGAAAAACAAGGAAAAACGAGGAAACAATGAAAAGATAGGAGGACGAACTTGAGATGGTCGCGCTTTCTTCGGCGGTGACTTGGATTTGTGTGCTTTCAGGTCACCTTACTCTGTCCAGTTGCTTCAAGTCTACTTTATTTCTACAAACACTACCCAGCTCTCTGAGTTCTGGGAACTTTCTTGATGGAAAGCAATAATCCAATCTATCATTGGCTTTCCACTGTTGCGAGCCAGCAACAAAGTCGCCATCAAGATGGAGGCATGTTGTTGTCACAAAGAACTATGAAGTCTCCGCGCTAACATAGCTTTAGCTGAGAACAAGGAACAAGCGAAGGACACAGCTCCTGTAACGAGCATACCGCAAACCCGCATCCCATTCGAGATATCCGATAATTTGCGTGTGAATGGACATTCAGCCAGTAGGAAGAGAGATTCAGGCCACAAGGGAACGAAAGCACCGTCTACTCACGAGACCATACCACGAAGTGAGAGTCATAAGAGATCACGACATAGCTACGAGATAAGGCCCAGACACAAGACTCGTGAGGATCGCTATGAGTATAAAGGCCCATCATCGGCTGTGGAGACCCAGTCGCAGTCTCGCAAAGGAAGAACTAGGAAATCCCAGGGCAGGAAGCACACCATCAATGATGACTTCCATGCCATCAATATTACAGGAAACAGATTGACAGTAAGTATTGTTCTGCAACTTCCCGCTGGATGTTACTCATGCCAAATAGTTGCGCAAAAACATGAACCTGGGTATGTTTAGTAAGGGACGGTCTTCGTGCATAACCAACCACCCCGGAAATACCTCGTCAAGCGCTCTTGGAAGACCACCAAGCATCAAGCCTCATAAGTGGACCGCAGAATCCGATCTTGCCTTTTCCGAGATGAACTTTCTGTCCCGGAGGAATAATCCCAGCCCGTATCCCATGTCGACCGCCAGAGACACTCTGGATGGACAGAACGGGAGAGAGCACCACCCACGAGAGCTACAGTTCGCTTACCCTGCACATGACTCTAGAATCAACAGGTCTCACTTAGGCAACCGGTTTCTTGATGTGGAATGCCAACTTGACGTCCCAGTCACGCCGTTGTTCACATTTGAAAAGGCGCCGGTCAGCGAGATGTCCGCAGTTTCCGGCCACTCTTGGGGCACTTCCTCCATGTTCCACAATAAAAGAAGAAAGACATCAAAACAGTCATCATCAATTCCATACACCTGGGCTGAGACTGAGGTCGACCCCACGGAACAAAGCGATGCCCTCGAACAACACCTGCTGAGCCTGCTGCATGTCGGGGTATATCCCCAAGCGCTATGCTCTAATATCACAAATACTGTCTCGGGGAGACGGTATTGGAGTCTCGCTGAATTATGGGAATTGTTGAAGGAGAGAAAGGCATCATGGTCAAACGAAGCCGGCAACAAAAAGCGAACTTCACCCGAAGCCAACATGGGGCAGGTAGCTGCATCCGAAGCCGTTCCACAGGAGATTCCCGAGATCGTTGCATCAGACACATTGGATCTTGCCAATGTCAGCAGTGTACAAAATGAAATATCCGAACAATCCCCAGATTCGAATGTCGCTTGTGAAACGGTCCGCAGTGTGAATAACAGACCACAACAACAACCTCCAATTCTCGAGCAACAACAAGACCGACCATGTCAAGCTTCAGATAGACCGGACTGTCTAAACCACCAAGTTGCCATGATATCAAACATCCCAGATCGTTTCATAGATATCTGGGGTGAAGATCAGTGCGAGCCTTTCTCTCACGAATCGGGAGAGCATGCAGTATTGTTTCCCGCATTTGCACCGGAGGTCAAACAGCCGCATATATCTGACATTGAATTTTATGAGCTAGATCGAGTTGATGATGATGATGAGTTCTATCGCACGCTGGATGCTGCTTACTGCGCCATCGTTCGCCCTGAGGTTGCGGCAGGAGTTGCATCAAACTTACAGCGGTCACTTGAATCCCCCGAACTTGGCAATAATATTCCGAATAGTCCAGAATCGACTGGCATTCGAGACTATGATATTCCTACCCGACAAGCAGAAGCAGGAGAACTAGAACATCTCGCAACGGTCTCCCAGGATATCATAGAAGAGCGGTATGATGAGTGGCCAGCGAAGCCTTCTCATCAAAACAAACCACCCACGAGTCATTCGAACTATCCTGGTGTTGACCCAAACAATGATATGCCATGGCTCACTACTGGATACGGCAAGCCACTAACTGGGAACGACGCGCAACAGAGTCAGCACCCAGAAATACCTGACTTCTGGCGACAGAACAAACTCTACTGATCTTCACCGGCAAGGTGGTTATTAACTGGATAGTCGAACGTGTCAATAGCAAGCTTGGCCACATTTGCATCAATCAACCATATCAAAGCGAAGTAGCGCCATCTTCATGTACATACCTCGCTAGCTTGAGTTCGGCCGGGAATAGAGATTGTGAGCACCTTGAATTCAAGATAGCATTAGGGTAACCCCCCCTCCGGACTTGTATGATCAGACCACACATGTATTGTAGTAACAAAACACATTCCCATTGTCAGACAGAAATTCCAGTATCGTGAAGCCCGAAGCATTCCTACTTCAAACGTTCCGAAATTGGCTTCATGGCTCCTTCCCAAACCTTGGAAGTTCCCCGTGTAAACAAAGAAGGCAAACAATGTAAACTGGAAGGTGTGACATTGATATTGACAGGGCAGGTGCACGAGGGACCTGTCGCACTCCAGGAAGGCACGTGGGTTTGGAATATAAAAGGACCCTTCCCCCCATTTCTCTTCTTCTCTTCTTCTTCTCTCCTCCCCATCTCTCTGGCCACCATCTCTCCGTCCACCCCCCCTCCCCTTCCCCTCCCCTTCCCCTCCCTCCCCCTGAGACAGCGTTGACAGAGGGAACCGTAGCACATGCTGCTTCACCTACCACAGGGATCATAACATTACCATTGTTATGAGGTCCATGTAGGTCTGGATCAGATATCAAACCTAGAGTTCTTGTGGATGTTCCTGAAGTCGTGGCTCTCATTGCCATTTGACAAGTCCCACGGAATACATGTAGATAGCCATAGCCGAGTTGAACTCCTAGACTTGATCTCTCCACGTATTCCAATGTCTTGTTCGTCTCACATAATCGTTCGCGCTGAGGTCCTCGCAGATGGTTCTAACACGACGTGATCCCTCTCGAACGCGTAAACAAAGGTCTCTGCTGCGCTACACTTGCCTTGGTGCTGACCAGATGTGGTGACTCTTCTATTTGTAACAATGATTGGGCTAATCGAGCAAAGGATTTGACTCAAATGCAGTTCAGCTCAGTCGGGTTCTTCAACATGCCACCACAAACTGCCAGTCAATGATTTAGAAAGCACACTGGCGCTGGTTTATGAGAGTTGATGAATTCATTGGGTATATAACAGTCTTGGACAGAGAAATTGAACACATCATCAGATGGCTCAAATCCAGAACTTTGTCTCTATTGAAGTTGACCTATCCATAAATCTCACTGTTGGACGAAGAACAATCGCGAAACACGAGAGATCGGAAACGAGGTCTCCGTGCAACGCCAGATACAACCAACGCAAAAGCTGTTGGGAGTTGAATTCGATAAGGCAATCTTGTAGCTTTTAAGTCGTGGATATGTTGCGGAGTCCACGAAAATAAGTCGGGTCGGTTTTGTAAAGGGATTGGAACGCTGAGGGGTGGGGCGGTTGACAATGACACGCTTGATAAAAATGACATGCAGCAAGTGCTTGCAAGGCGATTGGGACTATAATCTATCATAGAGTCGCAGCCGCCTCGACCACACCCGCTGCTTTGAATGCGCCCGGGTTCTGCATCACCACCTCAACGGGGAACTTCCACTCCATGAATCGCGTCCAACCTAAAATACCAGCCCATTAGCATGTTATCCTCTCGCACAGCAAGATCGGGAAGCTTGTTGGTGTCACATACTCCAATATGCGCATCGTCGTCCCAGGTATTTCCCAAGGAAAGGTACCAGGACCATACTCAGAAGCAGCTCCAGTTGTTCAATGCTTTCCTGCCATTCTGCCTCGGCATCGGATGAATATTCCGACAAGGTATCGAGGTCGGAGTCGTTTGTAGATTCTGAAGGGAGAGAGGCGAGCTCATCGTCGGACTGGGACTGGGAGTATGAGGATTGTCGGGAGGGAACCATGTACGCGGACATCGAGAAGGAGGGATTCGAGCTGTCTTGAGAGAAAGACATGATGGAGATTGTTGTAAAGAGAGGTGGGGTGAGTGAATGAGGGGAAGCGATGTTGATCAAGCAGCGGCCTGCCTACTGCGGTTCTACGTAAACGTGAGAGCAGCCTGGACTGTTTCCCTTGATCGACCGGCACCGCCAAGCTCCGTAATTAAACACGTGACCGTGTAATCTGGTGACTCACTTGGCGGTCACGTGCCAATACCGCGATAACAGAATTGCCTTCAGACCTGGCGATATCAGATTCCAGCGACAATTTTGCCATCTGACACTCTTGCTCTAGCTCCTCGAATTCGCAACAACCTGATCTCATCTCCAACAGATTGTGGTGGAGTGAATAGCATCTTTGAAGCCTACAAACATGGCGGACGCTGTACGTCACACCCTTGTCTTTTTACCGACCCTCCCACATTTTCTTTAAGTCTGCACAATATCGACCCCTCGGCCGCCAACCACTCTGATCCAAGAACGCACATCGTTTAGCCGGGTTCAAGGACTGGTACTTTTATTGAAAAGCCAGGCTATACGATTTCTTCTGCTATTTCTCTTTTTACTCAGAACTAACACCGCTTTTTGCCGCTCCGCTCAGGAACTCGAAACTAAACAGCGCAAGTCGGTCGCATTCAGCGAAGGATCGGTCATCATGGATACCAATGGCCAAGTCACAGATGCTCCTCCGGCTGAGGCTCCTACAGCCGGTATGCAATAGCTCTCCGATCCCAGCAGTCCCCCAGTCGCCTTTGCCACAGCCCCACTAACGATGTCTTGAATATACAGAGAAGGATGTCGACGAGGTCACCGAGATGTTCAAGGGTCTCTCAAAAAAGAAGAAGTCCTCCAAGAAGTCTAAGACCACCGAAGCCGGCGATGACGACGAAGCCCCCGCCGCCGCCGACGGCGAGTTCGATCCCTCTGCGCTGAAGAAGAAAAAGAAGGGCAGCAGCAAGTCTAAGAAGGCCGACCCCAACGACTTCGATGCCAAGCTCGCTGAGGCTGGTATTGCTGAGGAGGCTGGCGAGGATCAGCCCGAGGAGCTCCCCGAGGGCGACCTTGAGGCCGGCACCGGTATCTGGGCTCACGACGCCACACAACCCATCCCCTACTCGCTCCTCGTCTCCCGCTTCTTCTCCCTCATCGAGAGCCACCACCCCGACCTTCTGTCCAGCGGCGCCAAGTCCTACAAGATTCCCCCGCCCCAGTGCCTTCGTGAAGGTAACCGTCGTACCATTTTCGCCAACATTGCCGATATCTGCAAGCGCATGAAGCGAAGGTTCGCTATCTCCCACCTATGTACTCGTTGAAATTTCGTTTAACAATTTTTTTTAAATAGCGAGGAGCACTGCACCCAATTCCTGTTCGCCGAACTCGGTACGTCAGGCAGTGTCGACGGTAGCCGTCGCCTGGTCATCAAGGGAAGATTCCAACAGAAGGGTATCGAATCGGTTCTGCGTCGCTATATTGTTGAGTACGTCACATGCAAGACGTGCCGCAGCCCCGACACCGAGCTCAACAAGGGAGAGAACCGTCTGTATTTCGTTACTTGCAACTCCTGCGGGTCCCGTCGTTCCGTCGCCGCCATCAAGACCGGTTTCCGGTCCCAGATCGGCCGCAGAAAGCGTGTGGGCTAAGCGGTGGAGCTGTGCTGGCAATGTGCGAAGGAAGGGCTTGTTTTATCTCTTCCTTATGGCGTGTCACTTACTAGAGCTTTTGCGGGGTGGAAACAAGGCATGATGCGTTTCTTTCTGCCCTGAGAGGCTTGAGATGAGGAAACGATTTGAAGAATGAAAAGTAGTTTCGCATGGAATAGACTGATATCACTATGTCTTGCCTTCGAGGCTGTATGATTTTGTATCTAGTTGAACGTTAGGAATGTGGTAGAATCGCCCACTCTTAAATTTCTTTCTTTTGCCTTTTAAGCCTTCGGTCCCACGAGTCTGATCTGCTCCACGGGGTACTAATTAGCAAGCACTTGCCTATTTTAAGTCTCAAGCTCAACATCTTAAAGAGATATCGGATACTTTGTTTATGGCCCTTCCTATGGAGTACCAAGGATAGGCTCGTAGGTGTGTAGTATATCAAATTCATTTATAATTGTGGTGATATCGCTGCAAAAATTCGTAAATAGTTCCACATAAATGTACTGAGCAAAATTGGTATAAAATGGAGAGCAGCCCGTGATTGAGCATATGCCCGGTGCAATGAAGAAGTATACAACAAAACCACATGATGACAACAAGCCAGGGGGCATCTTCGTTTGTTCCGAAAGTAGATGTCAACGTATAAAATTCACAAACCGGTCTCTTCTGACCGAATCGGCATGGTAGAATTAACCACCCTTCGCAGCACTCAACTTCATCTGGGCAGAAAAGGCATTCAGGTTTCTGGTCTGTAGGTAGACAGTTCCAGGCCCCGTAAACCTGCAAGCAAGACCCTCGCCAGAGGTAACGCCGGAGACGATACCGCCAGAGGCCACACGTTCCATCTTGTACTTGCAGTCCCAAGCCACAAGGTGGCCATTGTCGACGAAGTAGCTCATGCCTTCATCAAGCTTTGCAGGTGTCAGATAAAACCCCCGTTGTCAAATTACCGGGCATGATCAACTTACATCTTTCCGGATGATTGCACCAAAACTTTGCATCCAAAGGATCCCACTTCCTGTGATCTTGTAGATGAAGAATCCCTCACCGGAGAACATACCCTTGGATAGACCTTGGGACTGGTGCTTATGCCCGATACCAGCGGTATATCCAAGCAAGGCGTCGCGTCCGATTTTCCATTCCTTTGGTTCGTCTACGTGGAGGGCTATAATATCTCCCAGCATGGAAGGTGCCAGCAGGAGCTCACCAGGACCGGTGTAGTGGGACATAGTCATGCTGCCCCCAATGAGGAGTTTCTTCCATGAGAACGAGATAGTTCCCCTCAATGTGATCGTTGTAGACATTCCAATCATGGCACCTAAGAGGCAAGCAAGATTAGCTCTATGGCAATACATACTCGGGACGAAGATATCGATTACAGCATATTCGCGTACAGGAATTGTTGAACTGGATAACTTACCAGGTCTGATATTCAAAGGACAGCCCATTGCCAGCTGTACGGTCAAGACAGAGTTGCTATCTCGGTGGCTGATCCTGTAACTTCCACCATTGAAGACTCCAGTATCATCTTGGTTCATTCCACCTGTCCCAGTGAGTTCTCCATGTTCTGAAGCATGTTCTGGGGTTCCTCCAGACACTGTTTGCATTGCAATGGCATGATTTTGTTCGAAAGCCGCTTGATTGTAGGCGATTGGATCTTGCTGAGGTGGACTCACTGGCTGCCTTCCAATAGTGTTATTGTAATTGAAGGCTGCTTGGTTGTAGGCGATTGGATCTTGCTGAGGCGGACTCACTGGCTGCCTTCCAATAGTGTTATTGTAATTGAAAGCGGCTTGGTTGTAGGCGATTGGGTCCTGGGGCGGGCTCGCCGACGTCGGAGGGGCTGCATATTCCCTACTTGGGGTTTGTCGATGGGGTTGGGGGCTCTCTGCTGGTGGAGTGGCTGGGGTATATACTCCATTTGAAGGCTGCTTTGGCGGTGGTGGATAGTAGGGAGCCGCAAGCGATTGTGAAAATGCTAAAATATTTAGTAAGATAGCAAAGACAGAAGAATCGGATTAATTACAGGTTATATGCGCCGGAGCTAGACAATTAGTTAGTAACGGATTTCTGTAGTTTGTAACTTTGTGAAGGCACTCACCTGTCATGGGTGGTGGGGCATAATAGCTTGAATCTTGAGACATTGTGGTGGTTTTGATGTCGCTGAACACCAATGTCTTTTTATTCTCTTAGAAAAGTACTTCTAGAGTCAAAATCCGAGTGTTCACAGGCAAATGAAGACACTAGGGAAGTCAGACTCGCTAATATCGTCACAGCAAAAACTCGTAGTTCCTCCCGTATTATTTTGCGTCAATGGGAAGAATAATGGGTATCTCAATGGCCTGGCTTGATTTAGGGAATAATAACAAGGGAAATAAAACCAGACCGGACTCTACGGGGTTTTCTCTTTTAAAGGGGAGCTAGCTTTTCCCCTCACCAACAGCTCATACTATTACTATTCTTAGAGAGGAATTCCACTAAGAGATTAGGCGTGTGATGAGGCTTGCAGCTCGCAGTCAATCAGTCTCGAGTCACACGCAATTGTGACTATGTGCCACCGATCTTCCCCACCGGGCGCTAAAAAGAAGTTGCATGTGCGAGAGTTGATAGGCGTGTCCTATGCATGCTATTTACCGGGGATAGCTCATTCGTCGGAATTATATATGCAATAGGCCGTACATTTATAAGTCTAGGTACCAAGAGCGACAGAAACCTTGCCCAGGGCTGGGCAAATATGAGGGGTTGATCGGCACTTTGTATTAGCGAACTCGAAGCCGAATAGTTACGGAGTACAGAATAATGCGAAGAGGTAACAACTATTAGGCATTATGGACAAGATTGATACAAAGCAATGTTGAATTTTTCTGCTACATACAAATTCCTAGAACTAAAGGTATATAAGGTATATATATCTCACGGCTCCTTGGTCCCCCCTTCAGATACCTGGCGTAAAAAGGACAGTGCCTTAGTATAACCGGTTTGCAGGGCGTAATCCAAAGCCGTTTTCCCTTGATCATCCCGCAAGTCAAGCCTGGCTCCGTTATCCACGAGCAACTGGAGCATCGGAATCGGATTCATTGCAGGGGTAGCGAGTCGAAGTGCATTGTTGCCTCCGGCATCTCGAGCATTGACGTTCGCTCCTTCTTTGATCAGCAACTCAGCCATCTGAAGCTGGTTCTTCATGGCGACTGATAGGAGCGGTGTTCTTTGGCCAGACCCCTCAATATCTGCGCCATGGGATAATAGCAGCCGGACAGTATCGAGACTATTCTTTTCGCATGCCCAATGTAGGGGAGTGTGGCCGACCTCGTCTAGAATATCAATGTTTGCTCCGTGCTGTAGAAGTAATGCGACAATATCGTCCTGGCCTTCATGAGCAGCAATTGCAAGTGGACTGATCCCCGAGTGTTGCGCTGTAATGTTTGGGTTGGCTCCATTTTGCAGTAGCAGTCGAGTTCCCTCGAGATCATGGGTGGAAACGAGATCACTTAACGCGGAACAATTGTTTGGATCTATCATATCAATATCTGCGCCCTGTCGGCGAAGTATGTCAAGTGCTCGTTGAGACCTAATCCGGGCTGCAAAACTGTACCCCATCCTAACAAGCATAGGAAGGTCTTCATAAAGCTCCACCCATCGCAGCAGAAGGAAATACAATAAAGCATGGAAGTTGTTCCTGACCAGCCATTCAAGGCATGCTTGTTCATCCTCCCCGTCTCCTTCGCGGTCAATGTCATCGAGCTTATACAACGTGAGCCAATCTTTCAGTGCGTGAATCGCCCCTTCGATTTTGTCTGGGTCTTGGTTTTGATCGTTTGACCCCTGTAGATCTTCCGTTACATTCAGTGATCTCAAAATGGGTTTGCAGTATTCCATTCCTGGAACATTCGCAGAAAGGTTCCACGCAATCCACCCAAGCTGACGTGAGAACGAGTTCCACCATTCGATACGATCATCGGATACGGACTGTTGTAAGGGTGGCACATGGTTGTGGACTTGAAGGAATTCAGCTCTGATGTCAGACGTGAGAAGCTCACATGTCTGTTCGAATCCTATTTTGCGAACATCTTTGTTGCTGTCCGAAAGTGCCCGGCGGCAAAGAAACCCCAGTTCATGGACTGATCTCTCAAACTGGGAATCGTCTGATCGCTGGCAAATCCAACGGACAAGCGTAAAGGCACCTTTCCAATCACCTTTCTCGATCAACCGCTCCCTGCGCGCCCTGACCTTGGTTGAGTCTGCAGCGAGATCTGGTAAGAGATGCCGATACCTGAGGACGGGAACAATGCATAGCAGTGCATCCTCTCTTGAGCCCAATTTGCTGTTCTCAAAGCAACGTATGAGATCATCAATGCGGGTACTAGATGCTAAAAATGAATTTTGCAATTCGGGAATAACATCAACGTCCCCGCCCAGATCATCCAAGTTGAGGAAGACCTCCTTGAGGAATTGAATGTAGATATCCTGGGCTACCATAGCCTCGAGCTCATTATCTGTCCTGACAGCCAGGACTTTCCCATCATAGGGAAGGCTCTTGGGCTCGAAACTGAACAGGCGTGATGAATTATCATATCCTTCAGATGGTACTAGTCTCGCTTCCGTTTGCCTGAAGATCCATTTGTAAAAGTAGAGGAATGTTTCATCTTTTTTTGCCTCATCTTCACTCAATCCAATGAGGCGGCAAAGAGTTGAGTTCTGCCAGTTTTCATCTGACTTATAAAGTGACCAAGTCCACAAGCCTAGAACCGCTTCTAGCTCGGCGACATCCAGTTTCCACTGCAGAGCATCACCGCTTCGGATGAGACCAATTGAATACGTTCCCGGAGCTTCAGTGACAGAGCCTGGAGAGGGTCCCTTGCACTTAAAGCCAAGTCGGAACTCAAAGGTCTTTCCGAGGTTAACTCCCCAACTCGACATTAGATCCATCGTCGACTCGATCGTCTCTGCGAGGTTGGAGGCAATTCGGCGAATAGGCATTCCATTCCAGTCAACACCCAGGCTTTGTCTTGAGCTAGTCGTGAGCCTCGCGAGCTGGGTTCTGGTGTGGATTAATTGTTTGGCCAGAGGTGTTCCAAGATGGGGCGTGAATCTCTGTGAAGGCATATTTGGTGGCCGATCTGGGATCGAGGCGAGTTCAAATGACTCTACTTTCTCAAGATAAAATGCAAAACAATCTATCTCTTGCTGCTTGTGAGACGTGAGTTCCCGGTCGTCTTTCATCTTATTTTCATCTGGCTTCATTCTTTCCGTGCGCAGACAGGTACGTATAATAGCCATTAGGAATGTTGATCCCAGTTGGGCTAGGGTGACAGATGAATGGAGACCTCTCAGTCCGACGAACTGACATATGAATCCCAAAATTGTCGATATGAGGGTAGAGTAAGTCTCCAAATACTTCCTGTCAAATCTTCGATCTCTGATCGATTTGGTATAGCGGAGTTTGTCCGTCATTGAAGACTCTGGCCCTTCATTGACGGCCAAGAAAGCATTAAAGACCTGGTCACCCACGTCTTGATTACCGGGCTGCAGCCAGTATATCTTGCTTGGCTTTTCTGCTTTGAGATAGAACTCCTTTGAGGAACGTTCCATGATGAATGCGCAGAAGAACATTCCGAGAAACAGAAGGGTTGTCCCGATTATATAGAGCGGGAATGCGTATGGAGCGACAGCTTTATCGTTTTTCTGGAAATGCTGAGGATACACAAACACCGTGAGTGTAGCAAAAACAACAGTGCCTTTTTGGATCGTCAGCATCATTTCAGGCTCAAGGGAGGAGAAGCACTGACCAGTCTGCAGTATACCACCAAGTATTGCAGCACAATGAAACCAAAATTGATCTCTCCTTTTGATTCCCTTGTTCAATGACAGATTAGGCATGTCCAGTTCAGGCAAGTCAGTAGGTGAAACTTTGCTATTGCAAGACCAAGCCTTTTCTTCAAGAGCATCTCTCAAAGTGCCAATCTTCGTCTCCTTTTCTCCGGTGATCTTGTCTACATCCTCCCAAGCAACTATCTCCACGATCTTGGGCCGGCCAAAGACTCGTGTAATGCCGCCATCGTTGAAAACCTCCGCAGTGGACTCCGAGACACAAGGAAGCAGCTCGCTTTCAGCTTCAGCAGGACCTTCTTGTGCTCGTCCGACAAATGCCCTGAGGGAAGAACTTCCACAGACCCTGATCACCGACACGACGGCAGTCAAAACCCCTAGTGGTGAAAGGGCGAATATTACATTATCAAGAGTGCTTATGGACTCGGAGAGGAATTGTTTCGTAAGTCGTTCGCCGAACAAGGTGATCAAAGGAGCCTTGAAGATAAACATCAGCACATCCACTTGAGGCCTCAATATAAACATAAACATACCAAGTCCGTAGCAAGATTATTCGTGAAATCATCCCAATCATCATCAGCCTTGACAAAAGGTAACAAGGATAGTAAAAACAGTATAGAAAGAATCATAGAAAACATCATAAATCATCAACATCAACACATCAATTCGTAATAAAATAGATTATAAAACAGCACTCAGAGAATACCCTCCAGCATGGCCGAAGGCGCGCTCTCTTAAAGAAAACACCCCTCCATCATCCTGCGCTATCGATGGGCATCTTTTGCCGATCCTCACTCGATTTAGAGCGAAGTACAGAGCCCCCATGCTTGCCCCATGACAATAATAGAACGCCAACTAATGATATCAAGAACACTATGAACATGGCTTTAATCTTGTCGGGGTATGAAACACACAAGGCTAGTGCGGGCGCGTAAGCGCTGCTGCGCTGGTGAGTGTCCCCGTTGTCACTGCACTAGTTGCGGCCCGCATTGCGCTATATCACGGACTGCGGGTCTGGACGGGGCTTTTCTTGGACCGGCGCGTAACTTACCTTGCACATAGGTGGCTTAGAGGGTTGATATGGATATATATAGGATGTCTGTTATGCGGGGGACGTTAGTAGCGTGGAACAGTTCGTTGTCGGGATATCAATGTTTTCTTGGCGCCTTCAGTCCTTATTGTGGCACTCTGGGATGCGACATGTATCAAATTTGGGCAAAGACGAGGAGACAGACAAATCTAGGGTTGGGAATATACGCTCTTCCCCTGCAATAGGGCCGGGGTGTGGAACATGTGTAAATCAACGGAAATTGTGGCTATGGCAACCATATGGTCTACCTTGGCAGGGTGACGATGGTGGCATCATTGCAGGCAAATAGAGACTTTGACTCTTATCAAATGGTGGAGATTTCAAGATATTGGCCCTGCTCAAGTCGGATTTTCGTGTTGTATAATGAACTCCGTGTGATGTGAGGTGAAGATCGATTTCTCTGCTTATGTATATTTTTTGATTCATCAAATCCAAAAAAAAAAAGTGCTGACAGGATATAAAGGCAATTCAATCTATTATGTTGAATCAGATGGAATCAGTGAATGTTCACAGCCCTGTGGAGTTGATGTAAATGTTAAGTCAATGTCCGGGGCGGAGCTTCTGAGATCTTGGCCAGATGATTTAGGCTACTCGATAACACCCGACCTCAACACCCACTCTCCCGACTCCCCCTACTATCGTTTCTGTCTACTTCTCTTGGTTCTACCATCGTTCCCTTCAATACATACCATCCGTGTCCTTTCACAATGGCGCCCACTGTCAAGTTCGCGTCTGCTATGACCACCCGGTCGCTCCGCATGGTCCGGACGGTATGGCTTTCCGGCTTCCTGTTCCTGAAATGCGACCGAAACACTAATTCCACATCATCCAGGAACTAGAATTCCTTGCCGATGCCTCTGTGATCACTCCCAACCAGCTCTCAACCATTCTATCACAGTTGCCCGCCGATTCCGAGGTCTCTCGGGCGTTGCAGGCATCACCATCGGAGCAGGCACAGCCTGCGCCTGTTCAACAAGTTCCAGTACAAGCGCAGCCACCTCCAGCTCCATACAGCAACACGCCCTCATACTCGGCTCCCGTCTCACAAATGTCCAATATGTCGGTGAACGAGAAAGCCGCGCTGAACAATCAATATGCCAGCCCGCCCCCTCAGGCGCCGCCTTCTTATCTCCAAGCCCCGCCGCTCCGTCTGGCGGTGGCCATGTACGAATTCAAATCTACCGACCCGGGTGACCTGGACCTGAAGCCGCATGATCGTGTCCAGATTACTGAGGAAATAAACGCGCACTGTATGTTCTCCTTCTATTGGATATGGAAACAAAGCTGACTAGTGATTAATAGGGTGGCGTGGTCGCAATGAGCGAACTGGTCAGGAGGGTATCTTCCCTGGAAGTTACGTGGATGAAAAAGCTGCGCTTGCTTCGCCCCCGCCCCAGTTTACAGACTATGGAAACATGCCTCTTGCGGTCAGCCAGAGTGGACAGCCCGAAAACCCCGAGGACCCAAAGAAGAACAAGTTCGAGGAAGGAGGCAAGAAGTTCGGAAAGAAACTGGGCAATGCCGGTACGTCTTATATACTTTTGGTACTCGTTATTTGGTTTCTAACTTGATATTAGCAATCTTCGGTGCCGGTGCTACTGTTGGCTCCAACATCGTGAACAGCATCTTCTAATCATGCGGCCGGGCAATTTTGCTGGGCATTTTGTTTCTTATTCACTCTCATTGATACGGTGTTGGTGGCTTGGGTTTTGCTTCTAATGGATTGGCTAGGCTCAATCACGTCGCTTATTGGCGGACTTATGTCCAGAAATTTCAGGATCCCCAGTGTTCAGATCCTACTTAGCTCTTCATTGCGATAGATCACTTAGGGCTACACACATACTTACCTCAACCAATGACTTTCCTGATATTTTGGGGCCACCTCATAATTGACCTAGAGCTTGAATTTCAGAGCAACAAAGATCTTACCTTTCTAGCACGCAATGGAAGCCAAACGAAAGAGCATAGGCAATATTCCGTTACAGGCTTACCCCCATGACTCTGACATGCAGCAAAAAAAAAAAAAAAGAGGATAGAAAGCATAAGTTCGGGTTGGGAATGACATTCTGCTTTTTGGTTATTCTTCTACTTCTTGTGTGGGCTATAGAATCCAGACTGAACTTCGAGATACATGATTTCATGTTGTTATATAGAAAGTATGTAAATGACAAGCAACGAAAAGGAACATTTGAATATCTATCCCTTATACGTGTCATCAACCAGCCCTAGAGTCTGAAGATCTAACTTGTCTATTGATGGGCTACACATTAATGTACAACATACGATGAGCAAGGAGGCTAAGCCTAACCTGGTGCCCGATCAGCCCCATCGTGGGGACCTGGGTTGAAGACTCATTGTGACTCTTGTGCTTACTTCGGTATAATATAGCGTCTGAGAATGGCGATTGGTTATTGAATGCATATTCTGTTGCTCTTCTCCTATGATATCAGTGATTAGGGCTAGGAATGCGCACACAAGGCCGTATGACATCAAGTTGTGGGTCAAGTAGCATCATTGTCTTGCCGATGGCTTAAAGCGGACTATATCAGTATGTTTTATATACAAATTACCGGGGATACAGTACTGTTGAAGACTATATAAACTTTCCTTAACCTCATATTGTCGATAGGAGTCTTGAATATATGAAATAGTGTGTATAATTGCAAGTAGCTGTGGCAATGTGGTGGGAACTGCCGATGAGCATAGCGAACTCCAAAGACCCATTGTACATAGCCCGTATGTACAAAATAGACAAAACCCTACAAACTGCGAACAGCCATACAGAGCTGATAGAAGTAGCAAATGATTTCAAATCTAAAAGAGAGCCGAGCCACAACGAACAAGAGTGAGACGCCTTTGACCCAGATACCCACTAGGCCCAATCCGGAATAGCGCATTCTCCCCTCCCTCGAGAAGCTTCTGTGTCATCGATATAAATTGCATTTCTCTCTTTACCCTCACACGACCAACGTCATCTCTCTCCACGCCCAGCTCTATTCCTACCAAACCCAACCACCCAAACCACCAAATCCAACCTCATTTCAAAATGTCTGACTGGGAAAGCACCACCAAGATTGGCAGCAAGTTCCGCGGAGCAGGCGCTCAACCCCGCGAGGTCGTCGTCAAGGGCAAGAGTGCCCTGAACGCTGCCCAGCGCTCTGGCGGTGTCATCACCGAGAAGAAGTACACCACCGGTAACATCGTATGTGAAGTTTCCTTCGAATCCGGGAGAAACACCATGAATGTAGGCTAACCCACTCTCAAGAGTGCCAAGGCAGGCGCCCCCGAAGGCCAACACTTGACCAAGGTCGACCGCAGCGACGACATCGTCAAGCCCAAGACCATCGGCCACGCCGTCGCTGATGCTATCAAGAGACGTCGCACAGAGGAGGGCTACAAGATGACCCAGAAGGAACTCGCCACCAAGTGCAACACCACTATCACCATTGTCCAGGACTTCGAGCGTGGAACCGCCGCTCCCGACCAGAAGGTTCTCGGAGCCATGGAGCGTGTGCTGAACATTAAGCTGCGTGGCTCAGACATCGGCTCTGAAAAGTTCCCCAAGAAGAAATAGACGGGATTTAGTCCGTGGCCTTTATCCCTTCCGGGATGGGACCGGGGCAAATCTCAAGTTTTCTGCATTTGCTTTTTTTGCGCTCTATGACTGTCATGTTCCTTCTCCTTTTCATGAGACGTCACTTTTTTTTTATTTTTTTTCTACGGGTTTCTTTTCTGCTGGTCGGATTAGCGCTGGCCTTGCATGGGAAACGGGTTTAGAGAAGATATCACGAAAAAAAATTGTATAAATGAGATACCTCGGATTTTGATATTTATCATCTGGTTTTCTTAGAAACTTGTAGTTGGCATCCAAGTGTAAATTTGAATACGGAGTAGATGGATGTTGTTCTCATACTTAGCGCATCATCCATGCCATGCGATATATATATGCAGTGGGGTAAATATACTCCTTCCCTATACGAGGGACTATGCCAATCCCTGCTCTGCTCCATCCAGCTGAACTGTCAGAACGTAATTTGAAGATTTGCAAAGCTTTGATTTCGTCTATTGACCCGATTTCATCTCTTTTGCGGAGGACCAGGACAGACATAAGAGCTCAAAAAAAGAACCATGTCATCTTTTTATTAAACAAAGACACAAACACAAGGTACCAACTCCGATTGATCATGGAATCAATGAAATGAGAAAATCGTGGACCGGAAGGTCATCCCATTCCGTATGCGGGACTCGGGGAATTTGTCCCAAGTCTTTTCGCCTCGTAAACACATACACACGACGCATCCCAACTTTCTTCACCACATCCCCTATTTACTTCCGCGCTTGCTCCCGCTCGACCTCGTACATGAAGTCGAAGTATGCCTTGTCAAAGTGGTGGACACGGACGTATCCGTCCTCACCACCGGAGGCGTATGCGGTGCCTGCGGGGTGAACATCGATGGTGTTAAGGGGACCGAAATGGCCACGAACGCGGCCGCATTCATCTTCGAACACCTGAGTAATAAGATTGTTAGTATATAAGTTAAGTCGTTTGAATGCATATTTGTACTCACTCTGTGGTAGAATCGTGCCTCGAATTTACCCTGGCGGGCGGAGGTGGTAGTAACATCCATGGCGGCTTGACCACCACCCAGAATGACAAAGTCCTTCTTCGGTGTCACGCTAGCAGTGTTGAGAGGAGTGTCGGAAATATAGGTTTTGAGGATGGCGAGGTTGCGGGAGGACAGGAGCTGCATAATATTAGCCGGGGGTTGCCTAATAGAATAATCTGCAAAAGGAAGAACGTACCTTAGCTGACTTGTCTTTCGACGCAGTAATGAAAGACAAGCGATCAGGCGCGAACTGAATGTCAGTTATTTGGCTGTCGAATTCGTGAATCTGCACGTTCTCGACTTGTTCTCCAGACTAAAGATGGTATTAGTATCCCACATTCCTCCAACCACCTCAAAAAAACATACCTTAGGATCATACTGGCTGACGCTGCCGTCCTCGTGCCCCGCAATGATGTACTTGCCCAGGAAACTCCACCCCGCCACGGTAGCCTTGCTCTCCTCACAAACGATGGTCAAGGTAGGCTCGGTGGCCTGCGCGCTAAGGTTTTCGCCGTAGTTGATATCGAGAACGGCGATAGTACCATTGAAACCCATGCGCTTTTCCGTCACGGCCAAAAGTCTGCTTCCATCGGGGGAGAATGCCACGCGCTTCACGGCTGTCGAGAACTCCCACACCTTAACACACTCGCCGGTCTTGACGTTCCATAGACGCACGGTGTTGTCTGCTGATCCGGTTGCAAGAAGAATGGTGTTGGGGCTGACGTCGACTGTCCAGACAGCACCCTGGTGGCCGTTGTAGGTACCGAGACGCTCGCCGTTGGCGGACCACCATGCGCACACAATCTTATCCTTCGAGACGGAGAAGAGGAGATCGCCGTCGCTGTTGAACTTGATCTGGGTCAGGGACCGCTCCTGTTGTTATAGTTGGCTGCGGTCAGTCTCTGTGGATCCAGCAAGATTTCGAGGAAGTCAACGCACATGGCCGGAAAGCAAAATGGGGCGCATTTCGAAGGGTGAGGTGATAGGAAATTCGAGATGGAGTATCGGAGGGGAAAAATCTGAGACGCTCGGCTCAGAAGGGGTAAGGCGGAGTGGCTTTTTTGGGGGGGTCAACCTCGTCAACCTCACTTTCTTTGACTAGTGAATTTCATCGCACACTCGGCCCTCAATGCCAAGCCTTTATCGGAGGCCAACATATTCCGCATTCCGGTATCTACACGTGACTACTATCTGTCTACCCTGAGCCCTAACTAGGATTCCCGAAAAGGTTAATGCGGCTGAGATTTATTTATGCCTCAGGCAGAACAAACAAATACAATATCTCCGGAGTCACGTGCTTTCGGGAAACTGGGAAACTCCCGGACTCTCCGCACGAGCTTAATTACCGAAAAAAAAAGAGATGAAGTGAATCTGAGGGAAATATCTCAAAATTGACAGGGCTGGCTTTAACCTCAGTATATCTCTTGAGCGTTGCAGGTGAAACCAAGGCCTAATTGTTGATTTCTTCTCGCAACGCCGGTACCAACTCCGCGGGTTCGCCCCAAACAAGCAATAATTCATGCCATTCGTCCCCGCTGCCCTACCCCGCTGCACTTTTTATCTCCAAGTGCATGGGGGTATTCTCCGAAAACTTCCTATCCTATCCCGTTCTTTGCTCCATACCTCTTCCTCGATCCAAGGAGTCAGACGGCTTCGTTCATTGTCCATTGAGTCTCCAGTGAACGCCGATTTTTCTCTTATCAGCTCCGCTATCTCACCACTCCGAAAGTTTTCCGGGTCAGCAATGGCTGCCGCGAAGATTGATGGCACTGCCATCGCGAAGAGTATTCGCCAAGGGTTGAAGTCCGAGATCGAGCAGATTCAAGTGACGAACCCCAGATTCAAGCCAAATCTGGTTATCTTCCAGGGTAAGCGTGACCCGCTCCGAGCATGAATACATGTAATGTAGTGTTGAATACTAACATGACGATTCTTATCTAGTCGGCAATCGGTCGGATTCAAGTTGGTTTACCTACGAATAGTATTGAAGATCTTGCGGACTAATTTTACTTAGGCACCTATGTGCGCATGAAGCTGAAGGCCGCCCAGGAGGTATGACTCGTTGTTCGGGATATCCGAGGCATTCTCTGACCTTATTCCTAGGCCAACATCATCTGCACCGTGATCAATGTTCCCGAATCGAGCACCGAGTTGGAGCTCATCCAAGAGATCACCAAAGCCAACAATGACCCCGCTGTCCACGGTATCCTCGTTCAATTGCCCGTCCCAAGCCACATGTCCGAGCATGCGGTCACGTCGAGTGTTGCAGATGAGAAAGATGTTGATGGTTTCGGCGCAATCAATATCGGCGAGCTGGCGAAGCGAGGCGGTCGCCCGTTGTTCACTCCGTGCACCCCTCTCGCGGTTATGGAACTACTCAAGGCAAGCGGCGTAGACCCCGCCGGTAAGGAGGCAGTGGTACTGGGACGGAGTGACATCGTCGGCAGTCCGGTCAGCTATTTGCTTAAGAACGCCGATGCTACCGTTACTGTCTGCCACTCAAAGACACCGGATATTGCGCGCATTGTCAAGACCGCCGACATTGTTGTAGCGGCCATTGGCCAAACCGAGCTTGTGAAGGGTGAATGGTTGAAGCCCGGTGCTGTAGTTATTGATGTCGGTATCAATTACAAGCCTGATGCGACTAAGAAGTCCGGTGAGCGACTGGTTGGCGACGTGGACTTTGAGTCTGCTTCCCAGGTGGCCTCACAAATCACCCCCGTCCCCGGTGGTGTTGGTCCTATGACAGTGGCTATGTTGTTGAAGAACGTGGTGGGTGCCACAAAGTGCTACTTCGAGAAACAGAAGGACCGCCACGTCACTCCTCTTCCCATTCGCATACTAAATCCCGTGCCTTCCGACATTGCTATCTCGCGGGCCCAGTACCCCAAGCCCATCACCCAGGTTGCCACCGAGGTCGGCATTGCCCCTCATGAGTTGGAGCCCTACGGCCACACCAAGGCCAAGATTAGTCTGAGTGTGCTGGAACGCCTCTCCCATCGCCGCAACGGAAGATACATCTTGGTTTGCGGTATCACACCCACCCCTCTTGGTGAGGGCAAGTCCACTACCACACTAGGTCTCACTCAAGCACTTGGTGCCCACCTGAACCGCATTTCCTTTGCCAACGTCCGACAGCCCAGCCAAGGCCCCACATTCGGCATCAAGGGTGGTGCTGCTGGTGGAGGCTACAGTCAGGTTATTCCTATGGACGAGTTCAATCTCCACCTCACGGGTGACATCCACGCCATCACCGCCGCGAACAACCTTCTCGCTGCGGCTATTGAGACTCGCATGTTCCACGAGTCCACCCAGAAAGATGCAGCTCTCTACAAGCGTCTTGTCCCTGCCAGCAAGGGCAAGCGTGAATTCAAGCCCATCATGTTCCGACGTCTGAAGAAGCTGGGCATTGAGAAGACCAACCCAGACGATCTCACTGAGGAGGAAATCACCCGCTTTGCCCGCCTAGATATCGACCCAGAGACCATCACTTGGCGCCGTGTTCTCGATGTCAATGACCGTCATCTACGTGGTATCACTGTCGGCCAGGCCCCTACCGAGAAGGGCCTGTCTCGTGAGACTGGCTTCGATATCTCCGTCGCTAGTGAGTGCATGGCCATTCTTGCCTTGAGTAACGATTTGGCGGATATGCGTGAGCGACTGGGCCGTATGGTTGTTGCTACTTCTAGAAGCGGCGACCCCGTGACTTGCGACGACATTGGTGCCGGTGGTGCCCTTGCCGCCTTGATGAAGGATGCCATTAAGCCAAATTTGATGCAGAGTTTGGAAGGCACTCCTGTGATGGTGCACGCTGGTCCCTTTGCCAACATCAGTATTGGCGCCAGCTCTGCCATCGCCGATAAGCTTGCCCTGAAGCTTGCCGGTACCGAGCCTGATGAGGACCATGAAGCCAAGACCGGTTTCGTGGTCACCGAGGCTGGCTTCGACTTCACAATGGGTGGTGAGCGCTTCTTTAACATCAAGTGCCGCTCCTCTGGTCTGGTTCCGGACACCGTCGTTATTGTGGCTACTGTCCGTGCGCTGAAGGTTCACGGCGGCGGCCCCGAGATCAAGCCCGGTGCCCCTCTGCAGGAGGTCTACCGCACCGAGAATGTGGATATTCTCCGCAAGGGTTGTGTTAACCTGCGGAAGCACATTGCTAACGCCAAGCTGTACGGCGTCCCGGTGGTGGTGGCTATCAATAAGTTCGACACCGATACCGAGGCTGAAATTGCTGTCATCAAGGAGGAGGCGATCGCCGCTGGTGCCGAGGATGCCGTCCCTGCCAACCATTGGGCTGAGGGTGGAGCCGGCGCTGTTGATCTGGCCAAGGCTGTCATAACCGCCAGCTCCAAGGAGAAGGACTTCCGGCTCCTCTACGACCTGGATGGTACTATCCAGGAGCGCATCGAGCGCATCGGCCAGGCCATGTATGGCGCTGAGAAGGTTGAGTTCAGTGAATTGGCTCAGAAGAAGGTCGACGCCTACACCAAGCAAGGATTCGCGAACCTGCCGATCTGTATCGCCAAGACTCAGTACTCACTCAGTCACGACCCAGCCCTCAAGGGTGCCCCCACCGGCTTCACTGTGCCCATTCGGGATGTCAGATTGGCCGTGGGCGCTGGATACCTGTAAGTTTTTATCCCCGCATTTTGTGGGAATTCGTCACGCTAACATAGCTATAGCTACGCTCTGGCCGCCGATATCCAGACCATTCCCGGACTACCCACTGCCCCCGGCTACCTTAATGTGGATATCGACCCCGAGACTGGCGATATTGACGGGCTGTTCTAGGTTACGATATAGATAGAGGACATATTTGGAGCTTGCATATACCACTGTTCGAATTTCGATTCTTCAACACATACAATTGGCGTCTGATAGTTAGGGCCCTTAGATGGATTTTTCAACACCGCGCAATCCGGGGCAATTGGACACGCGAAATTCATCCCGACATATTATTTCATAATCAATAACATTTTTTTCTCTCTGAATATAGATCGTACAATTCGGTTGGAGCTCTTCCGGGGTCAAAAAGAGGGCCGGTCAATGGCCGGAGTTGAGCTCCGTTCTCCGGGAACCGCTTTACCACCGCGTATAGACTTCTTCAGCGGGTCGATTGATGGAGCTTTGAGGTAAAAAATTGGAAATTTTACCTGAGAAAGGATTAGATCGATGACTCAGGACACTTGGAAGAGAAAGATATAAAGAAAAAGAAAAGTCCACGTGAAATTGTCCTAAAACATTCCCAAACCAAAATATCCTTGATATCTCGTGACCGTCCGGCTTCGGCGCTTCTTCTTGCGGAACTGTTCATAAAGTCGCCAACCTCCATTACACCGGACAAGGCTTTTTCCTCTTCCACTCCTTCGAACCCTCCAGTTTCCTTGCTATTCGGTAATTATCCCTTGGCTTACTGCCTTCCTGGTCTTATTCCGATCAATTCCCGTATTGCCCCGGTGCCTTAACCCCCCACGTACACCCCCATCCCCGAAGTCGCATCTTCTGTCAACCGGGAAATTTCCCGACTCCACATCTTCCTTTCTGCCGAACCTCATTCCCTCGGTAGTAAACCAGCGAGTGAGGCGACTCGCATTCCACCCAGCCAAACAGAAACTGTGAAACTAGCGCTGACGTCTTTAGCCACTATCCCACGATGAACGCTCTCCGGTCTAGTTCCGCACTCGCTCGTCGGTCCCTCGCGACCCCTCCTGCCCCTCTCTCTCCCACTTCCCGTCTTATTTCTTCCTCTTCTTTCACTTCCTTACTTTCTAAGAGATCTATCTCCTCTACCTCTCTTTCCCAACAAACTAATCGAGTTGTTGCTTGTTCCCGCTGGTCCGGATCGATCCCCTCGTCTTTCACTCAAACCCGCACTATGGCTTCCGAAACCAAGATTAAGGTCAAGACCCCTGTGGTCGAGTTGGATGGTGATGAGGTATGGGACAACCCCCCCTTTTATAGTTCAAGCTTTCGATCAGCTGGCTTCACAAACCCGCGTATTCTCGTGCTTGGCTGCCGCATTTTCGTCGAAAACGCGGGGAATCACGGGGAATTTTACGATAATTCATGTGTCAAGCCGACGATTATGCCGCCCAAGGCATTGAAGCTAGACATTGGCATGTGCTAACCGGACGATCTTCCTCAACATAGATGACCCGTATTATCTGGCAAGACATCCGTAACAAGGTAAGCCTATCGTCCCATCCTCGCTCGGGTCAGACCTAGATGATCGCCCACCCCGGTTAGTTCTCGATACTAATGATCTGCCTATAGTTGATCCTGCCTTTCCTCGATATCGACCTCAAGTACTACGATTTGGGTATCGAGTACCGTGATCAGACCAATGATCAGGTCACCATTGACTCCGCCGAGGCTATTAAGAAGTACGGTGTCGGTGTCAAGTGCGCCACCATCACCCCCGATGAGGCCCGTGTTGAGGAGTTCAAGCTGAAGAAGAGTAAGCTCATCAATGGAAGTTTGTATCGTGTAACACTAAAGCTAACCATCTCTAGTGTGGCTCTCCCCCAACGGCACTATCCGTAACATTCTGTGAGTAAGCTCAATCTAACTGGCTTTGACCATCACTAATAAGCTATCTAGTGGCGGTACCGTGTTCCGTGAGCCCATTATCATTCCCCGCGTTCCCCGCCTGGTCCCTGGCTGGACCAAGCCTATTATTATTGGCCGTCACGCCTTCGGTGACCAGTACCGTGCCCAGGACCGTGTCATCCCCGGTCCTGGTAAGCTCCAGTTGGTCTACACCCCTACCGGTGGAGAGCCCGAGTACCTCCAGGTCTACGATTTCGAGGGTGGTGGTGTCGCTCAGTGCCAGTACAACACCGATGATTCCATCGCTGGCTTCGCCCACTCCTCTTTCAAGATGGCTCTCAGCAAGGGTCTTCCCCTCTACATGAGCACCAAGAACACTATCCTCAAGAAGTACGATGGTCGCTTCAAGGACATCTTCCAGGAGATCTACGAAAAGGAGTACAAGAAGGACTTCGAGGCCAAGAAGATCTGGTACGAGCACCGTCTCATTGACGACATGGTCGCCCAGATGATCAAGTCCGAGGGTGGCTTCGTCATGGCTCTTAAGAGTAAGTTTTTCCGTCTATCTTGTGTTAGTTTATCTTATCTAACGTATGTTCAGACTACGACGGTGATGTCCAGTCCGATATCGTCGCCCAAGGATTCGGCTCTCTCGGTCTGATGACCTCCACTCTGAGCACCCCCGATGGTAAGGCCTTCGAGTCCGAGGCCGCCCACGGAACCGTGACCCGTCACTACCGTGAGCACCAGAAGGGTAACGAGACCTCCACCAACCCCATTGCCTCCATCTTCGCCTGGACCCGTGGTCTTGTCCAGCGTGGTGAGCTCGACAACACCCCTGATGTTGTTGCCTTCGCCGAGGAGCTCGAGCGCGCCTGTATTGATGTCGTCAACGACGAGGCTATCATGACTAAGGATTTGGCTCTCGCCTGTGGCCGCAAGGACCGCGAGGCTTGGGTCACCACCAGCGAGTACATGGCTGCCGTTGAGCGGAGGCTGAAGGCCAACCTCAAGGCTCGCCTGTAGATTCCCATTTGCTGCAAAATTTGATGAGATACTCCAGTCTTAGATTCCCTAGAAGGACAGGCATTCGTCTAGCTTTTAGCCACTTTTGTATAGTATGCAATTGAATTGTCATTCTATATATTATTTTTCAAAGTATATCGTGGACAAACAGGTTCTCAACGGTAGTATCTAGGTTCCTGCGCTTGTTTCAGGTGATACAGTTTTCCATTAGCCCGGCTCAACCACTCCCTGTCTACCTCGCTACCACAGGGGTAAAAAGTTCTCCTGTACCGATTATGGGACGTAACATATAATCCTCAAAACGTCACTCACGCCACAATCTGCTTGGGGACAAAATGGAAGATTAACAGGAATCGGAGTATCCAAATCAGGAAATAATGGCTTCATTCTCCTAGCCGAACATCAACTTCAAACCCTAAGCAGGACAGCAACCATACATAACATGTCCCAAGTATGAAGCAAACAAGGATCTTCCACCTGATAATGTGATATCTATCCCAAAGCCGTGGTAACTTTCTCTAAAGTTACGGGAGGTCGTTACCGAACAATCACCAAAAACCTAGAACCAATTAGGGTATGATTCGGAGATGTGGGATCCATAACTCTATTCGGACAGCCAATCATATCCTCTGATTTTAGTTAGCCATCGACCTAGATCGAGGTCTTGACGCAAGTGGTTATCGTCGCTTCCCAATGCGGCCAATTCCTCTTTTCGACGGTCAAACCAACTCTCATACAGGGAACTTGATTGGAAGACTAGGGGCTCGGGTGAAAACTCCTGCCAATCTGGCTGTCAAACTCGTTTGTTCGTCACAGGGTAGCCGGCGCCAGATAGATCTGGGTTAAGACAGGCGTTTTCTTTCTTCCTTTCTTCTAACCTTCTACTTGGGATTGGAATTGCACTTCTTTACTTGAAATAAGACTACCTACCAATAATCACCCGCTGTGTGATGGCGGTGCTGTTCTACTACATTCCGTTGAATACGATGCCACACGTCTACGGCGGTCTCCATTAGGATTTTGCTGGTATCTTCGAGACTTGTCAATTGGTCCTTGCCGGTCGAATGTACGTTGTGGCCATCTCGTCGGTCTTTACGGGGCTGGCGGTTCTGGTTGTTGCCCTGCGGTTATACACTCGGATCCACCTGGTGAAGGCTCCTGGACTGGACGATTTGATTATATTTGTTGCATTGGTATGTATTCCCATATGATATGTACACCACGAGTTCACGTGTCCGGGAGACGGAGTGTATGGAAAGTGAGAACCTAATACTAATCATCCAATACAGCTCGTCGACGTGGCATTCTATACCTTTACGATGCTTGGTAAGTGGTCTACTCCAACAACACCTCGACTGAAATATACCTGAATCTAACAAATTCCTCCATAGAACGATTATACGGCATCGGGATCCGCGCATCAGAACTCTCTGAATATGACATCGAGCGCCAACTATTTGTACGGCAAAAGTCCCTTCCGCCATCGAATGGAACAAGCCACTAATGAAAACCAATCACAGTGGTTGTGGCTTTCGGTCCCTTTTTACAACATGACTATGATCCTAGCCAAATTCTCCGCACTCACACTCTACGCCCGCCTCTTCAGGCCCCGTCGCTTCCTGCTAATCACCTACAGCTTAATGGGCTTCCTCGTTATCGTAGGTCTGTGGACGAGCCTGAGCGGCTTTCTCTTCTGCATTCCTCTCCACGCCTTCTGGAGTCCATCGGCAGAGGTTCGCGACTCAAACTGTCTACCTGCCAGCCCTGTCTGGTTCACCAATGCGGCACTCCAGACTTTTACCGATCTGGTAATATTGGTTCTGCCCCTGTCGCTATTATGGAAGTTACAGCTACCGAGAAGACAGAAGTGGGGGATCCTGGTGGTTTTCGGTCTTGGAATCTTGTAAGTCGAAGTAACATAGTTTGTGGTTGATCTCGGGAAATGAAGCTGACTCTGCTTACAGTATTGTTGGCGTTAGTGCCGCTCGCATGTATCCATTAAGCATCATGGTTGGCGGAGGAGATTTTACGCGTAAGTATATACCATCTCTCCACGTCTTGCGATGCACGGAATCAACAACAAGACTAACACACCGATAGAGGCAAATGCCAAAGCAGCCCTTTGGTCCTGCCTCGAAGCAAACGTATCCATCATCTGCATCTGCCTACCACCACTCCACCCGCTCTTCTCTCGCATCTTCTCATTCTTCTTCCTCCCTCGACCGATCCGCTCAAGAGCCTCGAGGTGTCATTCCAGCAGATCCCCGCTCAACCGGGATGCCGGGATCTGGTGCAACGAACTCTTCAGTCCCGGAACAGCAAGTTACTCTGCTAGCATCTCCAAGGTCGATACGAACGAAGAGGAGCAAGAAAAAGCAGAGGGGATTCGTGTTAAACGCGAGCTGAGGATGCAGTCGAATACTGTTCCTTCTTTTTCCCGTCCTCAGTCTGCGAATGGTACCTATCCGGATATCGAGATGACAGAGGGGTCGGGCAGTCTGAAATCGTCTGAGCATCCATGCTCGAATGCTAGTTTTGAGAGGGATTTCGGTGATTTCGAGTTCCCCGACTATAAGAATCGAATGAATGCTCCTATTTGAAATTGTCGGGAGCTTGGTTTGTATATATGGAACATACCAATGTCTGGGATGTGATTGCATATACTGATGATATGAATAACGATGTTGATTTTATGAGTTTTATTGAGTCATGTTCGATGCGGGTGGAATATTTAGAAATTTAGAAAGCTTGATATATAGTACCCTGTTATACCCCGTTCGAGACTGGGGAAACTTCTGTAGAAACCTCAAGAGTACCAAATATAACTAGTGCGAATAAGAAATAAGCACCAACCCTTCCGTCTCAAGCCTAGAACGACTCAAAGATTCGCCCGCGAGGTCATCTTCCTCTGCATAGCCTGTTCAATCGCCTTGGCCGCAGCAATACACTTCTCTTCACCGAACCGGCCACCAACAACCTGTATCCCGACAGGCATACCCTCCACCAGGTTGATATCATCTAAAAAGGAATTAGCACCGTCCTCAAAGGCTCCAATCTTATATACTCACATTGCTGCTTATTAAACCTATCACTATCATTTCTCGGAACATGGGCCAGCCACTCATCATCCGGAACATCCTTCATTCTCGAAGCAGTAGTGATAGGCATTGCCAACGCAGCATAGCCAAGGAAATTCCAGATACTCGTGTAGCCCACATATGCACTGGACTTGACCCACGTCCACGGTTTGTATCCCACCCATGAGGTATTGGGCATGATCAATACGTCGATATCGGAGGTTATCCATCTATCGAGATATGCAGATTCGAAATTATATTTGTCCGCATTGAGCTATGAGATATGTTAGCAGTTAATAATCACAGTGCCGATAGGAGTTTCTCACTTGGTGCGTTTGACTGGTAGTCAGAGTATCCTCGGGCTTACCAACAAGCATACCCTCAACAAGAGGCTCGCCGGTTTTCTCTATTTGTCTCCGACAGCCCTCGCCACCGTCGGAGAAAATAGCCTTCGCCCAGAGGTCATATGCATAACTGTGCGAGGAGGCATCCCACTCGAAAACTGAGATTTGTCAGTACGTCGTACAGACCACGCATTGGGAGTGGAGGTTGTCAGTTACGATACATACCCTCATGGCCCGCCGCTTCCAGCGCCTCAACAACCTCCCGCATAGCCCTCGCAATCGGCGGCTGAACCTTGACAACACCATCATCAACCAAGAACCCAATCCTTAACCTCTTCGCACCAGGCGAAGCCAACTCCTTCCGCCACGCCACAGGCGCAACATGCTGATCAACCTCCCACGGCCTCGACTCCGGCAAAACCTCCATATACCGCTCAATAGTCACCAGACTACAAGCCATAGGCCCAGCAACCGATCTCACAATATCCTGCCCGGGACTAGAAATCATCAAAATCAGCACCCCCTCTAACAAACGCAAAACAGAGAAAAATAAACTTACTTCCCCCGTTCATACGGATGTCTACCGGGACTAGGCGACAATCCATAAAGTCCACACAGAGCAGCCGGGATACGAATCGAACCACCCAAGTCCGTGCCAATACCGAGCACACTTCCACGCGCAGCAACCAGCGAGCCCTCGCCGCCGGAACTCCCACCGGAAATCAGACTGCGGTTGAAGGGGTTGACGCATTGGCCGAAGACGTGGTTGTACGAGTCGGACATCATCATTGACTGCGGCAGATTGGTTTTCACGTAGAGGACGGCGCCGAGGCGGCGGAGTGTGCGCGCTACGGATTTATCTGCTTTGGCGGGGTTGTTGGTGAGGCCGACCCAGCCTGGATTTTGGGTTTTTGTTAGTATATATGGATAGGTGGCTTTTTGCTATATGGAAGTGGAAAGGGAGATTAGGTTACCGATTGAAGTGTCAACTCCTTCAACGGAGAATAGGTCTTTGATGGATACTGGTAATCCGTGTAGAGGGCCGATAGTCTTGCCCGTCTGGGCGAGATAATCATCTAGTTTCTGGGCAACGGCAAAGGCCTCCTCGAAGAATATCTCCGTGCAGCATGTTGTGAGTTGGTGGGCGAGAGCGGCGCGCTTGGCGAAGACTCGAGTCAGCTCTAGGGACGAGAGTTCTCCAGAAGAGAGCTTGCGGAGAAGGACGGCGATATCCGTCTCTTCCGTGAGAGCCAGTTCCTCTGGACTGAGAATTTGGCGCAGATATGCCAGAGCGTCTGGGGCGGATTCTATAGAGGGAACGGGATCTAAGCGCCATTCGGGGATGATGAGCGAGAGCTGGTCGGCGCGCTTTTGAGCGCAACGGTCTTGGTACGAGGTAGAGGTAGCCATGGGAAATAACTATATTGTATGTTTATGATTGAACTATGGAGGTAGGAAACTGGATTCTAAGAGGACCTTTATATGCTCACCAACAAAGTAGATAAGGAATGTGATACCTTACCCGATTAGGAAGGCAATCTAACCGAGACTAAACCCCACACCGCATATCCTCCACCTCCTCTCGCACTGCGCCTCTGCGTCCGGATAACGAGGGAATTCACATGACTGGCAGTTACGCCAGTAGCCTCGTATTATCTCGCACTGCCGTGTTATCGAGGCACTCATCCCTATCAGGTATGCGGGGGTAGCTAGGTGCACGTAGAACCTCGATGTAGAAGGGATCTCCGCGATAGCCTGGCAAGCTCGATCCACCATGGAAGACACTACATTTGACTGATATGTCGATGCAGATGAATCGCCGCCCGTGGCCATTCCTGCGCGACCGAATGCCATGATTGCGGCGGCGCCTCTATACACGGTCGCAGCAAGATTGCGGTCCGTCAAGTCGCCCGAGTTGAGCTGTAGAGTTTGGGCTATTGCTCGAGCACAGAGGTCCATAGCGCAGGTTCCATTGCCATTGCGGTGTTTTGCAAGATAAACAAATAAATCGAACGTATCTGCTGGACATCCGACTGAGTCGAAAAATCCAATAGTTAAGGTCTCGCGATGCCAATCCTCGAAAATTAATGGACTTTCCCTGACAAGGGCGCCTGTAACATCAAACCACACCAGATAGGCTAGGATATCTGCTAGAGCGGAGATCTCGCCGCAGAGATTATCGAGATCAGCCTTATGTTGGCAGTGGAGATCTAGCAGCGAGCGCGCCCCTTGGAGATGGCAATGCCAGTTGCCAAAAGATCCGCAGCACACTTCAAACATGGCGAAAGTGGCGATGCCGAAAAGCGCAATTGGGTGTGCGGACTGGACAACTTGGTTCAGGTTTGTCAAGGCCACTAGATGCGACTGGAGGGATTCTTTGTTGTTTGCATCTTGGATACGCGAGCGGGCGAAGTTTAGCGTGCGTGAAATCAGTTGGATTCCTTCTTCTGGAATGTCACGACTGCTGGATTGTATTTGTTGGCAGAAAGTGTCCAGGAGGTCGACGAAGCCGTATAGATTGATAGATGCTGACTTGTAAACTTCGACATTTGGCGATTGGTCATTGGGAGTCTGTGGTGAGGTGCTTTTGGGCGATTTCGGCTTCTTCTTATCATCTACCCATACAACTCGCTGTGGATAGTTGCATGCTTCTCCACCCTGGACACAGGCTTGACATCGGGGCCGGTTCAAGTCACATTTGAGCCCTCGGGCTTTGCATCGACCACAGTCTCGATCGTGCCGAATGCCTCGGGGCTTTTTCACTTTCATGGTGTGTGTGAAGTTGCCAGGCTTGGAAGGCTATCAAGATGCATAGTGCGGGGGTTGCGGACACTTCCCCGATTAGTCTTGGGTGGAGCTCTCGTATCTTCGATGTTGATCCTTTTAGTGTTTTTGTTTTGGTTTCGGCTGTTTCTATATCTTCTTCAGTGCCGGAGGAAAAACAAGAAGAGAGTGTGCATTTTATCTAGCAATAACCCTGCAATAATTGGGTTCAACTCTGGTTGAGGTCAACAAGTGAAGGACACACGCTGCGAAGAAAAGTGAAAGACAATATCATCAACCGGGAGCCGGTTGGAAATGATCAGAGACAAGATAAAACGAGGGCAAAGTCACAGCCGGTCGAGAATAGTAAAATTCAAACAAAGCCTGCAGCAAGAATAGAGAAAAGAGCGTGAAAGAAAACGAGAGACAAATTTGCTAGCCATGTGCTAACTGAGAGCAAAAAAAAGCAATCTCGCCAGCAAGAACAGAATAGCCCAAATGAATAGCCAGACTCAGAAAAAAGCAACAGAAAAGAAGGACATCTATCTATAAACCAGAAACCAGTCAAATAACTTTTGTGAATAATAACATCAGTCAAGACAGTGATACAGCCTCATGTGTTGTTCAGACCATCTCTTTCTGCATAACTCAGTGCTTGCACATACCCGGGCTCCAATTGGGAATCCGCATCATGTTTCGATATGGCTGCTTGCCACGATCGGATTGCTTCCTGCGTTGCATCATGCGCTCACGTCGATCGCGTCTCTTGGTAGCCGAATTCGGTTGCTCTGGCTTCAGGTTCAGCGCTTCCATTGAAATCGATAACGGTGATTCTTGGAACTTTCTTTCTTCCGCGCGTCGACGACGCAGTATAACCTTTCGATGATGTCTTGAGATAACACGGATGGAGGAGATCTTGGAGACCTTGGAGTTCGCCTTGGAAACCTTTGACACCTTTGAGTCTGAGACTTGAGAGAGACTCTTTGCTTCTGCAACACTGATACTGGCATACAAACTGCTTCCACGGGAGAGCTTTCTTCTTCGCATTCTCTTCATTTGCTCGATGGCAGCAACTGTGAGAGATCGAGTGGACGCAACGCTTCCACTTTGCATTGATGCAACGCTTTCGTTTTGTAGGGATGCAACGCGCTGGGGCTTGGCAAACGGTCCATCATGTGCATGTGGATAAGGGGACTCAGGCCTGCGAGTGTTCACCGAGTTGGTCGTGGACAGAGGAGGGCTGCCAACGCCGACTGTTCCAAAGATGTGAGGAGGAAGCGAGTTCTCGATGCTCATACGTCGTTGCATTCCAGCAGGGCCTGATGCAATATCCGGATAATGTGAGTTCATGTCAAGCACACACATTCCAACAAAAGGCGCCTGAAGGATCGCACTGAAAGGAGGCTGCTCCAAGAAGTGGCTTGGGGGGGCATGATGGAGCACCGTAGGCAAGGAAACAGCCTCAGTGTGCTGGGTACTTGGTGAGCCGGGTTGTTCCTGACAGTCTTTGGTCGGGCAGGGCTTATTGGCAGCCACAGGAGAATCATTTCGTGAGACGCTCTGGTGCAGTGAGTCCACACCGTGCGAGCAGTGATGACAGACAACGTCATATTCCCCTTCTCGTGGTATAAATGTCATGGACGCCGGGTACATTCCCATATACATGTCAGGGGCCCAGTTGCAAACCTCCAACCAAGAAGGTAACTCGTCGAGTGCGATAAGAGGCGTCCAAAAGCCTCCCGGACGCAGGATGCAAAATCGTGGACGTGGGCGTAGAAGAAAGCTTGGAGGGTGCTGCTGAGATTGGACAAAGTCCGGACGCGGGGTAGTATACTGCATTTTGAAGAGACTGGACGAAGATGGAAATGAGTGTAGTGGAACAATGATTGTATAATGAAAGAGTGTTGTATGAAAGAATGTATGGGTTATGGAAGAGGAAGAAGAAGAAGAGGAAGAGGAAGAGGGGAGTGATGAAGTTCTGTCGGTTCTGAGGAAGGAACAGCATAGACAGTATTGTAGGAAGGAGCGATGGGTCAAATGTCAAAAGGAAAGAACGATAGTGATGACCATTCCCAGTAAGTATGAATCTGATTTCTAGCAGGTGTTCCTATACTGAGGAGCGATTGGCTAAAGTATTATATTCCATCTTGTCACGACTGCTGGACAATATATACCGGACACGAGAGAGGTCATCAAGGTCAATGATGCCATATGTATATGCGATGATATAGCGTCGAATTTTCATTTCCTTCCAAGTTCTGCCTTGGCATCACCATATTCCTTTTCGATTCGCTTTGTAGTCAAGTTGAGTCAAAACCCCCCGGGCTGATTGATACTAGGGCTATTTTCTCCTTATCTTCTCTTATCGCGTGTTATCGGCACTTCAAAGCTTATCGGCCCGGATGCAAACAACGTCCGAGCTACTCTGGCAGCCAAGTGTTGTACACAACTCATACTCACTCTTACCAACTTACCTTCCTCTCTTCTCAACTCCCTTCCTTCCTTCTCAATTACAATCTTTTATCAACAAAACCGACTCCATCATGACAACCCTCACAGACCCAACGAACGCCACCCGCGCAACCCCAAGCATCCCCATCGAGAAAGCAGTCCTCCACATCGGCAGCTCAACCTTCATAAGCGCCCCCAGCCAAGAAGTCTGGGCAGCGCTAACAAACACCTCAACCTGGCCAAGCTGGAATAGCTTTGTGCCACGGGTAACCATTCGCTCCCAGCCAACCCCAGATCCATCTCCATCCACCTCCGCACCGGACCCAGCACCAGCGTCAACATCAACACAAACCCCAGCACCAACCTCCCAAACCGTAAATACAAACACAGAACTATCTCCTATTCTCCAAAAAGGAACAAAATTCACCCTACACGTCCGCATGGACCCAACCTCAACCTCCACCAAGCCCCAGCCGGCAACAGACGTGCATGCCCTCATCAGCGAATGCAGAGCGCCAAACGCGGAGACCGGCGAGGTCGGCCGTATCGTTTGGGTCGCTGATTCCGAAGCGCCGGGCTCGTTTTCGCCATCGCTTTTGACGGCGGAGCGTGTGCATGAGATTACGGCTGTTGAGGGTGGGACAGAAGTGAGGAACTGGGAGGCGCAGGTTGGGTGGTTGGTTTATGCGGTGCGGTGGCTGTATAAGGTTAAGCTGCAGGCGAATTTTGAGATGTGGGTTGCTGATTTGAGGGGGTTTGTTGAGGGGGGCAGTATTGCTAGTTCTTCTTGATTACGCGTTGAAACTGTTGCCCTGCGAGCTAGGCTCGAAAAATCTGGGTATCCCCGTAACATGATCAATAGTTAGCCACCTGGACACTTTATTACGCATGATTCAACGAAAAGTGGCATGATACGAGTGCTTGAACATCCCATTGATCCTGCTCCTTGACACCGGAATCGGATGAGAATGGCCTGAGCGTTGAGCCAAATGGCATTTGCGCTGGATTCAGATGGTCAGTAGACCGCAAACGCGGCCGACGTGTCATGCTATTTAATTAAATATTATGTTCATTCCTCCAATATGCAAGTATGCAAATATGCAAATATGCGAACAAAATGTACTCCAATGCCATACATGTTCCGCCAAACTCCATCTAAACAGGGTATATGGACAATGCAAATAAAAACCAAAACAAATAACCAAAAGAGCATAGCAAATATATCCCGTCTAACATCAAGCAGACGCAAGCTCGACCCAATCAGGCGTCGTAATGCGCATCGCCGGATCCTTAACAACAGCCGGCTTAACAATGCGCTCAACGAACCCATTCCTCGGTACCCGACTGCCATTCATACCCGACCTCGCAAAATCCACAATCTGATGCCCAGCCCTCGCCATCTCGAGCCTGAGCCGATGGTTCATATTAGGATAAAGCAGCAAATCGCCCGTCGCAGTCGCAAGCAGCGTAGCCGCCAGCGAGAAGACATCCGACGCAGGCGTCGGCGCCATCTCAGTAGACGTGAGGGAAGCCAGCATTTCCGGCGCCGTGAACGGCGGCGTGAACGAGGGCATGGATGCGCGCGTGGTATCGAGCGGCGCATCGGCCGTCGGAATATCAACGGTGGCGGAGAAATCTGCGAACAGAGGCTCGTAAGGGAACTCGGGGTTCTCGCTGCACTCGTCTGTGTCGATGGGTCGGAGGAGGATGTTGTGTGGTTTGATGTCGCCGTGCACGACGCCGGCGACTTGGTGCAGCCAGTTCAGGCCGGCGATAAGCTTGCGCGCGAGCTCCTGGTACGAGGCTGGGCCTTGGACGGGGTCGAACATTGTTGCTGTTGCGGGTCTGCGGGTGCGCGCGAGCTGGGATTGCTCTTCGATGTATAGTGCCAGGGAGGAGGGGACGGCGGTCATTACTAGTGCGCTAAGCTCGGCGCTGTAGCCGTGGAAGGGGACGATGTAGTGCTCGTGGCCTTGGGTGAAGGTGAGGCGGGTTAGGGTTGATGCTTCGGCTTTGAGAACTGGGCGCGCATCGCGGCGCAGTGGTGCTTTCACGGCTAGCACTTGCGATCTTGAGGTTGGGGAGCTTGGGGGTGTGCCGGGGAGATTGGTTTGCGGGCGTGGCAATGAGCGCGCTTTGTATACTATGCTCCAGACGCCGCGGCCGAACTCGGCGGGGCGGTTGTTCTCGTCCTGGCAGATTTCGAGGTCGTCGGTGAATTGTAGAGTGCCGGCATTGTCCTTGGAAATGGACGTTTGCTTTGCCAAATTTTGGAATGGACTTGGAGTTGATCTTGGAGGCCTTTCTTTGGCTATAGGCGTCACCGGTGGGGTGAGACTCGATGGGGCTTGAGCCGACAGTGGCGGGCTTTGGCCGGCTGTCTGAAGCGACAATTGAATTGGGGAATTGGCCATATTTTCAGTGCGCAATACCGGAGGAATTCGCGAGCAGATCAGGGTCTATATGATCCCGGGGGAACGGGCGAGACCCGCGTAATCGTTCTGATATCAACAGCGCCACCGGGACATGCGATAGGCAAATTAAGCCTCACCCACGGGTGCAAGTATAATAATGACGGAGTGGCGAATGGTGTTTATAAGATTGGGCTAGAAGATAGACAAAGAATAACAGGGAAATGGCTATGCTAAAAGTACTCCGACCAACAGCAAAGAAAAAAAAAAAACAACCCAAACCGGCCCACTTCCGGTCTCGAACATGCAAAGGGAAAAAGAGAGAAAAGGGAAAGATACAAGATCGACGGTGACCTCAAGATACTACGGTGTCACTGGATAAGTGCAAACGGGGGGAACTAATCTGGAGACGGGTCCAGTTCATTTCCTTTGACTTTTTAAGATTAGACAAGTCAGTATTCAACGGTTCGACTTATTTCGGCAACCTGCGATTTGCCGCTTCGAGTTGCGATCGGCTTCCGTTGGACTCACCCGAATCTGACCAGTCAAGGGCAACCGTTGAACACATGTTCGATCCTGTGGATCACGTAATCACGGCAGGGTCCCGAGGTCAGGTGATTGACCAGCGATCACGTGGGAAGAATTAGTCATCCTGCCCTAAGCCGCCCATGGCTACCAAGGCCACGGGCTGGTTGCACCGGAGACGAGAAGGTTCAACCCGGTTATGGCGAGGATCACTGATCGCTTGAAGACAAATGGCTGGTAGAATGAGGCAATCAAGTCCATCTTCAAGCGCGTCAAGCTCGTCCTTGGTCAGTAATATATGATACCCAATCCCAGATACCCATGATGCCAACAATGTTGAGGCAAAGTCGAACTCATGGCTCCCATTAAGGGCTTGTCTGTTTTTGGAATCCTCTTAACCAGCGAGCAGATACAGTAGTGCTCCAAGGGCTTGGGTATGAGTCATACTCGGGAAGCGGCCTGTGACAGCAAAGCGCCAGCACGAGATTGGCGTCACCATAAATTCCCGAAATGGCGTTCAGGCGCAGTGACGAAGAACTTGGAACACGAAGTTGGCCCCCATGCGACATTCTCATTTGTAGCATGGTTGCAATTCCGACATCACACCGCGCCAGGTCATTGCCTTGCGGGAATTTTGCCCTGGGCAGCCGTCGACACCAGAAGGTGGGATATCGGGCGCTCTGCCGCTTCATATTATAACTTCGCTCTCCATTCTGTAATCCCCCGTCAAGCCAGTGCTTATTGTAGCAACTGACATCATATCATCATCGAGGGGTGAGCCTAGGGTTTATCTTTCACCATATGACTGTCTGGGCGATGACCCGAATATGATGTGAAGAGGAAGTCCAGGATTCTGGTTGTTCCGATCGGATTGTGGGCGAAGTCTGTCATAGCGTGCGTCTACACCATAATAATACTAGAATTCGAACAATATCATGGGGGTATCAACTAAAAGAACATAATGGAATTTTTAACCGGAATCTTCGTAGGGGTTTACAGTCTCCGCAAAAGTCCGATTGCTCAGCCAGCCTATTTTCTACTCGGTAGATACTACTTGAAATCCAAGAAAAAGAAATATGCAAAAATGGAACCAGCCTATTGAAGCTTTCGATTCAGCTCTCTGAACCCCTGTTCCTAGGGCTTCTTATTTCTCCAATCAAATCGATCTTCAAGCTACGGAGTACTTATCCGTATCACCCGGGTGAAATCTGGGTGAAATCTGGGTGAGACGGGCCGGCGCGATCACCACACGTGGCTCAGCCAGAGTTTAGTGCTATATCATTGGGTATGAGTGCAGGGTCTGGAACGTTTGATATGCAATGTGCTCCGTATACATATCAGATTTTCCCTGACTGGGGGGGGCTGCTGCCGCACATTCTATTGGAATGACCCCTACAGTAGACTTTGGTCTCGACTTTGAGGGTGGCTTGGAATGCGCGAGATTTGGGCAAAGTGTCGTTTGACCAATAATATTCAATCGGCACCCTGCATCTCTATGTTCAAAATGGTAAATAGTGTGTCAATCAATTTATTTCACATCGAGACAACCAATTGAAACATCAAGTGGTTGTTGGTGGCTGTTGGTGGCTGTTGGTGCCCGAGCCGAAAGGGCTCCTGGGGTCGGGGATTACAGGCGATCAGTGTTCCCCGCTTACCCACTGTTTCCCGTTTACCTATAAATAACCTTATACATAGTTAGCACAGAGGCTTGGCATATGTTAGTTACCGTATTTAGTGCTTATGTTGTATGCATGCGGTCATCCTTGGCCGAAATACCGAATTGAGTTTAGCGGTGAGCACCAATGAGATAGGTAGGTTCTCATCTACCCTTGAAAAGATTATAGCCAATTCTGGAGGCTCTTTGAACTCATAGCCTCCATTTTCAATGCTGTTCTTAGTATGTAGTGTAGTCATAGATTCATTAATGATCTTTTGCGCAGTGGAGTACATTAAACATTATTGCCTAGCAACCCATCAATCAAATAAGACCTAAACGGTGCAAGAAAGGAAAGAAAATAGCAAGCAGAACGGTCAGAACATAGGTAACAGAGGGAAAAAGCAATATAGACCGGCAAGAAATGGCCAGGAATAGGAATATCACCCCATTCTACCCATGAACCTGCCTCTCCCCACAAGACATCACCCCGGAAACATAATTTCCTCTTTGCTCGGCATATTACCTATCTTCTTCTTCCCCAACCCTTCCTCAAAGGTCTTCCCATAGTATGCCAGGCTTGGACCACATACCCAGCCGCTCCCTCTGGCGTCCGCTGCACAAAGAGCACCCCCATCGAGATATAGAATACACCGACAATACCAGTAAGAGCTCCCTGATACCCCAGCATTCTTTTGCCACGCGATAGATACAAGGAATCACCAAGATCTCTTTGCTCCCCGGATGAAGAGGCGTCAAGCAACGCATTCATACCCTGTAGAGTACCGAGGACGGTCACTAGAGCGAGGGCAAGCGAGAAGGCACTGAAAGTGATTGCGATCACTAACATTGCCTTGTACGACTTCTTTCTGGATGTGCCTGTGCGAGCAACGAGGAGCATAATTCCCGAGATGAAAAATAGGAGGGCATGAACGAGAGGAGGTTCACAGAAGAAGACATCATCTTGGAGGTGTTTGAATTGTGGGAGGGTGGTGTTCAGAAAGGTTTGAACGTCGGATTGGACACTAGAGACTTCGTGGTCTAGGTGCTCCCAAAGTTCTTCGCTCAGGTCGTCCAGATCCTTTCGGCGCATGTTCGAGACGCAGTTGGTGAACGTTTGTGCGGAGGAATTGCCATCGGAAGAGGATACGGCAGCTGCATCGGTGACTGATAGACATCCTCCTACATACAGTTAGATGGGACGGATCTTGATTAATGAAGGATGATTTGGCCTCTTGTCCACTCACCAAAGTAGCCCACCCGAAGTGAGATATCGTAGGTCGTGTTTGTTGAGAGCTCAGCGAGGTAGATTTTATTGGAATCTGCCATTGTCCAGGCGCAGCTCGTTAGAACATAAACTGGATGCCGTTAGAAAATACACTGTATCACGCATTTTGTCTAAACTTACGACCCAGACTGATTGCCAGTAGATAGGAGGCAACCGCTAGAAACACGAGTGCACATATGGATTTTTTTCCTCTTCGGTTACCCCCTACTATAACGCATGGACCGTTAGTATTATTCTCAAGATGTTGCAGTCGCCAAAGGAAAAGTCAAATTTCTTACTTGGTTTCTCAATAACCACCGTCTGTGGAAGAGGCGCATAATTCGGTGCATACTGAGTGTTCGTGGGATAAGGATTATAAGGAGCGGCAAGGTGAACTGCACTGGTAGACGAAGTTGGCTTTTTCTTGCCAGTGGACTTCTTTCCTGTCTTCTTTACCCCAGTCTTCTTCACCCCAGTCTTGGCCTTCTTTCGTGGAAGTGTTGAGGAGCTATAGTTCTCCATGGTGTACGGTAGGTAATGTAATGGAATAACTTCAGAGCCTGCCTTTGGATACGTCTTTCAGGCTCACATATACCTTTTATATACCCCAGTTAAACCAGGGAATTCGGCCTATTGGCTGGATAGTAAGACGTATGACTGGTGGGAAGTAGGTTCTCCCCGAAAGTCTATCCCTCGTATACGGACTTGGCAGAAACGTGTATCAAATGGGGGCCAAGCGCCATAGCCCTAACAAAATAATATCAAGCAGTAGCCTAGCCTCCTAGCTCGTGTCTTCGAAAAAGGAAATATCGAAAGCCAAGACTCTCAAGCGGGCAAAAAGAGGGGTGGGCTGTGTTCAGCCTCAACACATGCAATTTAGACCTGTAAGTTGTAGGCCCGACTGGGCTTCCTACATGTCTACTTTTGGTTGAGTTAGCCTTGGCAAACGGAGGCTACTAGTATATTTCGGACGAAGTAGTTCAATATACAGTTTTGGTCTATTGACGTGATTTGCTCCTACGTATCGGTACATCGTGTATTATGAACATGGGGTAAATCTAGCTAAACGCACTCATCAGGAATCGATAGCACGTGAAAGTCGACTCGACATCTCCTCGGAAGGTTCAGGATCACCAGACAACCTGTGAACTTGTGGCTGATGCATATGCAGCAACGCCCAGCTAATTTAAGACCTACAGGGGTGGTGGTAAGATTTTTCTTCCCATGTACGATACTATCTTAGGAAGTGCCTTTATGGATACTATTTTGGAGATATGGCAAGATTAAATCACACTAAACATAGCCCGAGAAACGGGACAACAGTTGGTCGCTTTATACTCCTTAGAACGGTGGAGGCTTAGCCCGCTGGTGTGACAGCCACTAGCTCAGCCTCGGATCATTCACCTGGGCATACGGCTCAAGAGAAACTAGTCCACACCTCCGTACCGCTCTCCCGGGACTTTTCCATCTGTAGGTCATAAGGCCGCGAAATCCATTGTCCTACATATTTCTCCATGCCCTTGGATAAGAGACTTGGATACGCAACCCTTCCCTCCCAAACGTTTTGTTGAATTTTACGTCAAACATGGCTACATATATGGCACCCATTCCTCCTAGCGGACAAGGCCTAACGGCAAGGCTTGTGCGCCAAACAAAGATTCCAAAGCCCGATAAGCACGACGAGAGCAAGGCCATTGACATTGTAGCCGTCCACGGCCTGGCCCCTTGGGAGTCTTATCCTGACGCTTCCTTCTGGCTGCGCGATTTCATTGCAAAGGACATTCGTGGGGCCAGAGTATTTACATTTGACTACGATGCCAAGGCAGTCTGGTTATGCGAATTGCCTCTGAAGAATATCCAGGATGTGTCCAGGGCCTTGCTTGGCCAAATTGTTGCTATTCGGGAGGATGTCCCCGAGACACGGCCTCTAGCATTGATCTGCCATGGCTTCGGTGGCTTTATTGTTGAATCGGTGGGTCTTTGTTTCAGCATTCCTTTACTGGGGTATTATATAGCTAACAAATTCCTGGAATAAAGTGCCTGAATGATGCCTTTTCACAATTCCCAAATACAATCGATTGCACTCGGGGAATCATCTTCCTTAGTACCCCACAACGTGCATCACCAGGGATCACGTGGGCGACGCTCTTGCTGCGTTGCGCGAGAGACAGTATACGTACACCTCCAGGGCTGACACAGGCTGAACTGGCATATTCGCAAGACCTTGTGTGGGCAAAGAGAAGTGGAGTTGTTTTATGCGATATCTCCGAGGGCTTCAAGGCAAAGGTTACCAAGAGGATGAAATTGTTTTTCTGCTACGAAGATGTTCCGACATGGCCACAGCAAGAATGTGTAAGTTCTAACTCACAAGCTCTTGGGTAAAAAGGGTGGTATGCTGATATTGCCTATAGAGTTTGAACGAGTATTGCGCAGCTCTTGGTCGTCGTGGCGAGAAGGTCGAGTTGATGGCGGGTTGTAGTCACCTCTCCGTGGCAAATTTCCAAAGTAGGGAGGATGAGAACTACAAGACAATTATCTCTGCCATCAAGAAGATCCGAAAGTTGGCATTGAAAGACACAGCACCCACTTCATCTGGACTACACGAAACGGCTCAAGAAATTCAGAACCTCCAGGTCATCCAGTCATCCCAGGCCACGAGTATACATACCGTCCAGAACACTTCGGTCTTGAACCAACAGAATTTCAGCATGCAGAATGCAGTCACGGCTACCCACAATACATTTGGTGCTCGTGAATTAAGCCATGGTTCATCGCAAGGTACCATGATAGCGCTCAAGAAGTCAGGACCGGCCTATGGCAACATCCAGGATGCGTCAAGAATATATTCCGCCACTCCACAATCCTCGCAATTTGACGCGAATATGATGAAGATTCGCAGGCGTCCTGTTGGACTGTCCCCTGTCAATCAAATATCAAATTCACCTGGTCACGAATCTCAGCCTAACATACCATCACAAAATCTTCAATTTACGTCGGGACAATTGGGACAGCAAACACAGCACTACGCCAACATTGCACCAATCACTGCGCTAGAACCGAAATCCTCCACCAAATCAGGCAAGAAGCCCAAAATGCCACAAGAAGCCGGCCCTCCACGTCCCGCAAAACTACCATTGAACCCCGGAGATGCGGCACCCAGACCAGCAGTCGTCCGCCAACTTATCGGTAACGAGGGGATGCTCTCCACTTCAAGCAACATTCACAGAACAGACCAGCAAATGCATTATACAACCATAAATAGCATGGCAATGAGTTCATCCCAACACATCTCTCCGCAGCCTAGTTCAGGGACATACAACTACCCTCCAGTCCCGCATCCATTCCCCACCAATCATCCTATGACTCTTACAGCTGGAGCAATGCCTGTTCAACTGACATCCCCACAGAAAGTGACAAAGCCGCCGAAGGCATCCTCAGGCGAGCAACGCCCCGAACCTGCAAAGCTACCAGGGACAAACCCGATGCCACACCAGATCCGCCCCAATAAGGTTGATTCGGGAGTTAGAGGACCTCCGATCCCGACTACCACAGCTGGAACCATACCCAAAGTCGCTCCAATGCAGGCACCCCCCACCGTACAGCAAGGCCTGCGGGAACTGCAGCTACAGCCTAGCTATACTCCACCCCCCAAGAAGCCCGGGTTTTTCAAAAGGATTTTTTCGTCTAGCAAGGAATCGGCACCTGTCCCTACCACAGGAGGTCCTGGAGTGCGCCCGGGAATACAAGTCGGTCCACACCAGCCGTCCGGGCAGACCAGCTGGGGAGGCTCTGGGTTACACTCGGGGCCACAAGTTTCACACCAGCCGTTGAAGCCGTCCAAGTCATCCAAACCTCCATCTGGACCTACCAGTTTGGGTGGCCCTGGAGTATACTCGGGGCCACAAGTCGGTTCACACCAGCCACTGAAGCCATCCAAGCCTTCATCCAAGTCTCCACCCGGGCCTACCAGTTTGGGGGACCCTGGAGTACACTCGGGACCACAGGTCGGTCTTCAGCAACCGTTGAAGCCGTTGAAGCCGTCGAAGCCGTTGAAGCCGTCGAAGCCGGCCAAGCCTTCGTCCAAGTCTCCATCTGGGACGACCAGCTCTAGTGGCCCTGGAGTACACTCAGGATCACTAGGCGGTCCACATCAGCCGTTAAAGCCGTCAAAGCCGTCCAAGCCATCTAAGCCATCTAAGCCATCTAAACCATCTAAGCCTTCATCCAAACCTCCGTCCGGGCCTCCCAAACTGGTCGGCCCGGGAGTGTACTCGGTATCACAAGGCGGTCTACACCAGCCATTGAAGCCGTTAAAGCAGTTGAAACCGCTGAAGCCATCTAAGCCATCTTCCAAACCTCCGTCCGGACCGACCAGTTTGGGAGGCCCGGGAGTATACTCTGGATCACAAGGCGGTCCACACCAGCCATTCAAGCCGTCTAAGCCGTCTAAGCCGTCCATTTTGGGAGGTTCTGAAGTACACTCAGGATCACGAGGTCTTTCGCAACAGCCGTACAAGCCATATAAGCCGTCCATGCCGACCAGCTTAAGGGGACCTGGAGTACACTCGGGATCACGAGATGGTCCATATCAGCCGTACAATCCTCTATCACATACGCACTTGTCACCCTATGGCCCGCCGAGACCGGGACAAGGCCCATTGATACATGGTCACAATAATAATGACCACTTCGGGCCAGGGCAACATCAGACTTGGGGTCACGGTGATGGTTTTAATTTTGCACCAGGTCAAACTTCTAGTCACATTACTAGTAATATTCCAGTCGAACCTCCAGCTAAGCCCACGGGTTCGGTTGAACCTACAGGTCCAATCAAACCTCCAGGCCCAGTCGAGCCTCCAGTTGAGCCCACAGGCCCAGTTGAGCCCACAGGCCCAGTTGAGCCCACCGGCCCAGTTGAGCCCACCGGCCCAGTTGATCCCACCGGCCCAGTTGAGCCCACCGGCCCAGTTGAGCCCACCGGTCCAGTTGATCCCACAGGTCCAGTTGAGCCTACAGATCCAATCAAACCTCCAGGCCCAGTCGAGCATCCAGTCGAGCATCCAATCGAGCCTCCAGTTAAGCCCACTGGTCCAATCAAGCCTCCGGGTCCAGTCGAGCCTCCAGTTGAGCATACAGGTCCAGTCGAGCATACGGGCCCAGTCGAGCCTATAAGTCCAATCAAGCCAATAGGTCCAGTCCAACATACAGGTCCGGCTGAGCCTATAGGACGCGGTTTCACTCCTGATGAGAGTCATGGCCAGGCCTGGAAGCCCGATCACAGTCGCAATCAGGCTCACCAGTCCCAGTCCCAGAATCAAAGCAGTCGAAGTGGAAATATAGCCGCTGGCCTTGCAGGTTTAGCTATAGGTGCGGGTGGTGCAGCTTTTATGGTGGCTTCCATGGGCCAAGGCAAAGAAAATGACGAAAGCAATGTTAACGATGACAACAACCACGAAGGCGATGATGACAGTGATAGTCAGGGAGAAGGGGGAGGTGACAGTGACAGTGACAGTGACGGTGACAGTGATGAAGATGATAGTGATGGTCAGGAAGCAGTGGGAGGTGGTGACAGCGATGAAGATGGAGGTGGTGACAGCGATGAAGATGGAAATGGTGACAGTGATGAAGAGGATAGTGATGGGCAGGAAGAAGAGGGAGGTGGTGACAGCGATGAAGATGGAGATGGTGACAGTGATGGAGAGGATAGTGAAGAGGGAGGTGATTACAGTGATGAAGAGGCAGATGGTGGATGGTGGTAGTGATGGAGATGGAACGTAGCCCTAGTTTTATATGTCCTTGCATCTATCTGTATGTCGATGTTCATATCTGTACTCCGTATTGACAATCTTCACTTAATGCGCTCATACAACCCTAAAACCCCCAGACAATTATGTATTCCCATCCTTGTTTACATTCTATAAAATTCTATAAATCCTTTTGTCCAAAATAATATACAGTTATATACACAGTGCCAATCAGGCCCTATTTGATCTTCAAGCCAGTAGGGTTATTAGCCCCATTGCATAGCTGCGCCTGGGTCAATGTCCCACCCAGAGCTCGGCTGAAGGAGAAAGCAGGGAGCTTATCCGGAAGCTTCTCATACTTGATCGCGATATCCAACAGGGTTTCTGCGGAAAGAATGCGGAGTCGAACACCGCTCAAATCATAGTCCACGTTCTCCTGGTAGCTGAAAGCTGGGTCTGAAGTTGAACCATCTGGCAAGGGCATCGGCCCATAGCCAGGCTTGAGTCTTCTTTCGGCAAAGTTCGCAAGGCTTGGAATATCCCGCACATGACTATTGATAGTCTCATTCGGGAAAAGTGTTGTAAGGAGTTCGGCAACCGGCATCTTGTTGGACACAAATGCTAACAGTCCATAATACCGGTCGAGGACTGGTTGTACCATTGCGCTCGGTAGGTCAAAGGCCTTCTTCAGAACGGGCGGGTTAGGGTCCGCTTCGAAATATATGACTCCGCGCCCGCTCCCACGAGGATAAATCTCCTCTGGGTCGATGTATAGGGGTTCAAATGGTCGTCGGTCATGTACCAGGCCGCCATTTTTGGGGGCTTCAACCGAGCGGAAGCGAAGATCATCGATTGTGAAATTATGTTTTTCCCATATTGTCCAGTGAGAAGTTGAGATCAAAGTAGTATAACTTGATTTGAGAGATATTATCTGATCTTCCAGAGCCTTCAGACTCTCAACACTCTCCTTAGGATCCGCAGCCGCACGTGCAAATGACCGGCCCAGTTCGTCAAGCTTAATGATTATGTTGACAAGCTTTTCGCGAAACTGATGGGCTGAATTTTCCCTAGTGAGGTGCGTGAATGCTATTCCTCGCCGTCGAATGATGGCTTTGATATTGGGGTCTGTGGTCTCGTGGCTCGAAGAGAGACCCAACTCGTCTGCTGCCGCGATGTCCGCCAAGAGCCTCTGGTGAACATCACTAAGCACTCGCGGCTGGTTTGGTATTTCTTTTTTGCCGCGGTGAACAACTTCTGGCACCAGCTTTAACGGAGGAAGCTCTCTGTCAGGTGGAGTGATAATATTATTCGCCGCAGCTCTTTCAGCCACGAGCTTCCTGTTGTCATTTAAGTAATCCCAGCCTTGCCATCGAAGGGAGTTTTCAGTTTCAGCTGGAGTGGCAATCTCTATGTTGTGCAAGCCTATGGTCTCCGCAAATACACCAGTTCGTGTGCGCTCTGTAGTGGACCGAGGTAGCATATTCGAGACTCCATTGAAGGGCAATGAGGCAATGACTCGTACGGCCCCGTACAAATTCAACCCATTCTGTTCTAAGCAGCTTTTCATGAAGCTGAGAAACCAGCGGTTGGGTTTGAAATGATCCGTCGGAGAGACAGCATCAGGCAGATTAGCCATGATGAGAAGTGTATCGTTCCTTGGTATAATCGCAGAGCCTTCTCGGTTTCCAGGCCCTTGTTCTGGAAGATGAGTTGCAAAGAATTCAGACCAATCGGCTTTCCCATATATGCGATCATCGACGAGCTTATAACACGGCTTGCTCTTAGCGAGGCGTGTGAGAAGGCCGTGAAAGGCATGATTTGGTTCAACAAGAATATGGCGACGTGGTTTAATGAGTTCATTCAGTCTAGATGAGCAGAAACCACCCCCGGGCCAAAGGTCCAGAATGTCTACCGGCGGGTTTCGACGAAGGTAGGGAGATACGCGCTCGAAAACATGGTCTGCAAAGTTCAAGGCGTATAAGCATATTTGTACCCATTGTGTATAAGAGCTGAGATTCAAGACTTGCCTAGTAGCCCTGGACTCACGTATTGCGGTTGATCCTTGGTTTTCCCACGTTGAAGGCGGATCGCCGAGTAAAGCGCCTCCGTGACCGGAAACCGCGCCAGCGGCATTCGCTCTTTCCTGATTCGCCTCATTATAAAGATCTGGCAAATGCCAAGATGATTCTTGCGTATGGCATTAATGGAAGGAGAGTACTAATTGAAGGGAGAAATGTGAGGGAATCCCTCGAAATTTCTTTGACGTTGAAGAGCGGAGAGCGGAGAGACCAAGCTTCCCGCTCTCTCATCCCACCTCTTCTCCCCTCACCAGGTTTATCTTCCAGGTCGCCTAGATGCGGCTCCCACAATTGCCGCTGGTCTTTCCAGGTTTCGGAGATTCCTATCATCTCACTATGCTCTTTGAGGCTTGATCCTGGCTCAAATTCATCATTTTGGCTTTCTAATTCTCGTCTACCCTTGCCTTAGCGCACCTTTTTTGTTATGGCTTCCAATGCGATAGGAGGTACTGCCCCTCAAAGTGTTGAGCATATTACGCGGATAGCACAGAACTACGAGTACAACTCTTCAGTTCCTCTGCGGTACTGGCTGAGGACCGCCGCGACGCTTTTACGTGAGGTTGGTTATACCTGTTGCCTGCACGTGGATATCGATTACTGCAGACTTGTTGACTTTTCTTCATTTGTTAGGCTCACATTTATGAACGCGAAGGACACGATGAGCAAGCCTATCTCATTCTATTTCGACACGCTCAGTTGATCCTGGTCCATCTTTCCAAGCACCCCGATGTCAAAAAGAATGAGGAAGATCGCAAGGCATTGGTGGCAGCCGAGAAAGAGGTTGAGAAAAATCTTAGCAAGTTGGAGATTCTGCGGCCGCGTATCAATAAGCGCTATGAGCGTTACACTCAGTTGATGCGGGAGCGCGAATCTCGCCAACAGCCCTCACGAGCCAAAACCATCCCCGAACCACGCGAACAAGTTCCGGATCCTGCTCTCGCCGGCGTGGCAGAGCCTTTGGAAGCTGGAGAGAATCGAGATCTCGCCGTGCAGTTAGCCCAATCAGAGCTCAATCGCCGAGCCACCATCCGAAACTCAAAGGGTCTTTCTGGGCCATCTGCCGAGGAGATTGAAACACGTCGCGCAGCTGGCATATGGAGGGAGTGGGACCATTCTATGAAATCGGACTCTCGCACGGGTGATCGCGACCACACAAATCAACCTTATAGTCAAACCCCCGAAGAGTCCGAGGTTCCTTCATCGGCTGCTTCTGCGTACAAGTATCCAACTGTGCCCCGTCAAAAGCCCCTGGAACCCACTGTGTCTCCAGGCCAAATTGCCATACTCGATAAGAATGCCGAACGCTTTGCGCCTCCGATATTGCCTCCCAAGGAACACCTTGAGCCTAGCCGGGCATCTATTATCGATGATTCTACAACGGCTGTGGTGCCATCGCGACCGGCAAAGGTATTGCCAGGCCCGGTGCTGCCTGAGAAGATCCAACCTTCTAAACAAACCACCGCCACGCGTTCAGATCTCGATCCCTCAAGTTACACCTTCAAACCCTCCGCCTATCTCGAAAATGGCACCCCCTTGCGCTCGGTATTCTTACCAGCGAACCTCCGATCCCGCTTTTTATCTATGGCTGCTTTTAACACCCGCGCCAACCTTGAGACATGCGGTATCCTGTGTGGTACTCTTGTTTCCAACGCGCTCTTCATATCTAAACTGGTAATTCCCGAGCAGACATCGACGTCAGACACCTGCGAGACGGTTAATGAATCCGCCCTCTTCGACTACTGTGACTCCGAGGATTTGATGACGCTCGGCTGGATCCACACACATCCGTCACAGACCTGTTTCATGAGCTCCCGTGATCTACACACACACTGCGGTTACCAAGTGATGCTCCCCGAGAGCATTGCCATCGTGTGCGCTCCGAGCAAAAACCCCGATTGGGGCGTATTCCGGCTGACTGATCCCCCGGGTCTAAAAACGGTCCTGAACTGCAACCAGACCGGTCTGTTCCATCCACATGCCGAGGAGAATATCTACACCGGGGCATTGCGACCAGGACATGTCTTCGAAGTCAGTGGATTAGAATTTGAGACGGTTGATCTCCGTCCGGATGCCTTAAAGAATTAATAGCGTTGCGCTTGAATTGTTCAATACACTGAGATACCATCATCGTCGCATTGATCTGGCTTTTTTCGTGTGACATTTCATATCTTCTAGAAGGGTCATGCCATTTCAATAGCGTTAAAACTTGCTATCATGAGTTTCCAATTGGAATATTTCCTTTCTGATCCATATTGAAGACATCAGCATAGAGTTGGTAGGTTCTGCTCAGATATATAGCCAAGTTCAACCTTATTTGACGACATTTATGTTTTCAGTGACAATTAGTGTATCAAAATACTATTTAGTAAGACAATTGCAACTTATATGTGTATTTGATCTCATTCCATAGGCTTGAGCCCAATACTTCATTGTTTTCTCGTAATCATGCCACGCCTTACAAGGATGGCCAGGTGTGACATCTTAGATTTCCCCACATGATAAGTCGATAACCATCTCAACTTCCCCTCCGCATTCGTACCTCTACCATCAGCTTAACATCCTTCGTCAATTGATTTTGAATTGCACGAATGTCGTCCCCATCACAAGAAAATATCCCCTCCGACACCCCCACCTCCTCCACCTCCACTCCAGGATCACCGTCCCAGGCACCCACAGAAAAACCACCCTACCAATCCGCTGCCTCCTACTTGTCCTACCCAGTCAGCCACGTCGTCTCAGGAATCTATCGCCGCATAGCAGACCCAGAGCCAACTAAAGAAATGCCCTCCGTCATGCCATGGTCGCGGTCCTCCTCATCTGAAGCGTTCACACCGCACCGAACAGCCTCACCCTTCCAACCCCCACCACTCACACCCCTCACCCTCGGGATCCCCACAGGGGCCGACTCGCTCCAGCAGCAACTCCTGACACGCCCACTAGCAGAAGAAATCCGACTGCTAGTGCCGCCCCGTCTGCAGCTCGCCGAAACCTGGCGTCTAGCCTACAGCCTGAACCGCGACGGCGCCTCCCTTTCCACCCTCTACGAGAACTGCGCCGAGTTCTCGCACCGCAGCCCGCGGGCGGGCTACGTCCTCGTAATCCGCGACTCCTCCCCCTACAGCTCCGTCTTCGGCGCCTACATGACGGACGCCCCACACCCAGACTCGCAGTTCTTCGGCACAGGCGAGTGCTTCCTCTGGCGGGCCAGCGTGCTCCCGCCCCCGGCAAGCTTCCCCCTCGCCTCACCAGGCGAAGGACCCCAGTCTGAGGAAGCCCTCGAGCGCGCTGGCCTCCCCCCTCCCCCCTCGGCCGATACCACTACCGCCGGCCGCTGGAGCACCCTGCGCAACGATAAGTCGAAACCTGCGCGGGCGGAATCGCCGGCTCATAATCTCAATATGAATATTAAAACTAATCTCGCCGCTGCGAGTGGCGGAGTCCTGGCGCCTCCTTCGCCTTCCTCGATCCATAGCCCTTCACCGAGTGGTGCGAGTACCCCCGAACGCATTCGCTTCAAGGCTTTCCCGTACAGCGGGGTTAATGATTACATGATTTTCTGCGAGACTGGATTTCTCAGTCTAGGAGGCGGGTAAGTGGTTGATGTTGCTAGAATATTTATTTTTCTTGGCTAATATGACGTAGTGACGGCCACTACGGACTGTGGCTTGACAGCAGTCTCGAAAAAGGTGTCAGTTCACCCTGTCAGACTTTTGGTAACGAGCCTCTCTCCGATGAAGGCATCAAGTTCGATGTACTTGGAGTGGAGGTGTGGTATGTCGGTTCTTGAACAGCCGCATATGTACAGCCTGACGCCTTACACTTGATGTATAAAGAATGCCTGTGTCGGAGAGGACATACGTATGGAAGGGATATCTATTTTGATTTAGACAGGGCCGACAGGAGCGGACTGTGGCATCCATCGAGATTGAAGACCCGGATCAGGAAAAGTAGTTCATCTTAATGGCCCTTCAAATACCCAGACGGCGATGTGGTGCTGGCCTCCCTGCATTGTTGATTCTGCTATTGACATTTGCCTTAATCTAGTGTTGCTTGTTTTGCCTAATAACTTTTGTCTTGAACTTTGGATAATTCACACAAACAGCTTTGCTTTTTTGTTATCATCAAACTAGATGTATTTTCTGGATGGTTTCACTCTTATATGGCAATTCTTTCACAATACCGTCACTTGCTACTCAGTGTTAATTCAGTTACGCGTCAAAAAGCACTACTCAGATCGAAAGTGAGGAATTGAAAAGTAACGGTTTCTATTGCTGATTCAGGAATTCTGTTTGAAATCCCTGAACCAGGTCAGGAAGGCTGCTTCGAACATGGTCCACAAGAAGACTGCTGAGACGACGCCGCAGGTTGCCAGCCCCCACAAATTGCCGTGTCAGTGTCTTCCAATCTCCTCGGTCGAAGAACTCCTTCTCCTTCTCCTCCCTCTCCTCATCTAGCAAGTGGCGTGTCTCGGAAGACTTGGTACACACCAAGTGCAACCCCAGTGGCACTTAGGATGCCGATCTTTGATGGCATTCAACCATAACGCTTCCTCCTCTGGCTCCTGGAGTGTGTCAAGATGGGTGATGATTCCCAAGATCCTTCCTCGGTTAGGATAATACTTGTCAGCGAAGTCGATTAACTTTTGAGGGCAGATGTCGATTTTGGCGGAGACCACGGGGAGGATGATGCACCGTTGATTCAGCACGTAGTTTTCAATCGTCCGACGACCAGGAGTCTTCTCTCGACCTCCATTGTCTATGCCATCTGCGAAGAAGAGCCTGGGCATGTCGATGAGAGTCAGGTCAGGTTTATCGGGACCAGAGACCTCAACTCTCATGACATCGTCACTGAATCCATCCTCGAGGGAGAATTTGACGAGTTGCGTTGCTTGCTCAATCAGCGCGACTGACTGCTCAGTGTTGTCGTGAACAGGGGGATCAAATGATTCTAGGTGCCAGAGGTCGCCTTCGCTTATTCTCGTTGGGCCAGGCCGGATGCTCACTTTGAAGTGAGGTGTTGGGTCATAGCGTAGTATGATCTCAGTAACGAAGCCAGTGTAAAAGTCATTCCTTGATGGAAAGCTCACGCCGGAAATTGATTCAATAACAGAGCGTTTGGCGTTGGACTTGGAACCACAGATGATCATCTGCGGCAAATGGACATATTTACTAACACTGACGGTACGGAGTTCGTCGACGATGTCAAGGATACTGCCTTCTTCTGTGTATGACTGAGGTGGAGCTTCATCTGGCTTGGCCGGCATGGACATGGTAAGGTTTGGATGTAATAGGTATGTTGGAATGAAGATGGAACGAGCCGTATGTATTTGATGGCAAGAAGGATGATGAAGTCATGAAGATAAAAGATGGAAAGAAGAAAGGAAGGGAAGAAGAGTCCATCTTATATATTGGCCTTATACGTTTAACGTTAACAGCGTGCGATTCGGCGACTCATGCGAGTCATAGATGATGGTTATCGCGATGATGCGATGCGATGGACGGTCATGCGCCTTGAAATGCCCTACTCCCGCGTTTTCTTTCACACTTCTGGTTAAAGCTATTAGTCGTTTGTTCCTTGCTCTACTCAATGGTATGTAGAGACAACAATGCTCACGTTTCTTTATCCCCGAATGGTAATTAGGGCATTCCGGACTTTATGTGAGAGCAAAATATATTGGACGATATGCTAACTTTAGGGACTTTAAGAATAATTGCTGCTTAGTATCTAAGACCTCTGTTCGCTTTGCATTTCTTTGTGAACTAGAGCTATAAGGACTTCGGAGACTTCTCAACAGCCTCAGGTGCTCGCCGCCTTATCCAGCAAACCACGATCAAAGTAACAGTTCAGCTGCCAGATTTGTAGGCCATCCGTGCCGCATCCCTCCTCGGATTTGCCAATCTCATAAACAAAGGCTTGGGGCAGAGGTACTATTCCCCTTCCACCTTTGAGATGCAAGTTGTTCGTGGTCTCAATAATCACGGTATGTTTGCCAGACGTCTCATCGCTCAAAACGACGATTGAAATCACGTCATGTGCACAACGCTCAAACTGTCCGTAGAGATCGATGTAGTAATCCCAGATCTCTTTGGCCCCATGGATGATAGACCGATCAGTGTTCACCAGGGTCGCACTGGAGGCGTAATATTTGGTTGGGGGTGTGGTCGTCTTAGCAATGCTGAAGTCCACTGCATATTTCATGTACCATGAGAGGACTGGATTGGTCGAAAATACTGAGGGTGGGTTGGCGAGATTCAAAGGCCCTTTGACCACGGTAGTAGTGACACTCATGGTTAAGAATATACCCAATTGAAATATAGGCTGTGATCAATGGAGAAAAATCGTAAGAGAGAGAGCAGTTCAAATTATTAGTATCTAAAAGGAATATCATGATATCAAAGCTGTTATAACCCTCGGCTCGTCGTCGGGATGATACCGAGGAACATCCGACCTCGGGACCCGTGAATCTCGGGAATCCCGACTCAGGATGACGTAACCCGTATTGATTCAAACACACCAGCATGAAGGCAGAATTGAATTGTAAGGCAGAATTGAATTGTAATCAGGGGACCAAGTTAAATTACATTTATATCAGCTATGTACCATGGATATCTTGGTAGCTTTCAAGGAGCTTTGACCTCGACAAGCAGTTTTCCTGCGAGATGTTTAGTATAAATTCATTAGTGTGCAGAAATCAAAGCTTACCTGTGTTTACCCCCTTATACAGTTGCATCAAGGCAGTTTCGGCTTGGGATAACCCGCCATGCACAATGGTTTCCCTCCGTTGCAGTCGACCCTCCGCAAGCCACTGGCTGAGCTTCCGTCTGATCTCAGGTTTCTTATCCATATGATCGAAGACAATGAAGCCTTCCATGCGAATCCGCATCCTCCATATCATCATGTAGTTCTTTGGTCCTTTGACCTCCTGTTCATTGTACTGACTGACTCCACCGCACATGACAAATCGAGCGTTTTTGTTGGCACAGAGTAGAGCCAAGTCGAGGACTTCTCCTCCGACATTGTCATAAAAGAGGTCGATCTTTCCTTGCATCAAACTCTTGAACTTTTCGGCGAAATCTTCGCTCTTGTAGTTCAGTGCCCCGTCAAACTTGAGGTCCTCAACTAACCAACGACACTTTTCATCCGAGCCTGCGATTCCGTACACAGTGGCACCGTGGATCTTTGCAATTTGTCCAGCGATAGACCCAGTCGCCCCTGCTGCTCCAGAGACAACCACAAAGTCCCCAGGCTTGACATGGCCAACCTCAACCATGCCCCAGTACGCAGTGATTCCTGTCAAGCCAAGGACGCTGAGAAAATCGGTCAACTGGCCTCCATCCGCAGGATCAGGCGTAGGCACGGATTCCAAAGAGCTCTCATTGATAATTGCCTGCTCAGTCCAACCTACCATACCGAGAGCATAGGAGCCAACTGGAAACTTCTCTGACCGCGAGGCAGTTACACGGCCCACAGCGTAGCCACGCATGATTTCGCCAATTGCAACTGGAGGAATGTATGAAGGTCGATCGTCCAACCACCCACGCATCGCAGGATCCAGACTTAGGTAAAGGCTTTCCAAGACAACCTCTCCATCTTCAAGTTCTTCCGAAGTAGGAGTTGTATGCTTTTGTACAGCAAATGTTTCCCCGGGGACAATGTTTGTCTCCGGGCGCTGTTGAAGATGGATTGCGATATGTTCGGAGGACATCTGTAGATAAACTTGATATGAGTATGATGAAAATCAAAGCAAGGCCTGTAAAACCGTACTGTTCAAGTAGTCGCTTATGCGACAAAAATATATTTCAAAGAATTAGGAAGCGATAGCCTAACACCGTTGTACAGAGAGAGTACGAAGTAGACAAGAATAAACTGTTTCTTTGGCCCCTTCGACAGGACATACCGCTTTATCATCGACTACGCGCTACCTCGGGAACATCCCGAGATCCTCGGATTATGCAGCCGCTTTACCCGTACGGAGTAACTATACGGTTGGGGTGTCCCTTCAACAATCCCCTATATATATAAGCTTATATAAGTCATATAATGAATAACTATCTACGTCAGGATACATCTGTTTCGATACGGCATATGATCATCCGGCAGATAGACTTCCTTATAGTTCGGGACCCCCCAAGGATCCCCGGCGATCTAGCATCAGGCCCCTAGGTAGTAACCAAGAAATTGCTACCTATCAGCGGGTACATGGTTCTATTCTGATAACTAAGACAATTGTAGTATTAAATTAGCCAGCTGAATGCTATGGGTCCGACAAAAGATGAACCATGCCATCAAATCTCCTCCTTTTCATCTTCTTCTGCTTCTGATCCATTACCGTCGCCTGTGACGTGCCGGGTCTTGCAAGATAGAAGAGTGCATTAAATTCAGAATAACTAAGATAGGGAGAGAAAGGAAGGAAGCAAGTTGCAAAGTGGGAATCAGCCAGTTCTTATAGCTGAGTCCTGACCGCTTTGTAAACGATGCAAACAACCAACTCTCGCTTAGCAATAGCAAACAAGCAAAGCAAAGCAAACGTTGGATCGTAACATCGCTGAGGGGACATCACCTTCCCCTTAATCAGTCACACCTTGGAAAAGTAGCCAATCATCATCAGCGAGCTCCGTGTCTGGGTGATCATGTGTTGGAAGATCCAAGATTACCGCAGTGTATTCCTTCGTGGTTGCCACTGGGATGGGCCATGACCATTTCGCAAGCATATTGAGCATGTCATAAAGCTTGCCCTTGTCGATAGTATCAATGTACGGCGTGTCCTCGGGCGGTATTACGGCGTATTCCTTGAAATCCAAAATGCGGGTGAACTGAACATGGAGTTGCCCATCAAAATATCCAGCTAGGACCCGAGAGTGCCAGGAATAGACGAGGGTGAAACGTCGCCGGTCTCGATATCTAGATGATGAAACTGGATCCGAAGGTCTAATTGTTTCTCATCAGAGATGACTGGATTGTAGTCAGGTGAGTAGAAATACAACGATTTCGGGTCCGAAGGAACAGGACGTAGGGCTCGGAGAATAACCCAAATCTCATTGCCGGCAAGCGCAGGACGCCCCTGGCCGGTGTCTAGCTTAGGACGTCCCTGATCGGTGTCCAAATTGAAAAAATGATCCAGGTCACATGAACCAGTTTCCATGTTGATGATAAGCGTTAGTTTGTATGAGAGTGTAGTAGAAAGACACAAAGAATGGGTGACGAGGCTGTGCGGGTAAGTAGAAGAACACCAATCGGCGTGAAAACGCTGCTAAAAAAAAGGTGAGTCCTTGAAAACGAAATCCCATCTAGATTCTACGTCAGAATGGGATACTAGTCCTAATTCGAACATTCATGCTGCTGAATTCGGTAAAGTAGGTTATGGTCCTCACTGATCATCACGTGATGGCTCTGAGCAACTCAGTGAGTCTCCCGGACTGATATTGACTCGAGCCTGACTCTAAGCGCCCTCATAAAAGCGGCAGCTATGATAGGAAAGCCCCAACTGACAGAGATGATCTTTACTTTTCGCGAGCTCTGATTCGGGGTTTTGATATACTAGTGAGCGCATACTATTTGCAGTTGACAGGAATTCGGTTGGGATTCGGATGCAGAGGTTCTTTGTGAGGTCATTCTGATGCAGAGCTGTCTGCAGTGCCCCTGGATTGTATAAGCTTCAGCTACTAAACCAGATTTGGTGCCTTTCTATAGACATACACTTCTCTTTGATCATTTCATTTCGGGGTGTCTCATCACCTACTTTCATATAGTAAACATATATTTCTCTCTGATCTCCATATCGCCAAAATGGAGCAACACGACTTACTATTCATTGTCGATGCGTCAAGCCATGAAAACTGCTATCTAAAATCGCTGAACATCTCTCTCCCTCAAATAATTTCGATTTCCGATCAAAAGATTCTACATAACTAGGGAACGCAAGTGCCATACGGCCGTCAAGACAGCTCTGTCGAAACCAAGGGTCTCCTGCTCCAACCGTCCAGTGTAAAAAGTGCTCAAATCATATGATCTGGCCCGAAGAATACAGGCCTTCCGCGTTCAAAGAGTCAGACTTCATCTGCCCCTCTTGCACGTCAGGCCTTGTCCCAACAGCCAAGATTGAAGTCACACCATATGCACTATCAGCCGAGAACACATACTCCTGGCTAGTCCAAGATGCAAATGACCAGCAAGCATGGCCCTTCCGGGACGACTCCATCTTCCAAACCATCAGTAGAATGGGCAGTGAAGGATTCCTTTCCAGAATCAGTCTTTTCCCTTCATCTAAGTCCCAGCTACGCTACAATGGAAAACTGATCCACAATTCTAAGGCGCTAATTTCAATCCTCCAGGACCGAGTCGCAATCAGCAAAGCAAGCAACGCAAAATGTTCGATGTGTTTCCATAGATATATGTGCTTATACCCAGCCTGTGAACGGGATGGCTGCCGCCAAAAAATGTGTAGCGTCTGCCTGTTAGTGTGGTACAAGTTCAACTCTGCAGGCTGTGTGATCAACCCTGCGGTGCTGGGATGTCCGTTCTGTCGTCGATACCCCACTCTTCGCCTAGTAGTGAAGTATGGATTGGGTATTCATGCAGTTGAATATTTTTCCCAAGCAGTCGGTGGGAAGGGAAAGTTCATTTACGCATGGTGCAGGAAATGTAATACTGCCAAGGTGGTGATGGAGCGGAGTTGTATGCTTAGCAAATTTCTTGAATTAACGGACTGGGTTTGTGATGAGTGTCGCGAAGCTATAAAGAGAAGGCAGCGCCAGACGGTAGATAATGACTGACGAGGTTATCAATGGACAAGAACCCTCCAGGATAAGTAATCAATGGGATATTTCACTTGTGAATTGTCTGAACTAGCTAGCTACCTTGCAGGAAAAGATCTCGTTTAATGAGTACCACCCTTGAGCTCCAAACTAATATCACGTAAGAAAAGGACTCTCAAACAATGGGAGACAAAGTACTGAATGTGAAGAAGACCCCATGTACAGGAGATCTCCAGCGGCGTTAGAAGAGCAGAAAACCCCCCGCAAAGAAATCACGGTATTGGAAAGACGGGAAAGCACAAAACATCAGGGGGTATGGGTAATGGTACAAAAATAGGAAAATGAGGGGCCGATGAGAGACTGGGGAAAAGCATTTGCAGACTAATAAGGCGAGTTGACAACTTCATCCCTACCAAGACGACTGCTCCATCCACTGCGCGCACGGTTTGGTGTGGCAGGACCAGCGATGCTCTCGCGCGTAGGCTTCATGAAGGTACGCTTGGCGACCATGTTGACTTCGTTTGGCAGAGCAACGATGACATTCTTGTCAGAGCCGAACCGGAAGTTATCAGCCATGACATTCTCACCATACCGCTTGATGGTGTACGGGTCCTTGCGGTTGGCAATAACCTTCTTCATACTCCATGTAATGATGAAAGGACCGGTAGCGGTGACGATGCTAGTTTCCGTTGAGTCGACACCAGTGTTGAAACGTGCCGTGGTGAACGAAAGAGGCTGTTTCGTCTCGTGCTGGAACTGGGCAACGTGTGCGGGCTGCAAGCCAAGACGGCGGGGTTGAGGCTTTGAATCCTTCGCGAAAGCACGCTCGAATCCGAGCTTGCCCTCATTTTTGCCTTCCTTTTGAAGCGAATCAATGAGGAGAAGATAGGTACGGCAAGTTGCCAGCACCCAGCGTCCATCTGCGGACACATCAAGACCGATAATTGGCTCGCCGAGAGCCGGGATATGAGTCTTAGCATTGATGCCCAGACGATCGAACATGCGGATGTCACCCTTGTTAGAAGCGACAGCAAGGTATCCTTTCTCAGTAGTAGCCATAGCTGAGAAGTCATTCTTGCTGGCGTATTGCTTGAGATCAGAATCGACAAGCTTGTTGCCAGAGAGACGAGGGTCGATGCGGAAGAGGGCGTTCTTGGAGACACCAACGAATGGCTGCGCCGCGGTCATTTGCGCGAATTTCTGCGTGTTTCGTTAGTTTATCCAGAGATAGATTTCAGATGGCGAGACAACTTACATTCTCGGGAGCGAATGTCTCCACGGCGATATCGTCATGGACCTTCCATTCGTCGATGATTTTGCCGTACTCCAGATCCATCTTGAACAGCGAGTTGGGATCATCTCCATTCTGAAGAATCATATTCTGATCCTCAGCATGAAGCATGACCTTCTTGGGGCTGAAGAGTTTGCCATTAGGGGTCTCGACCTTTGAAATAGTCGTGGAGAACTCAAGGTTGTTGTGAGCGGTGTGCTTGAAGACACCGATCTTGGACCCACGGACAACGAATGATCGATCATGCTTATAGCCAACTGCCAGTTGTGAGTTGATGTTTCCGTCTGCGTCACGCGTGACAATATCTTCTTCCTCTTCATCGCTGTCATAGTGTTCACTGCGCTGAGCATCGTCCTGGTCGCCATCGTATTCCTCTTCGGCCTCTTCTTCTTCTTCCTCGACCTCTTCCTCTGGCTTGTCTTCGGAATCTTCCATGGTAAGGTCCTGGAAGGCATCAAGAACATAATCTCTGTCATTCTCCTTGACTTTAGTCCACTTCAACTCGTTCAGCTGTTCCCATAGCGCCTGCATCAGACCCTCCTGGAACCGTTCTTCCGAGGCTTGGTCCTTGAATCGCAGGAGCCATGAGTACGCCGAGCCATCTTCACTGTAGTGGTTGAAGATGAATGAAAGATACTCGAAGTTAAAGACAGGGTTGATATCGGCGACGACAGCTTGTCCTAACCACTCTTTATCCTTGCCAGAAATCTGGAGCCAGTACTGCCAAGTACCAACCTCTGAGACAGTCGCAACAATTTCCGACTCCTGGAGCACAAAGTTTCCAGTGGAAAAGTCGAACAAATGCAGCTCGGCCTTTTCCTTGCAGAGAATCTCCTTGGCTTCGGGGTGGGCTGCAGACGGCGGGGCAGTAGTCGGTTCCTCCTCAAGAGTGGCAGTCTTGATCTGGCCCTTGGACTGAGCGTATTCCACGTCTTTTGTCATCGCTGCAACTGAATCCTCTGCCGTGAAGGAATTTCTGGTCGGCGAAGAGACCGGGCTCGCAGTTGGAATGGGCTTCTCTTCGTCGTATGAGAACTCCTGTAACTCTGCCTCGGTAGCCCTCTGTGCGCTGCGACGGTGCTTGCGTTCGTATTGACACTGGAGGGCGGCAAGCTCGAAAGTGGCAACTTTATCCGCTGGGACCGAAGAGTCGCAGATGAATTCAAAGAGATCACCAGCGTCGCCGCTCAGGTCATCCCAGGCCAATATCTTTGCGCCTCCGTCGCGGAGTTCAGAGCGAAAGTGGAGGGTCTGGTCCAGGAGGAAAACCTTCTCGTCCTTATCGAGGCCGTCGCCGGCGCCTTCCTCGCCGTCGTCGTCCGCAAGTTCTTCCTCGCCCTCTTCATAGGCTCTCTGGATGACAAGCTGGTATTGGAAGTCCTGTCCGGTACGTCGGATCGTGGCAGCGGCGTCCTTGAAGATAAGCTCAGAGTAGCCTTTAGGCGACTGTGGGCGGACGAGATACAGCTCGCCTTGGGGGATTTCGATGATGGTTTCTTTCGAAGCGTCACCAAACAAAAATTTGCTCACTATTGAATTAGAAGAAGAGGCGGAGATCAGTTTACTAGTCAAAATACTAAATAACAGAAAAATGGCCTTATATGGAGGAGTTTGGCGGGGCAGGAAAAGCGCGTTGCTTACCGTTGCGGAGCATAAACATTGTTGCGAGGGGCAGCTGCCAAACAAAAATTCGTGAGGCAGTTGAGAGGAGGAAAAGAGGTAAGAAGAACTGAAGGAAAAATGAGATAGGAAAGAGCGGAAGAACCAGGCACCGTAGCAAAGCCTCTTCTGCCTATGAGAAAAGGATAGGAAGAAGCAAAAGCAAGTCTTCTCAAGTGCAATAATCACAATGAAAATCGCTTCCGTCATAGATTGCAGGGTCGTGGCTGTTGTGGCTAATTGCTGAGGTAAGCATACCGCCTGCCTGGGCAACCTAGTCCGGAATAGGCAATATGCTTTCTACATTCATGGTTCATGGATGTTCTATCATTGTTCACTGTCTTTTGTTACCTTCTAGTCAGAATTTACAGAGCTGGGAAAGGTTAGTGAAGCATTAAAAAGGAACATTAAAAAGGCATAGCAGAACTCAAGTAGATCACACCTTGTACACGACAACCGATACCAGACTATTGATCCAAGCTTATGTTCATCCATGGATATCTCAACCGCTGACTGCCTCCCTTTGGGCATTAAAATATGTACAACATGTTCGTTGGATAGTTCACACTATTCTTTCTCTTCGTTTTCGTCCTCGCTTCCTTCCTCAAAAGCTGCAATCTCCTCTAGCTGTTTCATCTGTTCTGCTTCGGCATCTTCTTCGTTCACATCTTCATCACCATTCTCGACATCTTCCTCGCCCCGCTTCTGATCTGCCCTCAAAGCGCCACCTTTCCGGGGAGGGATAACCTTCATGAACGCCTTGCCCCAGTCACGAAGTTCCAACCACTGAAGCATAATCTCAATGACATGGTTGGTGGCCAGTACCGGACGATGGGCCATTTGAATGTACTGCCCGATAGGCAATTTGGCAGTTTTGATGCCCTTTGCAACCGCTTCCTTGTAACAAATTGCCTTGTGTCGGTTTTTATCCACTAGCGCTCCAACAATATAAGTGCTGTAAGGCTTCAGCTCAGTCAGAGTATTCTCACTATCACTGCTGAGATATATGATTTCACCGTCCTCAGGCTTCGCATCAGTTTGTTCAGCGAACGGTCCGGCGAGTTGACCTCCTCGCGGGGCTGTCATCTGTTGTTTGGCCAGCTCGCCAGCACGTACAAAGTCATCCTGTAGAAAGCGAACCCGTTTCCAGTTCTTGTGGCATGCCAGTACGGTGTCAAATCGCTCCTTCAGTAATTTGTTGAATGACGAGAATATCATGTGCCCATTGTAGAGTGCGCGGCTGTTGTCCGAGTATGAGCGCGTGAGCTGACCAGCTAATGAGATGCGCTCTCTATCAGACATCAGATCGTCGTAGCCGCAATCCATGACGAATGTAAGAGGTAAGAGTGTTGACTTGGTGTGCTTGGCTTTTTTGCCCCGCCATAAGACCAGGAGCTTGTTCGCAGCTTCCTCGCCGCCTTTTTCTCGTGCCTCTGCAATCATAGCTTTGCGACGCTCTCGCTTTTGTATGATCTTGTCCTTCTTCTGGGACTTTTGAAGCGCGCGCTTTTGCTGGTGAGCTTCCGCACGGCGTAATTTCTTCATTTGATTTTTCGACATTACAGCCGGGGCCCCCTGAGCATCTTGAGTTGTAGGTTCATTGGCAGTTTTTGTATCCTTGTGAACTGTGAATTCCGAGAGATCGAGAGGTTCGTTGCCAATCTGAGCGCACGCGGGCTCCGGCTCGTTGCTGGCAACATCATGAGCGCCAGTCATGGCCGGGCTGAGCTCCTCGTGGGTGGTATCTTCGTCGTGATCGAGTTTGGCTAATTTTCGAGGCCGCTCTTGCTCCTCCATAGTGGTATAGTGGAATTGGCAAGCAAAAAATAAAGGTGGGCTGTCGACTGTAGATCAAAAGTTCAAAAAGCGCCCGCCCCGAAACTCATCGACCAATGACCTGCGCCGCAGCCCTCATTACTGTGCACAATCCACGTGACTATCCAGACCCAACTTCTCCAATCGTCACAGCGACTCCACGCTATCCCTCTAAGCCCTTTACCCGCTCATTACCGTCACAATGCCTCAGGATATGCCCCCAGCGGGGGGCTACGCTCAAGTCCAGTACAAGGTAAGCCATGCAACCGAGTTTCCGGGCACCCAAGGCCCTGCGCACCCAGCACACAGACATCCAAGCTAACGGTTTCGTTTCTTACTCTTCATAGCGGAACCTCCCTGCCCGCGGCTTCAAGCCCGCCTACTACATGATTGGCATGCACGTTATCATGGTCTACGGTTTCTACAAGTACTTCCACGGTGTCCGTGAGCAGCGGTACGTTTCATCCAGCAAGAGACTCCCTTCCTGCCTCCGATCGATCCGAGAGAACGAACTGCAATTGGAACCCGATGCGAACCTGCTAGTTGAAGAAATAAGCGAATTCAATGGCTGATATGTGTTTTAACGATAGTGAGCTGGCCCGTGAGAAGATGTGGTCTCGTCTGCACCTCACTCCGCTCCTCCAGGCAGAGGAGGACCGCGACCAGGTCCGTCGGCACTACGCCGACAAGGCGCGCGAGAAGGAGCTTCTTGGTACCAATTCCAAGGTCTACAACTCCGACCGGTATGTTTCATGAAAGCGCAGTTGGACGCTATGTCATTCTCGGTTTATACTGATTTCGCTTGCCTTGACAGCTTTATCCGCCCTACCTTCGCCTATACCCCCTCCAGTCTCACTCAATAGACAGCCTGACAATGTCACCCTTATTCTGAGCGATATTGTACCTCCGTTACCTCCTTTTGACTCTGTATGATGCCGGTGTTTTGGGATGCTTGGTTGGGTGACCCCTTGCCTCCATGGTATACGGACTGAACTGGGCTTTTCTGATCGTTTGTGGGAGAGCTAGAAGCATTGTGGTGGAAGCTGGGGTGACCTTCTCGAAGCGAATTCGAGGAGAACATTGTAGATATTACTTGCCTAGTGATGGCTTCAGTTTGGTCTTTTGCAATATGTCTTATTTCTTTGCTCGTTCAAAATCTTCATACCCTGTTAGAACTACAAATAGGCCGATAGTAGAGAAAGTTATATATTTGTGTCTAATAATATGTGTTTTTTATAATATCGTCTTGCGAAGCGCCGCTGCTTGCTAACGACGGGGGTAGTTGATAAAGCTGCAACGCAGATCTAGACAGAAAGCAGGGCGAAATGTGACTGCGAAAATAGGAGTCGGACCGCCAATAGTGTACAGAATAGAGAGGGACCATTCATCGTGTAGAATGAAGATTAACAGGCCCAATAGCACCACCGCATATCTAGAATGAAGATTAACAGGCCCAATAGCACCACCGCATATCCCAACCTTTCGCAGTCCAGAAAGCAGATGATGTTTGGCCTATCCAAATAGATCAGCAACACCACCAAGATCGGGACCATCATTAATATCGACACGGTGGTTCTGCTGCTGAGTCTCCATCTCATTGGTCATGTACCTCTCCTGCAATGCTGAACGAGCCTTACGACGTTCCTCGCGAGAACCCAGCATCTTCCCTTGCTCGGCAATACTGATCCCACGCAAGGGCTCAAGAAGATCCAAGACTAAACCACGCTGCAGCCTTGGTGAGGTAGTGAGATGAAGTGCTTTTTCCGTATTGATCACTTTCGCTGCGCTAATTCCTGGCAAAGTCAGGAAAACAGCACGAGGGGTCTCGCTGCAGAAGCTATAGAGACACCAAATTGATGCAATTAGCTGAGCCAGGTCCTTTTGCATATCGACAAAGTATGATTCATGTACGGATGAAATGCACGCTGTGAGGACATCAGTACATATGAACTCGCGGATGGTCGCGATGGTTTGGGTGTCCTGGGTATCGTTCGTGGGCACAAAGTCTTGCAGAATTGACCGAATGACGCGGGTGATAATGCTACCGCTACGCGTATCGCGCATGCGAAGAGCATGCGTACAGAAGAGCATGACTGGCTCAAAGATCTGGGGGGAGGAGAGGACGAAATGGCGGATAGAATCAGAGAGGTTCGGTGTCGGCAGGGGTGCGCTAGGATCCGATTCAGTCCCATCTGGGTCTGAGAAGTCACGTTCCGTCAGTATCGAGTGGTTTATCTCTATTCGTAGCTGGCGGGTCAGGGAGTGTTTACCACCTCTCTGTGGATCGAATAGACTGGCTACCATGATCACAGCAGAGTAAGTCAACTGGCGAAGGACACTTTCGGACTTCATCTCCGTAGTGAGATCTCCGTCCGAAATTCCATTCCTGCGTTGTTCAATGATTTCCCATTCTGTGGTGACTTTACGATCAATATTCGTGAACAAAGCCGATAGCATGGGAGGCAAGAATTGGCTGCGGAATTGCACAGGGCAGTCGTCAATCAGACAACGCGAGATGTTGAGAAGAACTGAGAACTGGTGGGAGGATAGATGCGGTGAGTCAACAAATAATGCTTCAGATAGGGGTCCTGGGAGTTCGGCAAATCCATAGAAGTGCTCTCGCATCCTGCTCATGCTGAACAGCATGGAGTAGCATGCTTCGCGGACAGCTCTGACTTTTCCTCGAACCGATGATGCAAACCCTTCAAGTGTAGACTTTGATGTTGTGATTCTGGCGTAGAACTCGTCGCGGCTACCGATAGAAATACCAGCCTGCCAAAATCGATCTGTGAGGATACGTTCGACTACCGGTTGCATGCCTTCGACCATATTCCAATTGGCAGGATTGTGGAAGGCATGGGCGTGTCTTAAAATTAAAAGTTAGCTTGGTGGCATGAATCAGCATTAGCATAAATAATTACCTGACAAGCTGCAGCAGAGTGGGAAGAATGAGAGGGATCAATTCGTGCCACATATCGCAGGCGATCACATAGGCTGGCGCAGATTTTTTGACTCGATCTGTGGAAACGGCCAACATAGTCTTAGTGCCACGCAATGGCAACAGCTAGAATAGAATGAATCAGATTGGCCCTAGCACGGGGAATGAGATTTGTACTTCTTACCTGGAACTTTCTGGTCATCTCTTCTTGGACTAACCTTCCTTCATTATCCAGTGCAACCTCGGACCAGTCTGCCAGTTTCTGTGCTTGTTTAGATTGCATGTATGGACCGACATTTTCCAGTCCAAGCATATTGCAAAACCCGGGAAAAGTGGAGCTACTCTGGCGAAATTGGTCGTCTTGCCATGACTCTCGGATGGGTTGGAGGAATGCTTCAAGTCGGTTTTGGCGCAGATAAGGATCCGCATTGATTGCGCGTTGCCTGTATTGAGTCAGTATGAAGCAATTTTAGATAGAATAGACAACAGGAAGGGGAAGAGGAGTTACATAATGATGAGCAAGATAGAAGTCAATTCCATTTGCAATTTATCATCGACACGGTTAGCCAGCGTGATTTCTTTGATCTTTGGCTCGAGAAGGTCATAGAAGGTCTGCAGTGGGCAAGGTTAGAGAGTACTGGACGATCGGGATGTGGAACATGACGTACGTAGAAATAGTCTGCATAGCGCATAGCCAACCGACGAAGTTCAGAGCTTGCCAATCCATGAAGCTCTTTGACAGCCTCGGAATACAATGGGTATTCAGAATGATCTGGTAGGCGTGACATTAGAATGTGTTCCAGAACCTTGAGCGCAAATCCTGGATGATTGTCCAAAGCCCTTGAAGAGATGTCGACAGCCAATTTGATGACTCTTTGTTTAAGGACCGGATCCTATATGAACAGATGAGTTGAGAAATCCCTTGGGTTTGGGAAATATGACATACCTCAAAAGACCTTAGCATCAGACTTGAAGCCCAGTTTTCCACCGCATGTTCTAATTCCATTCGTTTAGATTCCTGTCAGAATTAGCAACCGATGATTCATTTTGCGCTTCATCCTCTTACATCACGTTGTGGTGCTTTTCCGTGAGCCGAAACCCACTTGTTGTAGCCCTTGATGACAGCCTCTACCACTGCGAACTGAGCATCCGCTCGCATAAGAGGAATCGAGGATTTGGTGAAAGTTTCCACTGTAAAATTAATGAGTCGCAAAGTCCATAGCTCATTAGATTGTTGACACTCACTGCTGAATGGCTCAACGCCGCTATACAAGTTGTCGAGATTGGTGTCCACCCGGGCCAGAATTTCACGCACCGCTTCTTGGGGCCGCTTGAAGGTGATAATTTCGATGATCGAGGAACAGTAACGGCGGTAATTGCCAACAAATGCATGTCGCTCGGGAACTGTATCAATGTCCTCGAGTAAGAACTGCACCGTGGGATCATCGGATTCAGTCGGGAGACACTCCCAACGAAGAAGCCTCTGGGTACAAATGTTCAAGAAGTGGGGAGTTTGTTCTTGCACAAAGTCCATGTTACTGATTTTTGAGTGCTGTAACAGTCTGGACCAAAGATGCAAGCAAGGTATGGAGACCGTCAGGCTCTGGTGTTGCATGATGTTGACCATGAATTGCAGGAATGGCGGCAGGTTCAAACGGTCCATGGTAGAGGCCAAGAACTTGGCATCTTCCAGGCATCCTGCAATATATGAGACCATCTCAGAGAGCTTTTTGGAGATAAGATATTTGGGATCATCAACGTCATCCGGTCCGACGATTGACCATTCGTAAAGCCCCTGAAGAACAACAAGGTATTCTGACTCAAAAATCAGACATACTAACTCGTGGGAGTCTTCAGTTCCGATGTTGGTCCTTCCATAAAGTGCATGAAGTGCTTCGATTGCAGAGAGAACCACCTGCTCATCTTGACAAGGCAAAGCCCGGAAAATGCTGGGAACAACCTGGGAGGCAATGACAGCTTTATAGACGGACCATGACAAGGCAGATCTCAAGGTGGCCAGAGCCTTTATGGCCGCATCACGGGCCTGTTTGGAGCTAGAGACATTCTGGACGCAATTGTCAAGAAATTCGCGGATTCGAACGAGCCAGCCCTCCTCACCACAACGTGGAATGGTGGGGTTAGTTTTATCCCCAGTGATTTGCTCTACGATGCCTGCAGGGGTAAAGATCTCGATAAGCGACCGATTGAGCTCACCTCCCCGTAGTGACGAGGCAATATCTTCTCGGAAAAAGACATCCTCGGAAAGAGTCTCAAGAACAGCGAGGATAAGCTCTTTATGAACGAGAGATGCACCCCAGAACTGAACCATGTTGGCATCCATATCCATCCAATCCAGCCCCCAGGTCTTCTTAGCAGCCTCGGCCCACAGCTGGGAGATCTTATTTCGGAAATAGGCAGGGTCTTCGGGGCGGACGTTCTCGGCGAGTTGCAAGATCATCATGCGTAAGGTCTTGGCTTCTTCGGGATTGGTGAAGTTGTATTGGCGAAGAACGTGATCGAGGAGAGTCAGACCGAAGTATCGGACAACGGGCTCATACTCCATACGAGAAGCCAAAAGGAAGCCATTTCGCGCTGCGGAATCAGACGCTTTAAGGTTCTCCACGAACTGCGAAGCCTCCTTTCGTATGTCGTTTGACGATGCAGGGTTGTGAATGAGTTGCAGGGCACGGATTATGTCGGCCATGCCGCCTTCCGACAACTCCTCCGCAGCCATCTTGTCGACGCGTTGTAGAAGAATTTGATGAACAAAAAAGTTAAGTCTCAATCCCGTCCTAATGTAGTAGGCCGCGTCTCATAGCTCAGAGAAGATAGGTAAGACTCGTCCGGTATTAGTTTAGCAGTCGGACACCGCAATGGCCATCCACACGCGCCACTCGCTCTTTCCGGGTGTAGGGTGGTTCGAGG